TTTCCGAATTCATTTGTACTCAAAAAGATAAAATGTAATGAACATTTTGCATTGCAGACATGCAAATAAAGTTAGAGTGATGTTCATACCTCAGATTCTATCCTGTCAAACTTGAGGGTCCCATCAGAAATCTCCCTCCAATAAAATGCCGCTTCTTCCCTTAAGTTCTTGTGCTTCTCAAGCTTCATGTCGATCAACACATTTACATTGCTCTATGTAACAATCAGTTCAAAAGTTATTATTGGGAAAAAGAGTTGATCCTTTCAAGACTCGTAAACTCTCATCAAAGTTTTACGACTATTCTCAAAATCATATTGTCACATTGCAGATTGTACAATCTCCCCTTTTATATATATATTTTTTATAGGTTTGCATAAACTTTATCTAGAAGTGAAGAACACTAACATTGAAACACATCTACCATCCATACACGACGATACTAAACATCGCAAGAAAGACCAATGGAAGCGAAAGATGATGCTGGTGGATGTTTTGAGGACGTGCAATGTTTTCTTTCCAGGAAAAATCAACGAAAAGGGGTTTCATGCAAACAATCTAAAACATTAGGGGGTGTTTGTGTAATTTCCCAAACCTCAGGGGGTTTTGTGAAAAGCTAAAACCTGAGGGGGTGTTAGTGTAAATAACTCCAATAAAATTTATATAGAAGTGATTGAACATTGGCACTGAAAGACTACCATCTATATGTGAGGATGATAAACAAGGAAGAAAGACTAATGTAACGTCACTGGAAGTTTTAACTCCGACGATTTTCCATACAGGAGATTATAGCAGCATAAAAGATGTAGTCAACCCTAGCAAGCTGGAATTAAGGATAGAGCCTAGTTGATCTCACCTTGAATTCTTCATTTGTCATCTCATAAAGTTTACTCTCAAACGCCTTGAGGAATTCCTCTGCTCTCAAATCAATATGTGCTGGATTCTGTAGATCAACATAACATAATTAGAATACGTAGATAAGGCAACAAGGCAACAGTAGAAGCATGTAATATACCTTCACTGTGGATTGTATAATAAACTGTGCCCCACGGATACCACAATCATTCCTGCATCAGAAATGAATGGGAAGGTAATTGAGAAAAAAAAATCACAACATGAGGCATGAAATTGAGGGATAAGTCATTTGAATTTGTTTCATGCCTCTGCAGGAGGGCGGTGATGTAACCAAGTTGCTCAACTGATCTAAGTTGGTGGAAGGCAGGTTGCTTTGCAATAAGAGCAAACAGATGAAGTTTCACATTCAGCATAAAATCATCCCGATGTACCTACACATATTAACACAACTACATTTAAAACAAACACAGAAACCTCTGCTGCAGATAAATGAGTGGGGATTGGTGTGAGGTGATTTTATGCTGTTCAACAGGAAGGCCAAATATAAGTCTTATAACCAAGAGGAACATGGCCTATAGGAAGGGGATTCAGTTAACCAAAGGATCATGGATAATCTTTGTTGTCAGAATGTCCCATTTGCATGTAACCTGATAGAATAAAACCCTGAAAGTTCATTTCAGTGATCAAACTACAGATCTGTCAAAGGTAGATACAGCTCCAATACCTTTTCAAATTTCAAGAAAGACATTTTCTGCAATTTCTTGATGAGTTAACAGAGAAGAAATTATTGGTTTGAAACACTTCAGGGGGAACTCTGACAAGGTTTGGTGAATTTTGAACTAGACCATACAGAAAGAAAACTAGAAGCAATAATTATTGATTCCAGCAAGGTCATACAGACACTAAACTATCCCAATAGAATCTAGTTGATTAATACTGTAAACAAATTGAAAAACCTGGATATAGTGGATAAGGGCAGAATTTTCGTCACTTGGATTGAGACCCTCCACAGGGTAGAAATAGCTCTTGCCCTTTTCAAGCTTCACAACTCTATTCGTCAAATGCTGAGATGGGAACAAAGGTTGGCAAATAGGGTTTGAACCCTTAAAGAGAACATCTTCAATATGCTGGATCATGGACTCAGCTTCATTCCTTTCAAGGTTTCCTGCAAAAGCATATAACTAGGAATGAATACGAATAGAAAAGGAAAATTAAAATGAAAATAACAGTGGCTATAACCTAAGTTGTTTGAGGTAAGAAAACATGGTAACCTGCTGTGTAACACTCTAAAAAGGCCCTTGAGAGCATCATGGGAACAAACTTAGCAAGATCTTCAACTTTAAGATGAGGAAGAACATCAAGTTCTTCCATCCATGGCCAAGTATGATCCTGTAGAATTAATGAGCAGTAGTACATAGCTTGCTCATAAGGCTGCCGAAATTTGAAATTTTGGTACTCCTTTGTGACCATTTCCTGATACGGACAAAAGGGCAGATAACACAAGTAAGGTATCATTCAAGATATACACCACTCTAGATATAAGATTGACTTCCCAAATTTCATAAGCTAAAATACATTGACCCTTTTTCCTTCCCAAAAATAAGATACTTAAAAAATTACCATAAGGATAAAGGTGTTCAGCAAAGGGGCAACAAAATAAAGAAGCTATAAAAATAAAGTCCCAGAGTAACAGAAACAGGTTGAAAGGAAAAAGAAAATGCTCCTGACGAAGACAGATTAATTGATAAAATAAAAAATTAGGTATTTCTTTGGAGACAATTAATGATAAAAAATGATGATGACCATGAAATCTAGGAAAGTTCTTTGATTCTAAGGATGGTTAGCATCTTTAACTGGGGCATGGACCAGTCAGAACTTCCACAATATGTGTGTAATTCAATACTTTTTATGTTGAGCCTGCATCAAATTGAATATTTTGTATAGAAGAAGTAACAAGATTACTTGATCACCAACCCAAAACCAAATGGCCAAGGGTGCATAGGCCTAGAACATTACATTCCTCATGTGGGATATACTCTGAACACGACCCCTCGTGTAGCATGACTTGAGCAAAGACATGGACAACTTATATTGGGTGACGTGAAAGCACGTATGGCCGTTGGGCCTGACACGTTGGTTGCCTTCTTCGATAACATGATAGAATTAAAGCATCCAGTCAAAACCAATTGGCCATCAATGGAGATTCTTTTTTTTCTTTTTTTTTAAAACAGGACAAGACTTTATATTCTTGATGTGTGATCAACAGAGAATGTCTGTTATGCCAAAACTAGAAAATCCCATGCATGGAAAAATCTAATCCCAGTTTGAGAAAGCACGAGAAGAATCGTGGAGATCCTAAAATACCTAAATAAGGAGAATGTCCCAAAATGTTTTGTTTATTTAAAGAAAACAAAGAAATGTAACAGAATATAGGCAGATATGATTCAGTATCTTTTCAAAATTCTTATTGGCTCTGCATAACAGAAGATATTTTGGTGTAAGCCTCTGGAATAACACAGCGCAACAAGTCACTAATATGCAAAATTATTAATCCAGTTACTGTACCACTAGTGACAGCTTATCAAATCCTCATCCATAAAAATGACTAGGAACATTTAAAGTTAATATTTTTATGAGGGAGCCTTGAAATTTACCATTATAACAGAGAACCTGTCAGCTTTCACTTCAAAGCTTGCGATCTTTTCAACTACAGTTTCCAGTAAAATCCTTAATTTGTGATTATAGCCAGCCAGAATCACCTACACAAGAAAACATAAGGTAAAATCTACGGATAGTTATGATCAATAAAAGGTAAAACCAAATTTGGAATAATGCCACACCTCAAAATCTTCCAACTAAACATAGTTAAGTTCACTGTTTCTAACCCCCTTAAAAACATTATAATACCAATTGGATTAGTTACAGACACTTCCTATTCCTCTAGTTTTAGATCAATAAAATATCCCCAGGACAATAACAATCAATAATTTGTTGATTCAGAATTCAAAGGTCCACAATGGGTGTCCAAAAAAGTGATCCAAGGACCATTACTACATTCAGTATTCAAAGCCTTCATGTTTCATATTTCACGCTATACTGAATGGATTTACCCTATGTAGACCACCTTTATTATTATTATTACTATTATTATTTTGAGTTTGCTACATAAGGTATTATGAAATGAACAATGCAACTTTCAGAGAATAAATCGATTCAAGGAGTAGCTGTGACAACACAGACTAAAATTTTACAGAAACACAACAAAAATTTAAAAAGAACCATCTAGCAAGTTTCATATTGATACCTGAAATCCACTATCTGTGTGGCTTATTCCATAATTCAGTCCAGCAACCTGAGCATAGTAAGCTGACAGAGAAAGAATTAAATATTTGAATAAGCTCTTCAAGAAAATAACACGTTGTGTATGCAACACTACCAATGAAACCAAGTAATTAACTGTAACTACATATCTTACCAAATTCATTCAAGTAATCCATCAACAACTGAGTAAAGATATTAGTTAACACTTCTGCTTCAGGGGAGTCACTTGCGTGGGGACAAGTGAAAACAATCTTAACATAAGCTTTAGGAGTAAAGAACATTGTATCAGGCTTGTGCCATAGTGTTGAATACGGCGACTTTCTTAAAAGAACTGGATATTTGGCCTGATAAAAAGTCAATCATATCAGAAGAATTTAAGTGCTGTGTCAACTTCCAGTTAGATTTTATTATTCATCACACCTTCTCATGATCGTTCTTAAGTGACAAGTCGGTGGGGATGAATACATTAGGTGCTGGTAGGTGCAGATTCTCATTTGGCGAAGACTCTATCCATTCCTGCACTCAAATGAAAAACTTTCAGGATCAAAAGTGTTTTCCTCTCCTCCCCTTAAAATATTCCTAATACCTCTAAACTGATGCAAATAAAAAAGCAGCATACCTTACATATTACTATCACTCTAAAAAAGACAAAAATATAAAAAATAGAAAAGGAAAAAAGAAAAGAAAACTGACAAATGCTATTGTGTTCATCAATATATAAAACTCGATATACATATAGAACCCGTAACCAACCTGTATCATGGGGCCCGTAATTTTCTCGATGGAATAAGCAGTTTCATACCATGGCTCAACCATATTAGTTTGACCTTCAAATTTCTTCGACTCCCAGAAAATTCTGTTGAGCAAAGGACCTATTAGGAAACTTATTACAATGTACTGTCATTATGTTTCGTATATCGCTTAGAAAAGAAAAAATAGACAATAGGAGAATTATGAGAAACACTAAAAACATTCTTAATTGCTGAGATCAAACTTTTAGACAGCATCAAGAAGTACAATGCCATGGATGGAAATATCAAATTCCCACATAAATAATACACTATTTCGCTACTTAACGGGGACAGCCTCAGGAAATGACGATAAGTGATTAATGAGTTATAGTGCTGTGAATCACTATGAGAAACCAAGACTAAATAAGTTTCAATCAACACAAGTACATTCAAAAAATTGCAATCAGAACTTGATTGTGATACTGCAGTCTTTCAGTCAATTCTTTAGAAGTGAATCCAGGTGGGCCAAACATTCCTTAAACATAACAGATAACAGGGTTCTTCTGTTATCATATCACTAAGTTTTGCTTATATGTAGGCAAACCAAGTGATAGGCCTTCTTTCGATATAAAACAAAACTTTTATTACAATTAGATAAAGGTACCAAGAAATAAAGGGAGGGTCAGTAGTCCAAATTTGCTGATTGTATTTACATATTCCATTTCCTAAACACTCAAGGTTGTAATGAGTTGACATCAATTGCTTGACAATCAAGGACAGAATCAGAAATTTTTTTAGGGGTGGGCTATTATTTCTTATATGGGTAAAGATCTAATTAAAATTCCATTTATTTTCTCATAGGAGAAAACTTGAAGCTAACTGGAGATCTGTTTAGATAGGACATGCTAATTTTTGCTTGGGCTAATTTTTGTAAAATGAGGTGTAGTGCCTAAAAATTAGTATTAAATTTCTTTTTTCCCAAACTTTGCACTAGGCTAGAGCCCAATCTAGCCATAGTGTAGTTCCGTCCTTGTTGACAATGCAAGTAGATATGAGTTAACAGTCCAAGGCAAGAACTACATTAAACAAACTTTTATAAAAACATGCTTTGAATCTCTCCTCTTAGGATGGTACGTGGATTTAGAGGCCTTAGGACAAATTACCCAAAAACAAGCTAACACAGTGCAATACCACGAAATTGTTGTCTTCCTTCCACCACCAAAGGACAATATTTTTCACAAAGAATGTTTGAATGTGACTGAGAAACAACCCAATAAACCCCTGCCTCCCTGATTAACCGCCACCACAGCCCCAATGCATGACAATAACCCAAAAGATCCATTAAACCTTACCTTTCTCCCCTCCACCAAAAACACAATATTCTCCTGAATTGTATTGAAATGCTACCTTTCCATCATTCAGATTTCAGAAAAAATGAAAACCCTGAGTAGTTAAGACAGTTTCTGGAGAAAGACACTAAAAGGTCATGGAGACAACCCTTCTACTATTATAGAAATGATAAGGCATAAAAATTTCAAGCATGAAATGAACATTGCTTCTTTAATAAGAAAAAGGAGCATCACTCCAGGACAGATCTTCCCAAACTCTGATGTTTAAACCAATAAAAAGAACCAAGCTAAAATGAGAGACAAAGTCATGATATCCTTGGAAGATGGCCTTGTACCTTACCAACCCGTAAAGAACCCAAACTAAGTGAAAGACTTACCTGACATTGTTTGGAGACAACTTGTTCAGCACCATTTGGATAATGTCTGTACTGAAGTTAGAAGGCAAGGATGATCTCACTAGCCAATCTTTTGGAGGATATTTCTGCGTAAGGACACAAACATGTCATGTGAGTAAGAAGCAAGTGAATATTAATTATCAAACAACTGAATAGAAGCACGGTTTAAAAAAAAAGCCTGAATACCTGCATATTTGCCGAAATGCTGACCACATAATTAATTGGTTGAATTTTGTCCTGATAATGAAACTTCGTCTCACAAACAGCAGAAAGCTACAGTAAACAGATGGTATATCAGAGTCTCTAAGAAAGATCTGAAAGACAATTTCCAAAACGAATTTTGAATATGAAAATTAACATAACTCAAGAATTTATTCCTCAATTCAAACCACAGTATGATTAAAACTGTTTAGATACAAAGAAAATCAAGAGAAAATGATGATGAATCATATGTAAAGTCAGCCTCACAGTTGTCATATTCATATATAAAGTCAGCATTGCATTCACCCTTAGGGTTAGCCCAAGTGATAAGGGTGGGTGGAGAAATGGGTTATGATTAGGTTAGGTCCAGGGTACAATTCCCTCCATTGTAACCATGAAATAAAAGGCTATCTATCACTGTCTAATATAGCAGCAGTAGAACAAGTCCCTGGAAAACATCCTAAGGCCATTGCAAAATATATTTTAAGGTCTCGAGAGTTGACTAATCCACCCTTCTACACATTAAGGATTCGTCTGGTTTAGGGAAAAGAGGTTGGGGGGGGGAGGGACGGAAGAGACGCTCTACCATGGAGTAGGGATAGGGATAGTTACAAATCTAAAACGCCAATATTATATAAGTACACTCAGTCCAACCCCTAAAGTCCTTGACATGACACCAACAACTAGAATAACTTATATCCATCATCCTAAGACTGATCTCATGACAAACAGATGTGGAAACCAAGAATGAATATGCTGCCATGACATATTAGCCATCTTCTTAGTAAGAGTATGCACCAGTAATTCATACTGTGAAGATACAACACTTGATGTTAGACAAAATGCAGATAAAGGTATCATGCACCAGTAATTCATAAACTACAATACACAATATGTATACCTCATCAAAAATCCATTTGCAGATGCCTGACTGCTGTAAGAGGGAAATGTATTTGAAAAGCAAGCCTACGATGTCTTGCATGTGCTCTGCAATATAGTCAAAAGGTTTATCATATTCTAGAAAACTAAAATCCAAGTAAAAGAATGCCACCCTACAAAAAGAATATGTTAGATAAGTACTTCAAGCTGTCTTAGGACTTGTGAAAAATGTTCATCCAAAATGAAATGAAGCCTAAATGGGGGCAGGGGTTGGGAGAAATAAGAATACGTAAAAATGAAAAAAATAGAAGATAAACTAACCATGACCCGCGTCAGTGAGATCAATATCTACTCTAAAGAAAGAAAAGTCAAAAGTTGAATCTCCTTCACCAGCAGACAAACCTGTTGCCCATCCTGCAATTTATTTTAGAACAAACAAAGAAGTGAAGTTAGCTTTTACCCAAGTAAATTAACTTCATGCATCCTATAATCAGGACAGAAGGTGACCACATCAACGAATTTTCATCTTTACGTGTCAATCTCTAAATTTAAAATTCAGCCATATTCTTAGTGATATCTGCCAGACCAAATCAGACATCAGACTCACATCTTCCTTAAAATGATGCCCTTTTTCTAGTACATGTTGAACCACAAGTAAATCAACTAGCTGGGGCAACTTTAAGTTTCTGCCAAAATTGATAGAACCTAATTCATCTATCCTGTTAGTTTACTACACTATCATGTAATCTGAGGTACACAAACATTACATTCAAATTTGTACTAGATCCGATCATCTACTATAGTAAGTATTCTTATGCACAAACATTTCTAGTATAGCTTATCAACTCTACCTTTCCTGGTAATCAGACTCCTCAATCTCTCTGTTTTAATGAGAACAGAGCCAAATTTAAAGATTTGAAGCATCACATTCTTGCGCTTTGTTCACTTTGAAGTTACATTTCACTGATTATGACAATTAATAAAAATTAAAAATTAAAAAAAGGGTATAAATAAATAAAATAAAATAAACCAAATCAAAGAAGGATGACCACGTATACAAGAAAACAGGAAGTCTATGGAGAACCTAAATCTTCAGTGCTAATATCATGAAATGACTGATTAAATACTTCTGCATCCCATGCTTCTGGAGCCCATTGCATAACATGATGCTCCTTAACACATTTCAGGAGATTAGTCCTTCGAGAGTACTCTATGTAGCAAAATCATATATGACAAGATAACACGGCACAATTTGAAATGAAACATTAAGGGCCCGTTTGATAACCATTTCAATTTTAGTTTTTAGTTTTCATTTTTGTGCTAAAGTATAGAGTAAGAAAGAGGGAGAATGGTAGTGAGAATGTGTGTGAAGATGGGATTAGAGGAGGGAGGAAGGAGTAACAAAAGTGAAAAAAAAACTAAAAACTGAAATCAATTTGAAATTGTTTTCACTTTTGTTACACTTCCCTCCCATCCTCTCCTCTCATCCTCTCTCTAAATCTCATCCTCACTCTCATTTCCTCTATTCTCTACTATAAACAAATGAAAAACGAAAACTAAAAACTAAAATTGAAATTGTTATCAAACGGGCCCCAAGTGTTTCGATCTAGCATTATCTGATTGGGTCAGTAATAGGTTGACATGATAATGACACATTTATTAACTGATCGGGTGAGCGTCCATTCGTTTGACACGATAGTGCCATGTTATCTTTAGGAAAGATACTTTTTTTTTCTTTTGAAAAATATTTTAACCTATAAATTCATTTTGTTTTTTATACATTCTTTTTGGTAACATGTTTGGACATTTGTTGTGTAATGCATTAGATATAACTTATAAGTTTCTATTGTATTATAAGATTTTTATTTACGCTATAATCGATATTATTTATAACTTTTTATATTATTTTTTTACCCAAAAGAAAAGGATAACAGATGAAATGGATAAACATAACACAGCAAACCACTCGGATTTGGGTTTAGGATCACTTCACACAAAACAAACATGGTAAAAAACAATAAGTTGCCAGGTCTAACTATATGTATCTACATTGCAGATCATTTCTATCATTTAAACAATATTAGGGGGGAGAGAGAGAGAGAGAGAGCCCAGACTACTTAAAAGAATCCGAGAAACAGATTAAGGAGAGGTTTTGAAGGACATGAGTGAACAAAAATAAAAAAGAAAACTCAGTACGAATGAGTCAAATTCTGTGTGCATGTGCACATATTCACCAAATGATGCAAAAATGAGGTCAAAGGACATGTAAAATTCAGTAGGAACCAACTAAGCGCGTGCCATGAAACTTATTTTCTTTATAAGTTCAGGTCAATTCTAAAGATAAAGTTTGAGTTACAAGGGGATCTGCATCTTAATAAATAATAGATCCTTTTATATATGTAAATCAAGATGCACGCTGTTTATGCAGGATAAGAAGAAGGAAACATTATATGTGCACATAAATTGCATGATAATTATACATTATAGATAAGGCTCGAGTACAATGTCAATCTTCACATTTGAAATAAAAACAAGTTACAGGGCAATGCTAATTCCACTCCCAGTTTGTCATACCGTACTCTTTCTGTGAGGGTTATAAATAAAAAAAACATTGAGTTTGAAATGTAGGATGACAAACTGGGGGTGTGAAAAGCAACTGCCAGCCGGCCGAAGTGCAAATCATCTAAACACAAAGAGGAAGTCTATGGAGGCATTGAAATGAAAAGTATGTGAACACTGGCTTCAAAGTTCCAATACAAATAACATCTGCTGGAAAACTCATTATGTGAAGCAGGAAACAGATAGTGCAAATCTCACCCAAAGTTTTCAAGATGTAATACAAAGATCCTTCTCCTTCGTGACCAATGAGATGACTAAGATACCTACATGGCCCTTCCTTGTAGTGGTGAATTTCTGGAGTTATTGGCCACGCAACTCTTAGCGCATGACCCTCTTTGATTGGGACAGCTCTGACAAGAATCTGACAAAAACAGAGGAGAAAGGCAGCAAGAATTATCCATCTAAATATGGGACATTCTGTATGTTTTTTTCCTAATCAGCAAAATCTGCAAGTCCGAAAGAAAGCATAAAAAGTTCAGCAGAACCATGTGTACCTGTAAATGTTCTGATGTGCAAGGCTCACCAGCAAAACGAAGGCAGTTGCGGTCAATGTTTCTAATTTCTTTAAACTTGTCCTCTACAAGGCCTTGAATTTTATCAAGGTTTTCTGAAAACATCCATAGTGATAATTATTTAACTTACCACGAGGCCATTGAACCTGATTGTTAAAGGTAAATGTAGCTACAAACCTTTTCCATATATGACAAGATGCATGACGTTAGCAGAATAATATTCTTCATAGAATGTAATAAGCTCACTTCTGGTATCCAGTCCTTTCGCTTTCGGTCGAACCTCCAAAGTATCCCAATTCCCTGAAAGAGTGAACAAAGTAGGCACGATGGAAAAACATGGTAGACATTCTGAACACCAACCAGAGTATAGACAGTGGAATTCTTGTAAGAATAGTCTGTATAAAATTTCCATCCGCAAAGCAGGAAAAGAAATTGAAAATAAGCAGCTGCCATTTAAAAGAAACAAATTTCAAAGATATAGGTCACATATTTCTTCCTACGTTAACTCATAGTGTAGCTCTCCAGGGAGCCTAAATAGCTCAAACTGTCCTAAATATGAGTGATTGGAGGCAGTTTATAATAAGAGGACTTTTTGGGCACATGAACCTCATAATTTTTTCACTTATCAGGATAATGAAATTTGTGATATGAAATTTGCAAAAATAATTTATTGTCCAATATTCATTATAGGAGTTTCCAAGTCGTTAATCTATGATTATACTATTACAACTGAGTTACTAAGGTGAAGTTTGATATTAAACTCAACATCAACATTGGATATGACTGAAATACCATGAAATAAGTAATATACTAAAAAAACGAGTGATACTCTCCACATCATCACTAAGAAGCAAGGGCAATGGATCACTTCTTGTTGCACGGTACAGTGGCTTCTTTTTTGCAGTTTCAGTTACGAGAGAGGTTTATGCTGGTACATCCCAGTGTTGTGTAATGTGGTATTATGTGAGAAGTTTAACTCTTTTGGTGTAAAGAAATGGGGTGTAGTTCTGGGAGATGTTCTAGTTTCTGGGTTCTATGGGTTGAAAGGAAAATAAGGTTTTTGACAGTGAAGAGGTGCAGTGATTATGGGATAGGATGCATTTTTGGACGTCTTTGGGGGCATCTGTAGCTTCAGAGTTGAGAGAGTTATCATTTTCTATTATTTTCAGATTGGAAAGCATACGTTTTGTAGCTCTATGGAATTCTGTTTTTGTTTTGTTGTTTCCCCCTAGGATTGAGGTGTTCATGCAGCTTGCATGTTTAGTTTTCTTTTAGAAATGGAATCCTTGTTCACTTTTGTTGTACAGTTTTATTTTTCATAAAGATTCACATGTCTTATTAAAGAAAACAGAGAGGTTGTGCCCACGTCAAATGTGTAGGACTAACATATAGCTGTGAGAAAATAGAAGCAAACCAACAAAACTTATAGACAAAAACTGAGCATATAAATGGGGGAAGAAATACAGAAGCATGTGAAGAGACTCCACCGATGCACAACTACTCTATCATCTGATTCTGAGCTCAGTCAATTAAGCAAAAGATAACAAAAAAGACAAACTTATAGATAGTCCCTTCATCCACTCTTAAGCTGGTGATGAGTCCATCAATTAGATATAATACCAGAAGAAACAGGAAGCGATCCTAGTACACAGAAGGCATGCACGAGAAGTACCAAAGAAAAACACTGGGAAAAATTCAAAGTAGTGAAGCAACAAACATCAAGATTTACAGTTTGATCTTGTCCATAGGAAGCTCTGCACATTCACATCGTCCCAATATTCCTCTCCCCCATATACTCCACTCCAAACAACAAGGGACTAGTCCCCAAGCCACAACAATCCTCTCAACCAGAAACCATATGAACAACATACCATCAGTTATAGAGTAATATTTTCAGGACCTAAAAACACCTTATAGTAATTGCTTTTAAACAAAAGAACAGGCTCAATTTCCGATGCAATGCATAATGCAAAGCACTGCAATACGGAACCATTGCTCCCTTGTTGAGGAATAAATCTTTCAAGGTAACTACTGGCGCCAAGAACCCTTTATATAAATAAAGAAAATATACCCAATACAAACCTCAAAGCACATATTACCACTGCACTTCTAAACCTCTCAACTCTCAACACACTGACCAACTAAGCATTTAAAACGTTAGTCAAACTTCAGCCTTCCCTCCGTTCTTCATACATCAGATAGACCATCCCATCTTAAAACACCTTCTCAATAGTGCAAATCTACAACCACTGGCATAAGAGAGTCCTTTTAGAGACATCAATTCATCCCCATCAAACCTTATTTCCCAAGTTAATGAAAACACCGTTGCATTTAGCCATATGAGACTTAACACCACCCATCCACCCCGGTAAAGTTTGAATACAAACAAAAACCAAGCATACAGTTGCCTCCTATCAATACTTCATATTTATAAGGAAAAAAATAACTAATAACATAGCATAAGCAATTTTCCAACACACTAAATTAATTTCAATTCAAAAGGAGTGAAACAAGAAGAACCATGGGTTACCATAACCAAAGACTAAATCCGATTAGCAACAGAAAGCTCAGATGTAAAAACAGCCTGCTTCCTCTTTTTTATGAACATTGAGTCAAAGAATTTTTATTATAATCAAGAGTCAATTCCTGACCTGTACTAAATTTATGGTACGGATGGTCCGCCACACTTAGATGTTTCTGAAGCTGTACATAGACATTCATGCATAAAAAATGTTAGACACCAGTTGGAGACATAAATAAAAACACTGCTACAACATGTGAAAAGCAGCATGCTCTAATTCACTTCAAGAACATATCATATGCTTACAAGGAAATTACTAAGAAATCTATAAGAATAAGATTACTATCGCAGACTTTAGTTAAAAGAAACTTAAGGGTACTTGGTTAGCTACTTTGTTTCACAAACTCGCTAAGACGTCCATGCCTACTATTTATGGAGAGAGAGAGAGAGAAAGGGAGAGAGAGAGATTTAGGGTGTTTTTCTTATTCTTAAAGTTCAGTGCAGGACCTGACTCACAAGGGTTCTTCGTATGGGGGTTAAAGCTCATCATTCTTCTAATAAGTCTCACAAGGGTTCTACTAATAGATGCAAACAAACTTATAGTAATTGAAACCTCAATGCATATAGACAATGTTAAAAACAATAGCAAAAAAAACTGATGTTTGGAAAGACAGTAGCTACACATGCATATGCATCTAAACTATGCGCTACTCATATGATAATTGGACCATAATACCATAATAGTTCTTTAAATTATTTCGAATATATACTTTTCTTTAACAAAACTAAATGCAGTCTGAATGTCAATAATAGCATTTCAAATTAGTAAGATTCAGCATTTGCAGTCATATAAAGACTATAATCCGAGGCAAGTTCTACCTGGTTCATCCTCCAGCCATCAGACAACAGGTTTTTCTGATTCTCTATAACGCCAAACACACAGTAGAAGTTAACAGTAATTAAAATGACAACTTGAAGAATAAAAAAAAATATCAGAACAGAGCCACTAACCAGAATCAACAGCTTTAATTTCCCTCATTGTAGCATCAGCTGACATCAATGGTTTAATAAAGAACTGAGCAAATCTGAACAATAAACCACACATCAACACAATGTTCAATTTTGAGAATTGTAATGATGAAAATAACGGCCAATAGAAGGAAAAGCATCAACCTATCCAAAGCCTCTTCAAAGGCATCAACATTAATGTCAAAATGATAGTTGGTGTGCTCAGATGAAGTATAAGCATTTGTTCTTCCTCCATGCTGTGCACCAAGAAAATAAACCACATATAGGTTGAAGAAAAACAACATAAGTAAGCAAGCATAAGGGCCCTTATCAAGAGAATATATTTAACATTATCTTTGTTATTCTGTATTTCCACAACACCACCAAAACATTTTATAATAGACATGTCCCCAACAGAGGGCCACTCTCGAATTAGAGAGTCCCTGAGGGACAAGTTGGCAGAAAAGCATTGGAACAAAACATATCTTACGGAATTTGGACAGATATACAAAAGAATCAGGGAAGAGCTAGCTAGTCCGTCCAAATCTTCTATTTGATTCATCAAACATAAATAAATGGTATAATAATGGAAAGTGTGCCCATAAATGAGATTGGATTAAGGAAATGATGGCGCACAACACAATCACAATTCTATAAACCAATCGAAAAGAGCACAGTGGTCTCAGAATTTCCATTGTGATCTCAAAAAACATATAAAAGTAATAAGAACACCTGTCAGAAATCTCAAAGAAGATGCACGTTATAAATTATCTTCAAACATTGACTCCTATCTACTCTCCAGAAGAGAAATCCTTATGTTGTTTGCCTGTATGCTAGAAAGAATGTCTTAGTCTATGATGTGTTATTTGCTTTTGTATCATTTTTTAAGTTCCACTACGTTCAACAAAGTTTGACAATAAGAAACAGAAAGTGGAGGAGCATGGAAAAGAATAAAAATCCATTCAAAATTTATTTGATTGAAAGCATTCAAAAGGCCCGAGTGTAGCTGTGAAGTCTGGCAATAAGTACCTCGGCGATGTACTTTGAGTAACTATCCTCCAAAGGGTACTTTTCACTAGCATAAAACAGCATATGCTCTGCAATAAAACACATGCAATATTCAGAAAAGAATGTCATGAAACATCTTATTCTTTTTCAACCCCACTTTCATGAAAGCTTACTAACAATAAGTCATGAAAATATATAATGAACTCATCTTCTAGTTCACCATTAAAAAAAACCCCTCCAGTGATCAATTTAACCAACCCGATTTTTGTTTGACAAGAAGAAATATTAACCTCTATAAGTGTTACAGAGACTACCATGTACCATAGAAAGAACACCAACTGCTAACCCAAATGGCAACAGAATCAAACTAGAAGTGCTATTCTTTAGCATTGATTTTTAATGGAAATAAAAATTTATATAACTACGTACACAACACCATACCAAATATATACCAAATATAGTATCCAATATCCATATACCAGAACGAGATAAAATAGTATTAAACATTAAAGAAATTAAAGTTACCAAGGAAATGGGCAAGGCCCTCCAGGCCATCAGGGTCGCTGAAAGCACCAACACTGACATCCATGGAAGCAGCACACTGAGAAACAGATAACTTAAACAAATAAATACCCAAAAAAAGATACACAAGACCAAGATTGTGAATTTGTGAATAATAAACGTATTGAATTGAGAAATTAAAAATTAAGCGACAAAAGAGGCCAAGACAAATGAGTATCGGGGAGGCCGTTTGCCTTGTCAGTATCAGGATCGCTGATGAGGAGGACTTCAAGGGAGTTTGGGAGGACGATCCTCCTGTACTCCCTCTTGTCCGTACGGGCTTTCACTATTTCTTCGACCTCTTCCTTCCCAACTGCCATTTGAAATTTCCTTTCTTTTTTCTCTCTCTATTTCTCTTCTACCAAACAACACCGCGAGAGAGAGACACAGAGAAAGACTTGGGTAGTCTTGGTCTTTAGTTCTACGTCAAATAACGCCTTTGTTTCATCCAAAAAAGTTCATGCCTGTGGTGTACAAAGCGTGTGAGTTTCCCCATCCCTTCCCAAAAAAAAACACAAAAATTTTAGACATAAAATAACCTAGGGTAAACTACAGTAAACCCCCAACCTATAGGGTCATTTACGAGTCCATACCCGATTTTAGGGACATTTATGGGTACATACTCAACATCGCGAAAACTTACAGATCGCCCTCTCCGTTAGCAAATCCGTCAGGAAATCCGTTATCTGTCTACGTGGTATTTATGGGGCCCATTTTTAATTGACGTGGAGTTCCACGTGGACAACAAAATAATAAAAAATTTACTTTAAAATAAAAAAAATTATAAAAATTATATAATAAAAAAAGCAAAAACTAAAAAAAAAATCAAATCAAATCAAATCAAATTGAAAAAGGTAAAAAGACGCAAATAGCCTCATTTCATCCCTTCCCTTCCAGCCCAACCTCCGAGCCATAGCAACCGAGTTCTGCAACCAGCCTAAGTTGCTGGGGAGGAAGAGATGACGAGTGGACGATGTCGCGCGCTGCCGACTGGGGACGTTCGATTCGAGAGGGGTAGCGGCGGAATTGCGAGGGCCTATGAGCGACGACGACGACTTCACCGGTGCCAGATGACGCTGTGGGGTTTAGGTTGGCTATGTCGGAGCCTTGCAAGTTGAGCGAGGCAGGCCATGTCGTGATTTGAGCCTGGGGAAGTCCATTCCTTGAATTATACTAAACGAATTCGAATTCTGATATTTTTCTCAGCCAAGCATTTTCTATTTCATAGGCACTGACTTTTTAGATGTTTAGATGTGGTTTTGTTTCTAATGTTTCATCCTTTATAATCTCTATTGTCTTTAAGCAAACTATATCTATGGATTCTTCAAATCTGCTTCGCTTGCTGTTTAAGATTGATTTCAAAACACCCTATGAGATTGGGTTTTATTTTTTTCTGAAAAATAATGTAACTGTGCTATTTGTGAGAGTTCAAATCTCGCTTCTTTCTGTGGGGAAGATGGTGGATGCGAGGGAGAATTGGGTTTCTTGGATTTTTTGAATTTCGCTGACTCCAATGATGTTGTCTTAATTTATGTGGGTTGCGATGGGATGTGAAATTTGAAGTTGAACTCAGCTATGGTTTGGGGAAAACGATCAGATCTATGGCATGAGGGAGGTGATGGGTTGGGCTGGAACAAGGCTGGGATGTGTGGCCTGAGTAAGCTTGGGTGGTGGTTTGGGTGGCTGGGGGCTAGGAGGGGAGGAGAGATCGGGAGAGATATGGGGTTGAAGAAATCTGGGATGGGGGAAGAAATTGGGAGGAAGGAGGAAGAAATTGGGAGAGAGAGTGAATCTCGGTAGGGTGAATGCGTTGATAACCTCCGAGGAGGATGAATGCGTTTGGGTGGTGGTTTGTGTGGCTGGGGGCTAGGAGGAGAGGAGAGAGAGATAGAGATAGAGAACCTGGGATTTTTTTTTTTTTTTTTTTTTTAATATGTTTAATTTCTTAAAATAATTCAAAGAATAAATTTTTTATTATTTTGTTGTCCACGTGGAACTCCACGTCAATTAAAAATGGGCCCCATAAATGCCACGTAGGCAGATAACGGATTTCCTGACGGATTCGCTAACGGAGGGGGCGATCTGTAAGTTTTCGCAACGTTGAGTATGTACCCATAAATGTCCCCAAAATCGGGTATGGACTCGTAAATGACCCTATAGGTTGGGGGGTTTACTGTAGTTAACCCAATAACCTATTTTATCCTTATACATAATTATTGTTAAGGACAAAAATTTTTTTAATAAAAATTAAATTTGCTTGCTAGACCCAAGATATGTCCCTGCAACCTTAGAAGATGTCTAATGCAAGGGCAATAAATGGTACTATTCACAAAATCTAGCCTTTCAAATTTTTTATAATTTTAGTGGTGGTGAGGGGTTAGGGGCTAAGGGCTAAAATTCAAATTTTGTTATGTTAGTTTATTATATTTTATTTGTGATAAAAATTCAAAGCATAAGAAAATCAACACAAAAATTTATTTTTGGAAACAATTTTGAGCCATAATTTGGAACAACAATTTTGAGCAGAATGAAAAAAGACAAACACTTTTTTTTTCATTTTCATTTAATTTTATAGTTACTAGGACAACATATATATGTGCATGTGGTACACATGCTCAACTAGATCATTTCAAAGACTATCATGAACATAATCAGACCTAATTTGTGCATAACTATCCATAAAGTCGCCAAGATTTTGTCCATCTCTACCCACTGGCTCGAATTCTTCATCATCTGGTCCCTCATATATTCTTGCTATCCTTAGGTTCATCGGGTCAACTTCTTTTACATCTAAATCTTCTTCATCTTCGGCATGCTCATCCTCCATAATTATGTTGTGCAGGATTACACAAGCTATCATGATGGTAAGAAGGGTAGCCCTATTCCATATTTGGGCAGCCCCCCGAATGATGCCAAATCGAGCTTGCAGTATACCAAAACATAATTCAACGTCTTTAAAATATGCTTCTTGGTACTTGGAAAACATTTTTTTTTCCTCATTATTGGGCTTTGGAAATGTTTTCACAAAAGTACCACACTTTGGATAAATTCTTCCACCAGATAGTAGCTCATGTTGTAGTCATGTTCATTAACATTGTACACCACCTGAGGTGCTCGACCTGTCATGCGTTCATTGAACACCGGTGATTGTCCAAGCATGCTGATATCATTTTGGGACTCAAGAGTTTCAAAATAGGCATGCCAGACCCAAGTGTCGAATGAGGCAACAGCCTTTATAATTATAGTGGGGTTTTTTTTTATGACCATTAGAAGCTCCAACCCAGTTGTTTTTCCACTTCCAATGCGTACAATCAATGCTACCTAATATACCTAGAAAATCTCGTTGCTCAACTTTATTCAAAAGCTTATGCAAGTTCGCCGATGTTGGTGAGAGCGAAGATAGTCCAACATGTAGATTGCTTCAATTGCATTGCAAAATCGTGCCATAGACTCGATTGTTGTTTGGCCCTCCCTCCTTCAAATCTCATCGCACTGATTTGCAAATGAGCCATAAGCAAGCATTCTAAGTGACGCAGTGAGCTTCTGATGGGGCTACAAACCAAGTTTACCGAGGGCATCCGGCTTTTGTTGGAAGTCATTGTCATGACCAACAACATCATGAAGTATGCAGTCGAAGAGGTGAAGCATCATTCTGTAACACCTTCGAAACCAAGTGGATGAGTATACCGGTCTTGGCATGAAATAATCCCTCCTCAGCATCTTGTCATGGTCTTTCCTATATCAATTGATGTATTCTCGACCGTTTTGAGAAGTTGGTTTGGTGGGCAGATTGGAAGAGGAGCTTTGAAATTCTTCCATGGTGCCAAGGATAAGAGCGTTTTTCTAACATCTACTCTCATCATATTCTTCACGATCCCAGCTCATCTTTTTGAAATATCTCTTCATTATGAAATGATAAAAAAAAAGATATCCAAGTGTTGGATTTTGAAATATAGGGGACCCAGACTTTAGTTTATTTGGGGGCTTAAAACATAAGGTGACGCTAGTACTAAAGGCAACAATGTTGAAACAGAATGTGGAATGTTCGCAACTTACGAGGTAATCATTTTGAGTATCTTTTTTTTTCTTATGAAATCCCTTTAATATTATTAACATGGCATTAGTGTTTCAAATTTTAACTTCAAATAACATGAGTGTAATGTGCAAATATTCAAAGGTAGAGATGTATTAATTAGATGGGCTCGTGCACAAGGAAAAATAAATAATATCATAATTATTATTAGAAAGTTTGATTCTGGAGGTCAGGGCAAGAGGCTGAGGGGACCTACTTGCTTATGAGAGGAACGGTAAATATGAGTCTTACAAGTCTAGTGAGACAAATAGTGGTCAGATGTAAATTGTGATGCAAAAAGGCATTTGAGGGACATTAGTACGAAGAAATGTGGATGCCCATTCTTATTAAAGGATGTCAATATTGGTGATGGGGATAATTGGAAGTTGGAGATGGTTTGCGGAGTACATAACCATACTGTTTCCAAGTATCTTTAAGGTCATTCAATTGTACGGCGACTTTCTAAAGAGGAGAATGACTTGTTGGCGGACATGTCTAAGAGTTTGGTAAAACTCATGGATATTTTGGTCACCCTAAAGGATAGAGATGCAATGAATGTTTCAACTATGAAGACAATATACAATGTTATGATATGAAATAGAAGTAAAGAATTTGCTCGGAGAACACATATGCAACAATTACTTACTAAGTTGTCCAAACAAATTATATTGATTGGCATAAGACATCTAGTAATATTGTAACTGACTTGTTTTGGAATCACCTGTTAATATTGAGATCTTGCGGGCATTTCCACATGTATTTATTATGGATTGCACCTATAAGACTAATAGGTATCGTTTCCCACTTTTACAAAGAGTCGATGGGGCTCGAGAACACAAAGATTAAGACATCTTTTGAAAAAAGTAGATGGGGCTGGTCTTCTTAAGGGGTTAACCTTATCGCATTGTGTCTCTTCGTTGAGGCTGTGGGACGCTTTCTATCAGGTTGAGATGATGCAGCCTCAGTAGTACCTCTATGTATCCTCTTCATATCTAATGAATCAAGACATGGTATTATGCACTTGTATTTAAAAAAGAACGCATGATAAGTATCATTATTGTCGTAAACGATTACACATCCTCACATTTTAACAAGTATGTGGACTACCCAAAAAACAATATTAAGTACAAAATAAAAAAATGAATTGGGTAGACTACCAATGAAAATAAAAACAAAATTATTTAGGATTGCATCAACTTCCACATCAGTCGAAAACTAGAAGTACATACAATAAAAATTAGAATAATGAAACTAAATTGAACTTGAAAGACAAAATAAATAATAATTAGTTTAGTATATAAGGTGTGCGCATACATAGTGGTTGAAAGTAAGGAATGATAATACAGTTGTTGTATAGTTTTTAGGGGAACGTGGTTTAAGCACAATACATTTGTCAACCTTATATCAGTCATAGTGCATAACGTCAAATTAGGGTAGTAAGCTAACGAAGTTCCAGAAGAATTTACAACATTGTTAATCCAATCTGCCATATTCAGAACCATGCCACTCAACTTGATATCCAGATTCTGTTGCATCAAAGGATGTTCATCTACAACTTGTTTATCTTTAAATCTACACCTTAATCTCTCTTCTGCATTCAAAAGTGCTGGGTGCTTCCATAATTTTTCACTACATAAATGAAAAAGAAAATTTCATAAATAACTACAACAATAGTGAGTTGAAAAACTATATATAAAAAAAAGTAATAATTGTTGCTTACAAGTCATTGTAGTTGCTCGCTAGGTATGTTAGAAACATTGCTAACTCCGCAGGCACTTGGAAAGTAGGGGAAAAGGAGTTAATCATTTGGATAAATTGAGTAACAGCATCTCTATTATTGAGCACAATTCCAAAAAATTTGTGCAGTTGTTTACAATATAAATATTTCTTGCAGAAATATTGCTCTAATAGTTGGCATGATGAATGATATTGTTCAAATGGTGATTCTATTTGACCCAAAATTTGCTATTTTGACACCATATACTATTTACACCTCGTAACATTTTTAGTGAAATTTAAAAGTACTCTTTACACACTTTTTTCTTCCTAAATTACCCTCATATAAAGTGGACTAGCAAAGAGTGAATAGTTATCCACGATCTCTCAAATTTAAGTTGACTCGAGCAAAGTTTTCGCTTCAACTTTTCATGTAAACTTTCCGCTTTCATATGAAGTGGACTCACAAAGAGTGATACTCATCCACGATCTCAAAAAGTTAAGTTGACTAGAGCGAAGTTTTCGCTTTAACTTTGCATGTAAACTCATCCATTTTGTTGATAACATAGCGGTTGAATGTAAGGAACGATAATGCAGTTGTTGTATAGTTTTTAGGGGAACGTGGTTTAAGCACAATACATTTGTCAACCTTATATCAGTTATAGTGCATAACGTCAAATTAGGGTAGTATGCTAACGAAGTTCCAGAAGAATTTACAACATTGTTAATCCAATCTGTCATATTCGGAACCATGCCACTCAACTTGATCTCTAGATTTTGTTGCATCAAAGGATGTTCAACTACAACTTGTTTAGCTTTAAGTCTATACCTTAATCTCTCTTCGGCATTCAAAAGTGTTGGGTACTTCAATAATTTTTGGCTACATAAAAGAAAAGAAAAAAATCATAAATAACTACTATAATAGTGAGTTGAAAAGCTATATAAAAAAAAGTAATAATTGTTGCTTGCAAGTCATTGTAGTTGTTCACTAGGTATGTCAGAAACATTGCAAACTCCGCAGACACTGGTAAAGGAGGAAAAAAGGAGTTGATCATTTGGATAAATTGAGTAACATCATCTCTATTACTGATAACATTTCCAAAAAAGTTGGGAGGTTGTTTACAATATAAATATTTCTTGCAGAAATATTGCTCCCATAGTTGGCATGAGAAATGAAATTGTTCAACAGGTGATTCTATTCGACCCAAAATTTGCTATTTTGACCCCATATACTATTTACACCCTATAACATTTTTAGTGAAATTTAAAATTACTCTCTACACACCTTTTTCTTCCTCAATTACCCTCATATGAAGTGGACTCGCAAAGAGTGACTAGTTATCCACGATTTCTCAAAGTTAAGTTGACCCGAGCAAAGTGTTCGCTTCAACTTTTGCATGTAAACTTTCCGTTTTCGTATGAAGTGGACTCGCAAAGAGTGAATACTTATCCACGATCTCTTAAAGTTAAGTTGACTCGAGCGAAGTTTTCGCTTCAACTTTGCATGTAAACTTTTCGCTTTGTTGATAACATAGTGGTTGAATGTAAGGAACAATAATGCAGTTGTTGTATAGTTTTTAGGGGACCGTGGTTTAAGCACAACACATTTGTCAACTTTATATCAATCATAGTGCATAACGTCAAACTAGGGTAATAAGCTAACAAAGTTCCAGAAGAATTTACAACATTGTTAATCCAATCTGCCATATTCGGAACCATGCCACTCAACTTGATCTCCAGATTCTGTTGCATCAAAGGATATTCATCTACAACTTGTTTAGCTTTAAATCTATACCTTAATCTCTCTTCTGCATTCAAAAGTGCTGGGTGCTTCAATAATTTTTGGCTACATAAAAGAAAAAGAAAATTTCATAAATAACTACTATAATAGTGAGTTGAAAAGCTATATAAAAAAAAGGTAATAATTGTTGCTTACAAGTCATTCTAGTTGCTCGCTAGGTATGTCAGAAATATTGCTAACTCCGCAGGCACTTGGAAAGCAGGGAAAAAGGAGTTGATCATTTAGATAAATTGAGTAACATCATCTCTATTACTTAAACAATTCCAAAAAAGTTGCACGGTTGTTTACAATATATATATATATATATACATTTAATATAATAGTTATTTAAATATTTAAGTATGACACCGCTAAGTTTCTACCGGAGAAACAATCCAACCGGGGGATTGTTTGACTAATCCACATGGAAGAATCCTCAATTGACCATGTGGCTAGGGAACGAGCCGTCCAACTAGGACTAAGCTCACCAGCACGTACAACAGAAACCTCAATACTCGTATGTCTGTGACAAGTCCTGCGTGCGTAGACTACCCCACTAAGGGTCTACAAAACACCCTGTCAAGGTGCCAGTTCCAACATAACCAAGTATCTCAAATTCCAAATATCCGGGGAAGTACATATGATAGTGCGCATAGCACTTCAAACGGACATATTACAATCTCATTTCTTTCCAAAATCTCACATCAACACCCCACGTACCCTACACATACCCGAACATAGATAGCAATTCTCAAAAATATTATATATCAACTCAAGATACTTGCAATATGCCGAAACCCAAATACATTTCAAAAATATATAGAAATATCAAGTCCAACAATTAAAAAATAATAAACTCATTAAATCATCATGCATAGTCTTCCATCATAAAATCAATGCTTATTATTTGAAAACAAAGTCAACTCACAAGTAGTTTCACGCTGCTTGACCTTGAGAGGGTCCCGCCTACTGCGTACGAGTGGTCGGAGTACCTATTTCAGAATCCGAGTACGAGATCAATACAAAACGCTTCGAACAGAAACTTTAAATTAAAATCCTAGTTTCCTGGGTTTCAAGTAAGTGCATGAGGAACGAGAAATTCCTAAAGTCCAACTACGTGTTTCAGATGATGGGATAGCCTCGGAAGACACTCGGTCAATCAGGCGGTCAAATTTTCCAAATTGGGTCAACCGGGCCCACGACCTCCAATTTCCAATCTAGAAGTTCTTAAGGGTTCCACAAGGTTTAGAATACACGTCCTGAAAGTTTGTTCTGGATTGAACGGTCGGATTGCTCGTGATAGTACGATCGGATGGTTATCGTTTAACGCAAACTTTAAGTTATTGAATCGGCACATCCAGGGCTCCGATTCACGATCCGCGAAATCCTACACGATCTTAGGGATGCCTAGATCATTATATATTAAATTGGAGTTGATCCAACAGTCCGAACATGTAGAACCCGTATAACGCCTAATATGCTATATCTGATCGACGGTCAAACGATAACCAAATTCAAATATGAGCATATTGTCGTGCTTGAGACGACATAAGGGTTATTTTAGGACCAAGAAGGACACTAAAACAATGCCATGTGCCGCTACACACGACAGCAACGTGTGGGTGTCCAAAGCGATTCAGGCGATCGGAAAATCTCCAAACCGCCATTGAAGACCTATACCTATATGATCTCGACATTGAGTGGAGCAACTTTTGTTCTTGGACCAACCCCAAAAGTGATCGGAAGTGGCCGAAATCTAGGGCCAAAATCGACCGAAACTTTAATCACTTAAATCCATTTCAAAACGCAGAAATTAATCCTAAAAAACACAATTGGTAGCTAAAACACATCGAGAGGATGAGAAAACATACCAAGTTCAATGAATTTGGTTGCCAGAAACGTCTGAACGTACTCCGTGAAGTTTTAAGTAAAAACGGTCGGTTTTTCGCTTTTTCCTGTGACCATAGGCAGCGGTTTCGGCGGTTAAGGGGTGGGGTAGGAAGAGGGAAGTGAGCTTGACGTTTTGGTATCAATCCGGCCAAAAATGGCGGCCGGATGTGGTGGTAGTGGGGTGAAACCGACGGTGGCTGTTTGGGGGGAAAGGGAGGGGCTGTTTTGCACAATAGGGAGAGAGAGAGAGAGAGATCGTGAGGGTGGGAGAGAAATGAGAGAAAAAAAGATCTGATTTTTAATAAACCCAACTTTAAAATATTTACCGTTATGCCACTAGGCTTTTGTAGCTCATAACTTCTTCGTTACAAATCTGATTTGAGCACACTACGTGTCTTCGTTGCAGTACCATTCATTTCCCCAAAATCCTTCCGAGTAAAAAGTGACCAAATTACCCCTACCCTTGAGAGCAAAATTGAAATTTCATAATTAATTAAATTAATTAATTTAAATGGATAATTAAATTAGGGTCGGGGTGTTACAACCTTCCCCTTTATAAAATTTCATCCTCGAAATTTACGTACATGTTAATGGAAGAGATAAGGGTATTTGGCTCGCATTTGCGCCTCGGGCTCCCAAGTAGCTTCTTCAACAGTTTGACTCATCCATAACAACTTCACTACTAGGATGGATCTAGAGCACAACACTTGTTCCTTCCTATCCAGAATTTTCACTGGTTTCTCCTCATATGACAAATCTTCTCTCAACTCCACAGGTTGATATTCCAGGATATGAGAAGGATCAAGCATGTACTTCCGTAACATGGACATATGAAACACATCAACGAGTCCAATGCGTTATATGATCTCATAAGGTCCGATATAACAAGGGCTTAACTTTCCACAATTCCCGAATCTCATCACACCTTTACAAGGAGATAGCTTTAAGAACACCCAATCCCTAACTGCAAACTCGAGATCTTTGGACCTGTTGTTTGCATAACTCTTCTATCGGTCTTGAGCGGTTTTTAGCTTCTCTCGAATCATCTTTACTTTCGTGGTTGTTGCTTAGATACATTTTACATTTTCTACTTTCCTGTCACCCACCTCATTCCAACAAATAGGAGTTCTACACTGCCTTCCATACAAAACATCATACGGAGCCATCTTAATGTTCGAATGATAACTGTTGTTATACGCAAACTCCACCAAGGCAAGATGAGTATCCCAACCATCCTTAAGCTGCAACACACAAGATCTCAACATATCTTCCAAGGTCTGAATCGTCCTTTAGGTCCATCAGTTTTTGGATGAAAAGCCATACTAAACCGTAACCTAGTACCCATAGCCTTATGTAAACACTTCCAAAAGCGAGATGTAAATCTAGCATCCCTATTCGACACAATGGACACAGGCGCTCCATGCAATCTCATTATCTCATCCACAAAGAGCTTAGCCAGTTTCATCAAGGAATAGGTTTCTTTAATAGGTAGGAAGTGGGCGGATTTGGTGAGTTGGTCAACTATCATCCAAATTCCTTCATGCCCTATTGAACCTCTTGAAGTACGTGGAAGTTTGAAAACGAAGTCCATCTTGATGTGTTCCCACTTCCATTCAGGAATCGGAAGTGGTTACATAAGTCAAGATGGTTTCTGTCACTCCGCTTTCACTTGTTGACAAATCAAACATATGCTCACATACCTAGCAATATCACCATTCATATGCGGCCACGAGTAGTACTCACGTTGAGTCCGATACATCTTAGTACTACTCGGGTGCATAGAATAAGATGAAAAGTGAGCTTTTTCCTTGATCTCTCTCTTCAAGTCGCCGTTCTTAGGTACACAGTGGTGAGTTCCTGTCACCAAGGCTCCATCCTCTCTTATTGCATAATCCGTCAGTGTACCATTCTCTACTTCCAATCTTATCATATAAAGAGTAGGATCCTCCAATTGGGCTGCAATCACCCACTCAACCAGAATAGGCCTCACATTTAAATTGGCGAGTATTCCACCCTATTGACTCATTCTCAATTCTACACCATCCTTCCGCAGTTCCACCAATAACGGAAGATAGGCCATTCTGAGATGTGCTAAGCTTCCACTAGTCTTCTCTTCCTACTCAAAGCATTTGCTACCACATTAGCTCGGTTGGGATGATACTCAATAGTGTAATCATAGTCTTTAATCAATTCCAGTGATCGCCTTTGTCTCATATTCAACTTCTTATGAGTGAAAAAGTACTTAAGGCTCTTGTGATCAATGAAAATCTGACACGTCTCACCATACAAGTAGTGTCGCCAAATTTTCAGAACAAACACAATTGCAGCAAGTTCTAAGTCATGGGTAGGATAATTCTGCTCGTGCTTCTTGAGTTGCCTCGAGGCATAAGCAATCACTCGATCATGTTGCATCAAAACACATCCCAAACCTTGTAATGATGCATCACTATAGATCACAAAGCATCGTTCAGACGAATTGCACTAGCATGGTAGTAGACGAGGCACTAACCTAGATGACCCCAATATGGGTATTCCTCACCAACGGTGCACTCCCCCAGGACAAGATCCAAGCTCGACAAATCCAGGCAAGGGCCACACGTTACACTATCATAGGCCAAACACTGTACATGCGAGGCCACTTCTTGCCCCTATTATTGTGTGTTACCGCAGAGAAAGGATTAGAGGCCCTACAGGAAATCCATGAAGGAATATATGGTTATCATGTTGCGGCCTAGTCAATGGTGAAAAAGGTAGTGCGACGAGGATACTTTTGGCCAACCATGAATACCGATGCCAAGCGCCTAGCCACGTCTTGCCGCCCTTGCCAGCTCTTTGTGAACATACCCTACCAGCCACCCGAGCGGCTCACCAACAAGACCAACCCTTGGCCATTCGCATAGTGGGGGTTGGACCTGATCGAGCTTATGCCCAAAGGAAAAGGACAGACCAATTATGCGGTCGTCGTCGTGGACTATTTCACCAAATGGGCAAAAACATAACCTCTGTCAACCATCAAAGCAGCAAAGGTACAGAACTTCGTTTGGAAAAATGTTGTTTGTCGGTTCAGCATCCCATACACCATCATCATAGACAATGGAAAGCAGTTTGACCGCAAAAAATTTCGAGTCTTATGTTCTGACCTGCAAATCAACCTCCGATTTTCTTCCTTAAACCACCCATAAGCAAATGGCCAAGTAGAGGCCGTTAACAAACTCCTAAGAAAAAGCTGGGAGCCAAGAAAAGGGCCTGGTCGGAACTTCTACAAGAGTCTTATGGGCCTACCGCCGCATTGAGCGCAATTAAATTGGAGAAACCTCATATTCGTTGGCATTCAGAGCCAAAGCGATCATTCTTATTGAGGTCGGCATCCCCACACAGAGAGTCGACCACTACACATCCAAACAGAATGCGGAGCAACTCACTCTCAGCATGAATTTGTTGGAGGAGAACCGACTCCGCTATGCCCTTCATCTCGCCGCATATCAACAACGAACAGCTCCGTACTATGACCATCATGTTTGTGAGCGTAACTTCTGACCCGGCGACTTGGTCATACGAAAAATACTACTTAGAACCAGGGACAAGACGGCTAGTATCCTAGGGGCTAGCTGGGAGGGACCCTACCAAGTCTTTAAGATTGCCCGATCAAGAACGTATAAGCTCACCCAAATTAATGGCTAGATATTGCCACATTCATGGACCGCCAAGCACCTAAGGAAATACTATCCTCAGGTAGTAGCATGTGACCTCACACATGCACATCACTATTTTTGTCTTTTGCTTATCGCCTACTATGTTTTCCCTCTAAGCACGCGCACACAACATTGAACTACCCGACCCAGCGCTGTGCTCGGCTTGAAATCATTGTACTCTACTTTTGTACTTAATGAAATTACGGGTTACTTTTCTCTTTTATTTCTGCTTGGGTGATCTTGTCTAAGTTATTTTTAGTTTTAAAGCCTCTAGCCGGCTCTGCTTACACAAAAATGCACATGCATGTATTCCAAAATTAACTTAAAACAAGGTAGTTAACGAAATCTCTAAAAACAAAGTGCCTAATAAAATATTTAAAAATTTAAACCAACATAGCGAGCATGTTTACACAAACTACACCGAGCCAACTAAAGGCCAGCACATTGTTCAAAAATATTTTTTTTACAGGAGCTACACAGTTAAAGTGTAAATTACATCTTCAATCTTGTCGAGGATGGTAACCACCACTTCGCCACTCGGATCTCCACCAGCTGTCGGGCCTTCAATGTGCAGGGTCAGGTCTCCACCTTGAGTCATGGGATCGCCACCTTAACCACCGGCTCAAAGTCTTGAGCAACTGGTTTGGAACTATGGGCAACTGAGTCCCCCTCAGTGCCTTCTTCCTCACTCTGCTCTGCTAGGATCTCCTTGGCTTCATCGTCTAGAAAACTCCAATCTAAAGAGAGATACTTCTCCCATACCTTCTCAATTAGGTCAAAGTATTCCTCGACCCTTTGAGCAGCGAGCCTCTCCTAGTACTCGGCTGACTTGATGAAGTCCTTGACGACATCATTATAGCACGAGCGCAGCTCGGAAGAAAAAGTGTCGATCTTCTGCATCGTCCCATCTAACTCTTTCTGCCACTTCAACAAATGTACGCTCAAGCCGTGCTTCTCCTCAGTCAGCTTGTTCACCGACGACAACAGCTTGACATTCTTCTTCATCTCTGCTTCTAGTCGACCTGGCACGAGATCTAGCTCTTCCTCAACCTTCGCCTTCTCGCCGATGGTCCTGCTCAGCTAGGCAACGATCATTGCCTGCTCATCCCTCTTGCCTCGATCAAACTCACGATGAGCAGCCACGTTCTGAGCTGCAATAAACAGCTTCAAAGTGGCTTGCATTGAAAAACCAATGAGGATCAAACATAACAAAATTGACAAGGATGAAAGACAGAGAGGGGGGGGTCAGGATACACTACTTTCATTTGGTCCTCTAAAGCAGATAGGGTCATGCCACTATACCCCATCTCCTCAGTGAACATCCCCTAAACGACCTTCAACTTCAAACTCCGCTTAATTGCCTTATGGTACGAGCTGAGCACTAATTCCTCATCCACTCATGGCTCTGGTGGACCACTGACATGGTCCACACTTGTCCTCTTAACCCCCTCTGGAGCAGAAGAGTCTACCTGCCTCTTCCCGTATCCCTCATAAGCTATTCTTCAACTCTCCTCTTCTCGGTATCTCGTGGTAACTACTCGTCAGCTCAGCTCTTCTGAGACCCCTAAGCGAGAGTTGCAGCCACGCTAGTCGCTGGGTCCGAGCCATCGACATGTGCAGAGAGACCCCCACCCAAGCTGGTTATAAGCCCCCAGTCGATCCACCAAACGAGCCATTCTTAGTCATCTTCATTAGTCGAGCTTGCATATTGGGATCATTTTTACTCGACCTCATTGTTGTGCAAACATGAAATAGTTATAAACATTAAGTTGCTCATGCTCATGTTGATCACATTCATTACAAAAACGTGATAGCTTACTTGCTGAGCTAATTACACCTTTGCTCGCAAGAAGTATATCTACAGCTCTTTCGGTACTAGGCAAGGCGAGCACTTGGTCAACCTGCTTCTGCTAGACTACGAACAAATCGGCTAGCTCCAATTCAACTACAATGGTCACCATATGTGTTAGGATTATCTCCCAATATGTCAACAAGACACCACATTACTCTATGCAAAAAAAAATACCAAACAAACAAACAAATAAAAAAAAAGGAAAAAAAAAGAAGAGCTTAAGGAATCCTGCACGTCAACTCGACCTAGCATTCTAAATCGCCTCTGTATTCGAGGCAGCCTCGGCTCCGCCCTTTTAGGAAATTCCTACTCACTCGACGCACTCTAAAGGTAGCAGAAGCTGACCTGGTACGGACTCTTCTTCAACAGGAAATAGTGCAACATCTGGTTTATGGTCGGCTCTGCATTGTGCACCTGCCGCTATAATGCCTGGACACTTACCATGGTCCTCTACACGTTTAGGTTCATTTGATGTGGGGCTACATTGAGCCGACTCATCCATTCCAGGAGAAAGGGAGATAACGTCAACCAAACCTCTTGCTTAAGCATATCTACACACAAGGTCACCCACCCTAGAAGGGGCGTGCTTAGCTTCTCATTCCCGATTAGCCTTCTAAGCCTCACGCTGCTCGGTATAACATACTTTTCCCTTAACTGATCCAGTTTCTGTTGTGTCATCGTGCTCGGATGTTCATCAATCGACCACCCTCCCTCACCCATGTCTGTACCTATAGTCGCTTCTATCACCCCACCCACGCCAGCTAAGGCCACTATGACTACTTCCCTGTCTTCAGCCCCACCACTTCCTTCACCCGAGTTGGCACCCCATACTTCCTTATCTCCTACCCCACCTCCAACCCCTTGGTACTCAAAGTTCCCACCGAGACCAATGCATCATACATTTGATCTACTACATCCACATCATCCTTATCATCCCTAAAGGTCGACCCGCTACTCGTCGTATCTTGCAAATTAGACATATCTGATCAGCTCGACATATTTTTCACTGCTCACAATACTTCAAACACAACCAAAGGGGAAGGGGACAGAGTCTAAGGATCAAAACATACCAAAACAAGAAAATCAACGAACAACACATGCTAAACCCAGAAAATGCAAGGTAACTAAAAAAAAACCTAGAGTTATGATTCTGGGAAAACAGAAGGAAGAGAAAGGAAAGAACTTACCCAAAACAAACTCGGAACTGGACTAGGGCCGCTTGCTCCACTCTACAACAGTGGCGCATCGAGGGAAATGCTTGGAAATCTTCAAAATTTCTCAAACAGGATTAATGGAGAAAATTTTAACTGCAAGTTGCTCCAAGCTTTTTATACAACGACGACCATGAAATCTCCACCATTCGAGCGTTTGCTAGACCTGCTAAAATGGCCACACGTGGCTGCACCACGACAGCCATCAGATGAAGCAACAGAGCACGCATCGATTCGACCCTTCGAAAGGTCTGATGTCAAAAGCCATTAAATGCATCCCTGCACAGCCAATCAACCACGGCCACGTCACCCCCACTAGAGTACCCCAAATTCAAAACCCCGGGTGTCGATAATATGCCTCCCAAGGGAAACCAGACATGACAAAATGTGAAACAGTGCTCGGGCATTCAAACATCGACCCGACCACTGTGGTGTTGTGTATGACCAGAGGCGCATTGATGATATACAAGCATGATTAGACCCCTGTCAAGTTAGTCACTCCATTCGTCTGATCGACAAGCTGGTGATGGAAAAAGATCAGTTAATGTACTTCCCATCTAAAGCTAGGTGTCGCATCACCCTTAGATCCCCAAATAGCACCCTAGTGATGGAGATGGATCATTTAATGTGCCTCCCATCCACGTGTCACTTTGCCGTATGATCCCCTGTCAGATAGCATAGTGATCAGAACAGGTCATTTAATGTAATCCAGTCCCACTAGGGAGAATTGAGAGAAATATCTTCTCCTTAAATCTCTCCCTCTCCCCCTTATAAATACTTGTCACCTACATCATGACAGAGTTAATACATATTTGGGTAAACTACCGAAATGCCCCCTAAACTTGTACTTAATTATCAATTTACCCCTTGACCTTTTTTTTAGCAATTAAAGATTTGAATTAAATTTTATTGCCAATTCTCCCCTTACCATCTAAATCAACATGTCATCCAATAATTCGTCAAATCATTAAAAACAAAATGAAAAAATTAAAGGAAAAAAAAACAAAAATGAAAAAAATAAATCCTATGGACTCCACCCCGTCCCCCCAATTAACTAAGGTGAATTATTTTTGGAGAAAGACCTAGAAATTGAAATGGAATGAATAGTTTGTTGGGAAGAAGCGTAAAGTATAGCTCCAAATGTATCTGCAACTTCCCACACACAAACAAGTCAGCCACATAGCATACATAATAAAACAAAATTTGCAATTTACAAGCCCACCAGCACAATCAAACACTCACTCTTTCTCGCGGTCTTCTTCTCCACCTCATTCCCCCATGACCACCAACTCTTCACTCTAGACCAATCACCCCACCCTTCAGTTTTTTTTTACCCCCAGACCATTCATCCCTTCTCATCCTAATCCAATTTTATGACTACCACCCCTCAACAAACCCAGAACCCACAAACCCACACCCCCCCATGAACCCATAACCCCCGCAACCACCCGTTTTCTTCTCCCTCATTCCCCCATGACCACCACCGCAAGCCACCCTTCCTTGCATCCCTAGTCTCCATAGAAATCAATATCCTTCCTTTTCTCCATCTCTTCCTCTCTCCCTTTCCCATTCGAGCTCCTTTCCTTCCCTTTGTAATCTATACCTTTAATTACAACAAAAGGGAAAAAGATGAAGTGGGTGGGCCCCTTTATTTATTAAAATTATTATTATATATATATTATTTCAACATTTAAAATGACCAATTTTCCCTCATATTTAATGGCAAATTGGAGGAAATGTTGAGATTTAGACAGTAGGGGGAATTGATAATAAAATTTAATTCGAGCCTTTAATTCACTAAAAAAAAAGGTCAGAGGGTAAATTGATAATTAGGTACATGTTCAGGAGGCATTTCGGCAGTTTCCCTAAATATTCTTACCTTGCAAACCTTACATTCATGTTTCTCCACCTATTAACCACTTCTGACTTAACTATCGGAGGGAGTTCAACTGGGACAAACTCCAGTTCACTCTTATTCTGATAGCTGTTCGAACTGTGCAGATCTCCTCCATGAAGCATATCAACCTAGAGATCAAGCATATATGCCCCAACCTTAATACAAATTTAGGCTATACATTATACGAGAAGAATACACGGTTTACACAAGAAGTGAGAGAGAACGAGCAATAATAAATACAAGAATTCAACACTAATTTTATATTGAACCTGTAGGGGCCTTTTTCTTCTGGTAGCTATAAATGGGTTGGGCTGCCATAAAGAGCAAACTGAAGAAATAATCCCCTTGTGTCTGAGTTCAAAGATCAGACCCTAAAATGTTTCGAAAAGATAGTAAAGCCTTAGGAAACACCTTGGTTACTTTCACCAACAAAAATAATGGCTGCTTACAGATAGATTCTTAGTGCTTACAGATGAATTCTTAGCTTGGCATGAGGAGATCGTGACATGAAAGCAAAATTGACATGAGTTTAGCATTGAAGAGAAAATTATGTGTTCTTGGAAGGAAGGAAGGGTATCAAGGTAAGAAAGGAAAGGTTTGCAAGAAGATTTGGCTGAGAAAAAAGGGATGGGTGGCTTGAGCGTTTTTTCCGGTAGCTTGACAGAAACTCTGTTAAGTGTTAGAACAATCTACCATAAGAGGGAAAATGGGGAAGAAGGGTGAATAGTGCACAAAATTGCTGGGTTTTGCAGGTAAGAGAGAAAGCTTGCTCTCTGGATGTGGTTGATTTTTATTGGGTAAAAGATACCCTATTTATAGCCGCTGGAAGCCATTTTTTTCCAAGAAACCCTAATGGCTTCTATCCCATTTTGCCAAGTCTTTCCCTTCATTTCTCCTCTCATCCCTTCAATCATCCTATTTTGGTGAAATCTACTCTGCTCTTTTGCACAAAATCAGGGATTTTGGGAGCTCAAGGTCCCTTTCCCGCAGTTGCCCTAGTGATGAATTCCTATTTTCTGATATCTCCTTCTCTCCCTTTCTTTTCCTCCTTCATGGTCAGATCTGATGAATGAAATAAATTGGTATACATGCTGGTTCGAAGGGTGGCTCCTTGCGCGCCAATATCTTTTGGTTCCTTTGATGTTTTGCTTGAAAACTTGTTCCTTCCCTCCCAGCAACCCACGTGGTCTTCCAAGCTCCTCCCGTGGCTTTGTCTTTTAGCCAAAAGATGGAGCCTTTACTGCTTCTTACTTCTAATTGTATGGGTCTCCTAAGATAGCAAGTCAACCTACCAAACAAGTGGGCTAATCTTATCAAGTATTTGGGCTATATGGGTTAATTTTAGTGGACCATTTTGATTGGGCTTTTTGGTTGGAATATTTTGGTTGGGTTATTTTGGTTGAGATATTTTCCCTTTTGTGCTCACCCATATGTTTGGGCCTAAGAAATGGGCTTGGGTTCCGAGGCTCCCAAGCAACCCGGAACCTCCATTTCTAGGCCCATCAATGGGTCTCATGACAACTTATTACCATCCATGCCACAACCCACTCAAGCAATCCCCATGCATTCGAGTGGTTTGGGACCACTTAGGCTTGTAGCGTGGTTAGGTGTGTAATAATGATTTCCTGCTTGGCATGGCATGTCGCTTGGCATGGCATATCGCTTGGCATGCTTTTAATTATTATGCTTGACGGGATAATTAACATGAATTTGCAGAGCTAATGCATTTTATAATCTTAATATTAATTCCTAGCATGACAGATTATTTATTTGGCATGTCGCGTGGAGTGTGACTTATGCATGGCAGACTTTTGTGTGCTCCAAGTCGGGTTTTTTCTCAATAAGGTATTGCTCTGGGCCGGAAATTCATTTGGGCCAAGCCGTGGATTTTTTGGGCCTCAACAGAACCTATGAATCTTGGACAATGTCTTTGGTGTCTATAAATGAATGAACCTTGATACAATCTATAAAAAATAAATAAATAAAAGATTCTTTTTGAGCTATAAGTTTACTATCTAGGTGCCATAGTTGTGCTAACTTCAGCTTGTATTGACACTATAAAACATTTTCAGAATATGAAAATTTGTCAAAAACAATTGTAATTTGTAAGGTTGTTTTTTTCATAAATTATAAATGATAAAAAAATAAAATAAAATAAGAGTCAACATCAGGAAGAAAAATTCATGGATCTGCCTGACACTTTTGGCATTCATTACTTGTGAGTGAAACTTTTGGCATTGATGGGGAAAAAGAAAGCAAGGTTTTGGAAATTACACTAATAAGCTCACTGTGTTTTTAGAAAATATAATAAGCTCATTAACATCACTTTCGTACTACTTACCTTCCAGTTACATTTACTATTATTTATTTTCTACATTGCTACCTATGTGGCCAAAGCCGACGTTCAAATGGCATAGATGTAGCCAAAGGCAGAACTTTGTTAAAAAAATTATTAGGTTTCCTACGATTTTTTTTCCAATAATTCAAACTATCTATTTTTTTAAGTTTGCATTCATAGATCATCCTTGCAAAAAATTAGACAAATCAAAAACCGTTTAAACATCCAATTGTGTCATACAAAATCAATGAATACAGTGATTTAAGAAAGTACTAAAATTTCAATAATTCAATTGAGTGGTCAAATGATATTGGATTCAAGGGATTTTTTTTTGTAGAGATGATATTTGATTGAATATCTACACACACACACACAAAAAGACGGTTTGAATTAGTATAATACAATATGATACGATATAGTACATAAATAGGTTTATTTTAGGGGTTCTTAGATATATGTCAATTTTCATTAAGATACAATAGATGGACATCAATTTTAGCTCCTCAATAGCAGTCCACCAAACAATCCAATGGACACGTAAGCAATGCCTTTTGTCCATACTTTTAAAGATATTTACTTCTAGTGCCATTAAATAGAAAAGGCAAATAAAACTGACCCCTCCCAAAGATTTGCTTGTCTCTTATAATCATGGTCATTCCATCCCAATCTCTACTGATTTATTACTTCCTTAATGAAGATTTTCACAATTTCCAAATGAGGATTGAATTACTCACTACTACATTTTTCACTTTGCGCGACGAAGAAAATTTCGTCGCGCAAAATACATTATAGTCGCACAAATTTTAGTGCGACAGAAACTTCATCGTGCAGATTCCGTCGCGCAAAGATCGTGGAGAAAGACTTTGCGCGACGAAATTTTTTCATTCGTCGCGCAAAGAGACTTTGCGCGACGAAAAAATATTGGTCACTCAAAGTCACTTTGCGCGACGAAACATATTGGTCGCGCAAAGTAACTTTGCGCGACGAAAATATTGGTCGCGCAAAGCGACTTTGCGCGACGAAAAAATATTTGTCCCGCAAAGCGACTTTGCGCGACGAAAAATATTGGTCGCGCAAAACTTTGCGCGACGAAAAAATTTTAAAATTTTTTTTTTTTTAAATTCCCTCGTCCCATTTTTGGTACCCGCCCAAATTATTAGAGTTTTGCGCGACGAATATTAATGTCGCGCAAATATTTGCACGACGAAATATTTTGGTTTTTGACTTTTTATTTTATTATTTCTTTAATATTAATTTAATTATATTAATTATTTCAAATTTTTAATTTTTAAATTAAATTTAATTGTATGATTTTTTTCGTTACTTTAATTTAAATTGATATTAATTTAATTATATTAATTTATTCAAATGTTTACTTTTTAAATTTAATTTAATTACTTTAATTTAAATTGACATATTCAAAATAAAATTACATATGAAAAATAGTGATCAAATTATCCAATAAATATATATATAATATTCAAAATGTACACATAAATTAACAAAGTACAATAAATAAATAAAAGGGATAATCTCCCCTAAAATTGTTATACCACAAATCCAACCCAAACTCCAATCCCTCCCCTTTACTCAACCCCAAACCCCACACAAACTCAAAACTAACTCCAAAAACACATATTAATGAAAAAAAAATTAAAATTTGGAGAGAATATACCTTTTGGCAAGATTGAGAGTGAGTGAGAATGAGAGAGAGAAATGAGTGTGAGAGAATTAGAGAAGATAGTGATAGAGAGATGAGAGAGTGAGTGAGAGTGAGAGATAGTGAAAAGAGAGATGAGAGAGTGAGTGAGAGTAAGAGATAGTGAAGAGAGAGATGATGAGAGATTAAGTGAGAGGAGTGAGGGTGAGAGAAATGGTGGGATTTGGGGAGAGGGAAAGAGAGAGGAGAGGAAAGAGTAGAGAAAGACATTGAGAAAATGGTGGAGGAGTTATTTTTATTTTAAAAACCGTATCACTTTGCGCGACGAACGACATTGTTGGTCGCGCAAAGCTTTGCGCGACGAAAAATATTGGAGTATTGGTCGCGCAAAGTTTTGCGCGACGAATATTAGTATATTGGTCAAAAAAAAAAATTTTTGGTACCCGCCCAAATTTTGAAATTTTTGCGCAACGAAAAATACATATTGGTCGCGCAAAGTCTAAAAAAATTAAATAAAAAAATTCCCGCGTCCCATTTTTGGTACCCGCCAAATTTTTGCGCGACGAAAATATATATTGGTAGCGCAAAGTCTAAAAAAAAATTTTTTTTTCATCCCGCGTCCCATTTTGGTACCCGCCCAAATTTTTAAAGTTTTGCGCGACGAATTGTTGGTCGCGCAAACTTTTGAGAGACGAAAAATTGGTTCATAGCACGATATTTATAAAAATAATTGTTATGAATAATAAAATTATTTTTTTTACGATTTAAAATATAAATAAGGTTAAAGCTACTTAATAAATGTATATACCAATTTCTTAAGTGTTATACGTACAAAATAAATAAATTTAAAGCTACTTAATAAGTAAATATATATATATACACACACCATTCAATGATCCAACCGTCAGACTTGTTTGTATATACTTCAAGATCGTATACCCCAAAAATTGTAAAAAACAAACATTCGGAGACCTAGTAACGGGACAAAAAATTTCAACGGTTCTTAATGAAAAATCACGATTTAACGGTTATTTTAACTCCGATTTTGATGATTTTTTACAGCTACACTCCTTGACCCTATATGAATACAATGAACTAATTCGATCGTCAATTTAAAATATTTACACTAGTGGATACCACAAAATCTTATGTTATATTTAACAAAAGTATAAATAAACTCTTAATTGTTAGTGAATATATTGTTTTGATGGCATACGCATTCAAAAAAACAAGTTTCAACGATCCAACCGTCAAACTTATTTGTTTATACTTCGAGATCATATAGGCCAAAAATCGCAAAAAATAAACATTCAGAGATCAAGTAACGAGACAAAACTTTTCGACGGTTATAAATGAAAAATCTTGATTCAACGGTTATTTTAACTCCGATTTTGATGATTTTTTACCGCTACACTCCTTTACCCTATATGAATACAATGACTGAATTTGATCTTCAATTTAAAATATTTACACTAGTGGATACCACAAAATCTTATGTTATATTTAACAAAAGTATAAATAAACTCTTAATTGTTAGTGAATATATTGTTTTGATGGCATACACATTCTATGAAACTAGTTTGAACGATCCAACCGTCAAACTTGTTTGTTTATACTTCGAGATCATATACGCCAAAAATCGCAAAAAATAAACATTCAGAGATCAAGTAACGGGACAAAACTTTTCGACGGTTATAAATGAAAAATCATGATTCAACGGTTATTTTAACTCCGATTTTGATGATTTTTTACCGCTACACTCCTTTACCCTATATGAATACAATGACTGAATTTGATCTTCAATTTAAAATATTTACACTAGTGGATACCACAAAATCTTATGTTATATTTAACAAAAGTATAAATAAACTCTTAATTGTTAGTGAATATATTGTTTTGATGGCATACGCATTCTATGAAACTAGTTTGAACGATCCAACCGTCAAACTTGTTTGTTTATACTTCGAGATCATATACGCTAAAAATCGGAAGAAATAAACATCCAGAGATCAAGTAATGGGACAAAACTTTTCGACGGTTATAAATGAAAAATCACGATTTAACGGTTATTTTAACTCCGATTTTGATGATTTTTTTATAGCTACACTCTTTGACCCTATATGAATACAATGAACTAATTCGATCGTCAATTTAAAAAATATATTTTCTAATAAAAACCCAATCCAAAAAACAATAATATATTTTTCTAACAAATATTTTAAAAAATATTTTATTTATTTTTATAAGGACTTTGCGAGACGAAGTTAATTGTTTCGTCGCGCAAAGTAGCTTTGCGTGACAAATTGTTTTTCGTCGCGCAAAGTCGCTTTGCGCGACGAACTGTTTTTCGTCGCACAAAGTTACTTAGAGTGACGAATTTTTTTTCGTCGCGCAAGACTTTGAGCGACGACGTATTGTCGTCGCGCAAAGTCGCTTTGAGCGACGAAAAAAATTCGTCGCGCAAAGTTGGTCGCGCAAGGTTTTTAGCGACGAAGTATTGAGTTTCGTCGCGCAAAGTGTCTTTGCGCGACGAAAAATTATTCGTCGCGCAAGGGTTGTTTTGTAGTAGTGACTTGTATTACAGTTTTTTTTTCTTTTTCTTGTTAGGTTTGCTACGAAGTATTCAACTTATCTATTTTTTTTGTTAGGGTCATGTGTCTATAATGGAGGTAGTTTAAGTGTTGAATCTAGGGTGGAAAATAGTTGACTTGGCACATACCTACAGTGAAGGTTTGTAAGGAAAAGTTTATTTTTCATGTTTGTTGTTTGTAGGTAAAATTTGATTGTGTTTTTTTCTTCCCGTTTATTAGTATTGGTTGTGTTTTTTTCAAGATTACTTGCTGTTGTAGTGAAAAAGGTTATGAACCAAACTAAGTCTATTGGACAGGTAGAATATCCAACTATACCTATACAACAGGTTTGTATCACAAACATTACATGTAGAACAAGTATACATGCCAGACGTTTATGTGTTTGTAGTAAATGTATTTGTCCAGTAATGGTTTATGTAATATATTTGTTAGCAATTACATTTGCATTTAAATTTGACAGGTTCTTTTCCACTTGCTTTTGGCATCCTTGATTCTGAAAATGGATTAGACATGGTTTCTGCAAACTCTTTCCCGGCCATGAAGATCCTTCAAACAACATAGTTTCACAGAAACATTGCTCGTAGAAGTAAAATGGCGACTACCTTCACCACATGTATCCTTCCCCCACACCTTACCTATATATCAGGTATACATCGCACCTTGTACAATAACAGAAACCAATTGACAATAACAACCATAAATCCAAACAATAAAAATACCTGGAAGACAGGTTTTGCAACTGGTGTTAAATTGTGAAATTCTTCCGCAATATTTAGGACTTCTGACCATCGAACTATCGTAATATCTGTAATATTCAACCCTAATTTGAAACCCCAACAATTATGCATTGAAGAAGCAAAGAATCTGCAGAAATTGGGTTCAAGGAAGAATGATTGTTTGTAACAACGTGATTTTTGGGATATGTTTTCGATAATTTCCTTTTCTATTCAATGACAACCGTGTTAAATGGCTTCAGATTATCACGTAAATTATGATTACCCAATACAAGGCATAAGGGGTAACATTGGAACAAAAAATGATTTATTTATTTATTTTATTTTTTTAAGATTATATCATAAAATATTTAAAGAGGAATGTAATCCTATGTGGCACAAAAGTCCAAGGACTTGTATCAAAGTCACCAAATTCGAGGATTAAACCCAACTTCTCAATGAAAATTTGGATATATATCAACTTTTCTATTTATTTTAACAAATGATTATTGAGATTCACGAAATTATCACATTTGATTCTTTATATATTTTTTGTGAGATAGTGGGTTCTTAAGATTTCTCTCGATTCATTAAATTAGTTCTTAATATAAAATTCTGTTACTAATTATGTTAAATTGTTGACATGGCACACGTCATGTAGTATATATATATATATATATAAATGTTTTAGAGTTGCAAAATTATTAAAAACTGAAAAATCATTAGAAAACAGAAAATAAAAATAAAAAAACAAATCTGGTAATGCAAAGCACATGGCAGAGTAAGATGCTCTAATATTTTTTATATATTCAATTTATGATCACTTTGTAATAATGAGGATAGAGAAGTACAAGTACAGCTTTTGACCCCAGAGTAAAGTGAAGTGGCAACTTTTGACCCTAGGACAAAAGGAAAATGCGTGCATGCTTTATTGTTATTTTAATTATTTTTTAAAATTTTTTGTATCATTGTTGCTCACAGACTCACAAGGCAAGGCAATAGGAAAAGAAGATGAACAAAAAGAATACTTTGGGTTCAAATCCTAGCGCTCACAAACGCTTTTATATCATTTTCTTAAGACTCACATTCCGATGGAAAAAAAAGAAAGGTGTATTAAGACTCGCACAATCTATCTTAAAGAAAGTTTAAGACCGCCTGTGACTCAAAACATACTGAAGATCTTCTCTATAAGAATAAAATAGAGCAAAAAAGAAAAGAAAAAGAGCTTTTAATCAATGACCAGAGACTGGAAGAACGATGACATTATCCAAGACTGGTCCACACATATGACCAAAGTCATGAAGCTTTGTATGATAGTAGGCACTGTAAAATGTTATTCTTGTTCTTGGTGAAGTTGCTTGGAACTTGAAGCTTGCAGTTTTGAACCCACCTTTGCCTTGAGACATATAAGGAACTTTTAAGGTTTCCTTACCGGCAAAGGCTTCGACCATCATCGATCCGTGGCAAGCGTTCTTCGCGTCTCCGATGGTGAAGGTAAGGTTGTAGAATTTGTTTGGACTGGTTCTAATAATTTGGGCAATTGCACTTTCTCTCCCTGCAACCAGTTCAATTGCTGCAAGTCCCCCAGGAACTGAGAAGTGCTTCTTGTCAATGTATTTCACAGGCTTCAGGGATTCAATGATCCATCCAGGCAATGGTGAGATTTGGTCCTTTGCCTTGGGAGGGAGGAGGATTCCAGTTGAGAAGTTTTTGAACACATGAGGACCACTTTCAAACCCACCATTTTTCACTAGAGTGCCTGCATATTAGAGAGATTGATAGCATTAGAGGAATGATATTTTTTGATCAAGTACAGCTGCATGTACTAAAATAGATCTCCAACTCATGTGACAACATTTCTTAGTAACTAGTGATAAACTATTATGTCACATTCCAATTTGGGTGTTGGCTTAAATTTGAGAACCCCTTTTGATTTCTTAACTAGATTGAAAATGTGGGGTATCTTTGATAGTTTTCTTTTGAGTTTTTTTTATTCCCAACACAACTGTTCATCATATTTAAACCCATTGAAATGCAGACTAACAAGAGAAAAAAAAATATCACAAACCACCCAAATTAAGCAACATAAACTAAGAGCACCAAAGGTCATCATAAAGAAAAAAATCGTACCTCTTATGTACTTGAGAGGAAGTATCTCCTTGATTGCAATAGCATCCAATAGGGGCCCACAAGTGGGGTCCTCCTGAACCCCAAGGTTGTGGAATGTCACCTTAACAACCTTGGAAGTAGCCCTAAAAGCCCAAGCATAAGTATCTCCCCCATCACTGCTATACAGGGTTTGAAGGGAGAGGTCAGCAGACTGGCCGGGTATTGAAATCCTAAGCACCTCATCTTGGGAACAAGTCCTTGTAGCGCCAAAGGTTAGTGAGTAGACTGAACCTTGGGTAACAACCACATCCTGAGAAATGGAGGCCTCATTGCCAAGCCTCACTGCATGGACCCCACGTGGCACAGGGAAGAAGAAGCCACCTGGCTGGGGCCCACCTTTGATGTACTCCACCAGGCCGCTGATCTCCCATTTTGGGAGTGAGTACTTCCCAATGATCACTGTTTTCTTCAAGTTTGAAGGCTTGGGTGCTTCTTCAAAGTGCCCATTTGGGAGTTCCCCTGAAAACAGAGATGAAATTTATGAGATTTGAACACACTGACCTCCTCCAATAAAACGGAGACCGAAAACTATTAGACCAAAGACTAGTTGGTAAACATAAATCAGTTTAGAATCTGAAAACATTTTGCCAAGGCAACATTTTGCTTAACATTGGAAATTTGAAACCCACAAAATGTTAAATGGTAAGAACGCTTCCTATATTTAAAGACTGTAAAATAAAAAGACATAGGAAATGTGCACAAAAATAAGCAAAAAGAAACGAATGTTTACCATCAAGAGGTGCAGCAGCAGCCGCGGCAGCAGAAGCATAACCAGCGCAGAGAGAGAAAAAGGTGAGGAAGCAAAGCAAGAGAGAAAAAGGCGCCATATTGTTTTGCATTGGAAGGATGAGCTAGAAAGACCCTTATATATAAGAACAAAGTGAACAGCCCCAAGTGGGAAATTAAAAATGCAAGTCCCTGTGTAACTATACATATTATTTAATTTCGAGCCTTATTTAATTATGATTTAATTTAAAGTTGGAAAACGTATAGAAAATAAGATAAGCGAACAGCCTATCCCATGTTAACAGGAGCACCAAATTAGCCGCGAGATGCGTCTTTTTGTCTGTGATTTTTTCAGTCTTACTTTGACACAACTAATTAGTCTTTTGGTATTTGTTTTTATTCGATTGAAAAAATTCGACTCACATGAATTACGAAGTAGATATATATTTGTATCGGGTTTGATACTTAATTAGTTGTAATAATCGGTATAAATGTGTATCAGTTGGTTCTAGAAAGTCCTGTAAAAAAATCTTCTTTTTCCACAGGGTTCTTGATGTGCATAGGTCTTTTCCTGTTGGGGGAGCCCACATGATATTTTATTGGTTGCCGTGATTTGCTCCTTTTGGAAAATGGAAAAATGAGTCAATTGGACCGTTTGGCAATTCCAAGATTGTTGTTTATGCGAAGAGCCGGATGATATGCCACATGTTGTTGTGACTGAAAAGGAAGCATTGCTTTAGATTTGAATTTAGATTTGATGAAGCTTATTAAGTCTTGTGCACGGAAGATGTACATGTTTTGTACTGGATTTGACTTCGATCTCAAGGCCATGTGCTAAGCTTTGCTGTCCCCCTTAAACTTGAAGAAATTGGGATCGGATCAAATTGAAAGAGTAAAAGGCAAAGGATAAAAATAAAGTGGGGATTGGAGATCCATATTTTTCATCAAAGTAAAGTTAAAAAGGAATTGTCTTGTTACTTCTCACTTCCTTTTGGATGGAATTAAGATTATTCCTTTTGGACTAATTTGTGGACACCACTCAGTACACCCTAATCGTGGTTGTTGAGTTTTTAGATGAAATAGGGCATGTTTGTTTACCAAGAAGGGGGAGTAGTCATGAATTGGGGCTATCCAGGAAATGCTGTGAAAATTTTGCCTCTTGTGATTGACGGTGGATCCCTTGCCAGGCCAATGGGGCTGTTGACGCCATTGCGGCTATCGCTAAACAGAAGAAGTGTGACAAGGTCTGGCTTAACAGACCCCCTTCTTCCTTTGTGTTTGTTCTACAATATGATGGTCTACCTTGCCCTCCATGCTAGTTGCTCTTTATGGTTGGAGGCAAACATGTAAGGCATAGATATGTCTTGACTCATTAAGTGTGGTATTATGATCGTACTAAGGTTCTAGAGTTTGACATTGATCAAGAGTTTATAATCAATCTAATATGCTACTCTGATGAAGATAAGTGTTTTAAAGTAAATCACTAGAGTTAAAAAATACATAAATGGCTAACTTTTGTCCCTTATTGCATAGCTCTTGGTAGATGCTAGTAAAGGAATGCATGCTTGAACAATTGAGTGCAAACATACATCGTCTATACCACACTTGAAATGGATTGGTGACATTACAATGTTCGAAATCTTCCTTGCTAACTTTAGCCAAGTTAGTTATTCCTTCTTTATTGTGGAAATCTACAGAGAAAACAATCATCATAAAGATGAATTAATTACTAAAACCCAAGTGGGATTTTGAATGGTACAAACAGTTAATATGTAAAATACGCTTCAAGTGGTGGTGGTGGGGTTCATCAATTTCAGGGTTCAGGTTATGTTGGGTTTGTAGTATCTGTTTTAGACTTAGGGCTCATTTGGGAGTGCTTCTGGAATAGTTAAAAACGCTTTTTGACAACAAAGGGCAACCACTATTCATATGAGATATAAGGAGAGAAATTTGTATAGAGTTTTGGTGTAGGAAGTGAAGAATATGACTAAGTATTTATTAAAAAAATTATGAAAAATTAGTGTTTTTTTTTAGTTTTTATTCATTGTTGACGTTATTGTTGATGTCAGCAAACCCATGCAACAACCTAGGCTATTCTTCCATTTGGGCTGGCCCTGTTTTTTGGGACCCATGCGCTGCCCATACTGTAGAAGCCCGCTGGAACATCAAATTGGGGCTTGGACCCCCTATCACTCGGGCTGGGGGCACCGCTGGAAGTGCTCTTAGAGCTAGAGAAGTTCACCTAGAATATCCGAAACAAAAAAATGTATGTTGTGAAGCCCAACGAGAACAAATATTCCAAGAAAAGAAAGTGTTTGGAGGTACATTCCAATCGAACTCACCTTCCTTCTGCATATACCGTAGCTTCTAGTATAGGCAACAACATTACCACTAGTATAACAAGTATCGCCACTTTCTTTTTTTTGCTATTTTTGTTTAAAAAAAATAAATAAATCTGTTTGTTTTTTTTTTTTTTTTTTTTTTTGTTTGTTTGGCCAATAGTTAGGGGAGGGGAGGGGCTGGGCTGCAAACTCACACACATTTTACAATGTCAGCCCTCAAACTTAGGACCAGCTGGATGGAGACAAAACTCCTTACTACTACACTAAAATTCTGGTAATTAGGTGAGGTTTCCTGACGTGTTTGTAGAATACCATTTCAACAATTTAGTGGATGCATGCACTTCCATTTCACTTAGATTAGTATATACTGTATATTTCATGCAATTTTGGCTTTTAGGATGATTCAAGATATATTACTTTTGTTGTCCCTCGCCCCACCTAAAAGGATTCAATTTTACTTTATGGAAGTTGTAAATGGCATAGGGTTTTATAATAGTTTACTGGTCAATAGCCCAAGTTGCAATGTAATGTTTAGAAAAGCCCAACATTCAAGAGTGATCAAGCCCATGTTTGGAACGGCCCACTGACCAATAACTTTAGTCTTTAAAATTGTTTTTAATATAACTAATATTGAGAGAGAAGGGAATCAAAACTAAGAACTGAAATGTAGGGGTAAATGCTCTTTTTTTTTTGTAGGACCTTTTTTACTGAGAGGGATGATAATATACTCAACTCACGCACACTACATGGATGCTAGGACTCGAAACCAGAACCTTACATAGGAGAGCAAGCAAATTCCATCCATAAAGACCTCAATGTCAGGTAATAAACGAGGCAACTGCGTGTATCGCTCCATTTACATGATCCTAGAGGCTAGAGTCTAGACATACAGTTAAAATATCTATAATTTTACATAGGAGGCATCAATGATATATAACAAATTTAAGCCCCGCGAAGAATTAGATTTATTTATTTTTCTTTCTTTCTTTTACTATTCCAAGTTGTCACAGTCAAACTTATCCAGTTACTATCAGCATGCATGCCACAGGGCTGTATATGATCTAATTTTTTTTTTTTTTAATAATTTTGCAAAAACCCGCAAATCCTGGGGTTTTTTTTATCTTCAAATTTATCTATGTCCGAAAAAAAAATATGAAATCCAAATCCTTGTCCAAAAGGAGATGCTATAGCTAGTATGCGTTAGGGCTTCCAAGAAACTCTCGCTTGATCAAAAGGAGATTATGAAGTAGCTAGCTGTCATATATATCCGATAGACATTACAAAGTCAAACACATGCAAACTTAAATTAATTTCACAAATTAAACAGTGTTCAACAAGAAGAAGGACTATGAAATCAGATTAATTACACAAATAATTTCCTAGACCGGAGGAGATTAGGAGTTGTCTCTTCTCCAATAGTACTATATATGTAGAGAGGAATCATAAGCAACAAACTTGAAAGCGACTTTATATGAGCCTGAGATATGGCTAGTACTAGTGACCCTGCTGCTAACAAAGGCAAGGCTCCAGCCTTGTATGGTGATGATGATGATGATCGTCATCGTGATATGGTGACGAAGATGATGATGATGAGGGAAGAGCGTGTTTCCATGGGGATTCCGCCGGGGTGGAGGTTTTGTCCTACTGATGAAGAGTTGATTGTGTTTTACTTGAGAAACAGAACCTGGAATAACAGTAGAATCATTCATCTTGATATCTATGACTTCACCCCAATGCAGCTTGCAGGTTTATTTCTCCCTCCCTCTCTCTCTCCCTCATCATTTTCTTTAATTAGTTGTTAATTTTTCCACAATTTTTTTTTAGTAGTGTCGAAACTCCGAAAAGTATTTCACGTATTTCCAATTTTTCATAATCTTATTTTTATAGCATATAGCTATACTGATTTACGCATGCACTTGTTTTTTTGTTGTTGACATGCAGAATATTTTGAAATACCAGAAGACCCTGTGATGTTCTTCTACACCACAAGGAAACGGAAGTACAAAAATGGCAAACGCCCAAGCCGTACAGCTAATATTGGATATTGGAAAGCAACTGGTAAGGATACACCGATCAATGAAATTGATGGCTCAGTTGGGGTTAAGAAATCATTGGTCTTTTATCTAGGACAACAAAAAGAAGGAAAAAAGACCGATTGGATTATGCACGAATACACACTTCAAAAGGAAGAGGTATGTACAATAATTTATTTTCTTATTATATATTCCTTTAATTATGTTCGTCAATTAGGTCTTCTTTACACTTACGCGTGTGAGATTAACAAGGAATTTTGCCCTTTTCCTTTGTGCAGTTTGAGGCTTGCGTTCTATGCAAGGTATATGAAACCTCGAGGGGCAGGAACAGCAGGCAAAATACAAGAAATGAAGCGAACACAGTTTCTAATGATGTTGGAGAACAGGGGACAAATCCGTCAACCACGAGATCACAAGCTGAAGAAGATCAAGCCCTCCGATTTCTTCCTCTACCGCCGCCACCTCGGAATATTTACTGTGGCAGCTCTTCTTCTTCTTCTTCTTCCAACCTTGCTGGACAATACGACGTTCACATGACTAATCACAGTGATCATGCATTAAACAATGTATCATTCCCACAATGTAATTGGGCTAGCAATGGTTCGGGAGCTCATCCAGAGGTGACAACCCTAGCTCCAATGGCGCATGCACAACTAGAAAATTCAATTCCATTGCTTCACAGCATGAATATTTATGATCAAGATGGTTATCTACTCAATGAAAATATAGAATATTATCAGTCCACTGCTCCATATGGTTTTGAAGCTCAATCTCTTCCAATGTACAACAATGTGTCACAACCTAACAACAGTGGCTATGGCATGGCTCCAACGGACACAACGGAGGAGGAAGAGGAACTGTACTTGCTTCACGAGCCTCTGCCAGACTTCAGTTTCCCGATCGATGACAATGCTGAATGTGTTCCTTTCGGCATGCCAGTTGAATCTGCAAAGCTACTCAACTCTGTGACTCCCACTGACCCCGTAACGCAGAGCACAAGCCCTGGCGGGAATAGTACCACTACTCCAATAGATGGTCATTAGATTGCTTAACTTTTTTTTTTCTTCTCTAATTAGTTTTTGTTGGTTTTGGAGACATCCATTTCAATTTGCGTCAAATATCTGAAACGCTAAGCTGTATATCTGAATTGATCCAATTCCAATACGCTACATGGTCAACAATTTTCTAAAATTAATATGCTCATTCGGTCACGCCAATTAACGTTTAACAATCAGAGACTACCAACCACATCGATCAAAGCGTACTTATAATATTTTAGAGATGGTATGGATAAAATAATTTAGAGAAAAAGTTTATTCATTCCCATTGTGCACATAGCATTGATTTTACCCTCTTTTTTATTTTTTGACAAAGCGAGTATCTAATGTATCGGAGGAGATCGAACTCGGGCGAAAGGGGCACACAATGTCTTGGCCAATTAGTCTATAGTATCCGGTTTTACCTTTTAATACGTATGAAATTGGTGTTTGTTTCGTTTTTTTTTAATCACTGTGTTTTCGGTGCAATGTGGCTTTTGATTGATATATTAATTCATCCATTAATCCACCTCTAATTGATTTTGATCACAAACTAATAAATAAATTAATTAAGGGGACCGTTGTTACTTTTGGTGTTGTTGTTGATAGGCTTGATTGAATGGTGGTCAAATTTATGGAGAGCTAATGCTGCAGCGTTATGTAAGCCCCTCCTTAAAAACTTAAATCCCTCCTTATTCTACGGAGGCCTCGCTCGCTCCCTCGCTCTCTTCGCCTTCCCTCGCAAACCAACCAACCAACCAACGTGCTCTCCTCTCTCGGATCCCCTTTGCAGTTTAGACTCTTTCTCTTCTCTCTCTCTGGTACCTCCTCTCTCTCTCTCTCTCTCTCTCTCTCTCAACTCTAAGATCTAATGAGTTTCCTACGTTTTTCATGGTGATATACTAAATATTTTTGTTCGCGTTGGTTTTGATCTACGCTTCTTCGATTCTGATTGATTAAGTATGGACGAGAGAACCGAAGACGATGACCGGGAGGCATTGGCAGGGCTAAGCTCTGCCCCTCCGCCCCGAAAATCCCACTCATTGAGCCAGCAGCTGCGTGCATCCTCCGCGCAAAAGCGCCATCACCAAATGCGCAAGCACAGCCTCGACGACGTCCACGTTGTCCCCAAGAACATCCATAACAACAATGCAGACTACTACGACTCTTCCGACGACGATTTCTTCCCCTACTCGACCTCCTCCACTAATACCACCACGAGTATGAACACGAATGTTGGTGTTGGCCCTGATCAAGAGTTGTACGCCGGGGGCTCTCACTCGCAGAGACTTGACCAAAGCCTCTGCATGGAGGGTGAGGGTGGCCATGGTGATTTAGATCATCATGACGGCAGCAGGGAAAGCCAGCCGCTGCCAGAATTCATCGGCAGTGGAGGCGGCGCTGGAATCTTCAAGGTTCCAACGCGCGCCTCAGTGCATCCTGGCCGTCCGCCCTGCTTGGAGCTGAGACCTCACCCGTTGAGGGAGACTCAGGTGGGGAGGTTCCTCAGGACCATTGCCTGCACGGATACCCAGCTGTGGGCCGGGCAGGAGGGTGGGGTGAGGGTGTGGAATTTGAAGGACGTGTTTGAACCGGGGTGCGGCCTTGGCGGCAGAGTGTTGAGGGGTGATGAGGACGCAGCCCCTTACTATGAATCGGCCAACTCCTCTCCTACCCTCTGCCTCATGGTTGATTCCGGGACTCGGTTGATTTGGACTGGCCATAAGGATGGCAAGATCAGGTCTTGGAAGATGGATCAGCCTTTGGATTCTTCTACTCCTTTTAAGGAAGGTCTTTCATGGCAGGCCCACCGCGCTCCGGTTCTTGCCATGGTTTTCACTTCTTACGGTCAGTCAGCCACTCATTACTTACTCACTCTAGTACTGGTACTGTGCTTTTATGTTGTTTGGTGTTTTACTTTTTAATTAATAGGTTAAATATGAAAATTACTAATAGGGATTTTATCACAAAACATTCTTGAGGTTAACGAACTAGTTTATTCAAGATAGAGAAGAATTCTTTCTTTGTGTAATAACACTACTTCTCACTCTTTCCAATGTGATAGTTAATTAACCTCTGGTATCATGTATGTTTCTTTGTTGCAGGTGATATGTGGTCAGGTTCTGAGGGTGGTGTTATTAAGATCTGGCCATGGGAATCCATTGAAAAATCTCTCTCTCTTAAACCCGAGGAAAGACATATGGCAGCTTTACTGGTGGAGAGGTCATGCATTGACCTCAGGAGCCAAGTTACTGTCAATGGTGTTTGTAGTATATCTTCTCAAGATGTAAAGTGTTTGGTATCTGATAATTTTAGAGCTAAAGTTTGGTGTGCTGGGTCTATGTCCTTCTCTTTGTGGTTAGTTTTCAATTCAAGACCTTGTCTTGGTAAAATATTTCTCTAAGTACAGTTTGCATTTGAATTTTGTTCTAAAAGATGTTTGATCTGTCAGGGATGCTCGTACAAGAGAGCTTGTGAAAGTCTTTAATATAGATGGTCAGACTGAGAATCGAGTTGATATGTCATCAGTGCAGCAAGATCAAGCAGTGGAAGATGAGATGAAGGTAAAATTTGTTTCCACATCAAAAAAGGAGAAATCCGGGGGTTTTTTGCAACGGTCGCGTAATGCTATAATGGGAGCTGCAGATGCTGTTCGTCGAGTTGCAACCAGAGGGGCAGGGGCATTTGTAGAAGATACCAAGAAGACGGAGGCACTCGTGCTAACTGCCGATGGCATGATATGGAGTGGATGCACAAATGGTTTACTGGTGCAGTGGGATGGAAATGGAAACCGCGTGCAAGATTTTAATCACCATCCTTGTAGTGTCCAATGCTTTTGCACTTTGGGGACACGAATATATGTAGGCTATGTGAGTGGCATGATGCAGGTATTGGATCTTGAGGGAAATCTAATTGCAGGATGGATTGCACACAGCAGCCCTGTGATCAAATTAGCAGCTGGAACTGGTTCTGTTTTTAGCTTGGCCACTCATGGTGGCATACGTGGATGGAACATCAAATCTCCAGGACCTGCGGACAACTTGGTACGTTCAGAATTAGCTGCGAAAGAACATGTATATACCAGAACAGACAATGTTAGAATTTTAATTGGCACATGGAATGTTGGTCAAGGAAGAGCATCTCAGGATTCTTTAAAGTCATGGTTGGGTTCTGTTGTGCCAGATGTTGGCATTGTAGTTGTTGGGCTGCAAGAAGTAGAAATGGGTGCAGGCTTTCTTGCAATGTCTGCAGCAAAAGAAACTGTAAGATCACATGACTTCCTTTATTGATGATGCTGTGTACTGCTTGATTATGGGAGCTCTGTTGATGGTGTGGATTTATTTATTTATTGATCACTTTTTTTCCCTTTGTAGGTAGGGCTTGAAGGGAGCTCTGTTGGGCACTGGTGGCTTGATAATATAGGAAAGGCCTTAGAAGAAGGAAGAACTTTTGAACGTATGGGTTCTAGGCAGTTGGCAGGCTTGCTAATATCTCTTTGGTAAGCGGTTATGATCAAAACACATTTTAGGAATAAGCCTGCAATTCATATTTCTTTCCCTTTATCAGTGAGACATCTTAATTCTTTTTACTTTTGGCCTTATGAGCTGAGCTGATAATTCCAATTTAGGGTAAGAAAGAATCTCAGAACACATGTTGGAGATATTGATGCTGGAGCAGTTCCATGCGGCTTTGGTCGTGCGATTGGGAATAAGGTTTGTATTTCTCCATTCACAGTTTTATGTTACAGAATAAAATGAAAATGCAGTCAGTTTGATGATTGTCTCTGCTCAATTTCTTAATAGTACGGCAGGCTTCTTATTCTTTTAAAAAATGGTTCTGGTGTCTTATGCAGGGAGGTGTTGGTTTGAGAATCAGAGTGTATGATCGTATAATGTGCTTTGTGAACTGTCACTTGGCTGCACATTTAGAAGCTGTGAATCGCCGTAATGCTGATTTCGATCACATTTATCGAAATATGGTCTTCAACCGGTCATCTCTAATTAACAATGCAGCTGGTATGCTACCATACCTGTTTTTGTCTTGCTCTCTTGCCTTGTCTACCTATTTATTTTGGCTGCTTTATTCTTCTGGCTTGCCATGGGTCCTCTCTCTTGCAGCTGGTGTCGCAACTTCTGTTAACATGACTCGGCCAACAAATGTATGTACTACTTGTTCTATTTCGACCCTTTACATAACATTAATTTAATTTCATCTTTATTAACTAAGATTAAGAGTTAAAACAAAACGTTGGTGATTTATTTAGGCTTCAGGCAGCGGCAGCAGCAGCAGCAGCAGCAGCAGCAGCGGCAGCTCTGAGGAAGCAGCAAGGCCTGAATTAGCTGAAGCAGATATGGTTGTTTTTCTGGGTGATTTCAACTATCGACTTTTTGGTATTTCTTATGATGAAGCAAGGGACTTTGTTTCGCAAAGATGCTTTGATTGGCTCAGAGAAAAAGATCAGCTTAGAGCAGAGATGAAAGCTGGGAAAGTTTTCCAAGGGATGCGTGAGGCACTCATTCGATTCCCGCCAACATACAAGTTTGAAAGGCACCAAGCAGGTTTAGCAGGTATTTATTTCATAAAACACACTTAAACTCAATTTCTGCGTTAACATATCAGCACTTGGCTCTCTCTTACAACAGTTAAAAAAAAAAAAAAAAAAAAAAAAAAAAAAAAAAAAATCATTGTCCCCAGGATATGATTCTGGTGAGAAGAAACGAATTCCTGCCTGGTGTGATCGAATAATATACCGCGACAATCGATCATCTCCAGTTTCAGAGTGTGGTTTAGAGTGTCCTATAGTCTCATCAATTTTACAGTATGTCTTCTTCTTCTCCGGGGATTGTATTTTAGTTTCTTTGTTTCAGCTGTACTTAAGTTTGGTCCAAATCTTAAATAGGTATGATGCATGCATGGACGTGACTGACAGTGATCACAAACCTGTCCGGTGTAAATTGTCTTTACAAATTGCCCATGTTGATAGATCAGTAAGGAGAAAAGAGTTTGGGGAAGTCATAAAATCCAATGAGAAAATCAGGTCTATGCTTGGAGAGCTAAACTATGTTCCAGAAACTACTGTCAACACCAACACCATAATTCTTCAAAATCAGGACACATCCATTTTGTGTATCACCAATAAATGCGTGAAGGACATGGCCGTGTTTAGAATAATTTGTGAAGGGCAGTCCACCGTGAAGGAGGACGGCGATGAGCCTGACTATCGCGCAAGAGGAGCCAACGGGCTACCCCGATGGCTTGAGGTAGGTATCAAACAATTTCTGCCTAATTATTTAACTTTTTTTCTTGTTGTTGCTTCTTGTTGTTGATGTTGTTGATGTTGCTGTTTTGAAAACAAAAAAAACAAAAAACAAAAAACAAAAAAAGGTGACTCCAGCAGCTGGGATGATAAAACCTGAACAGAGTGTGGAGGTGTCAGTTCATCATGAAGAGTTTCATACCTTAGAAGAATTCGTTGATGGCATCCCTCAAAACTGGTGGTGTGAAGACACCCGAGACAAGGAAGTGATTTTAATAGTGAATGTGACTGGGAGTTGCTCAGCCCAAACATTTAGTCATCGAGTCAGAGTGAGGCATTGCTTCTCCTCCGCCAAGACAATCCGCATTGTCTCAAAGTCCAACAGCTCAAGAAAAGGGCAAGCAAGTCCAGTTCACAGGCAATCTAACAATTCGAGCAGCGAAGCGAAACAAACTTGAAAAATCCTTGAAACGAACTAGTATCAGTTACTGATAGTAAGTATGAGGCAGGCAGTTATAGACGCGTGATCGGCTGGTAGAATGAGTGCAGAGAGCTTTAGGAACGGGTTTTATATATTGAGCATCAGAAGCAGCAGCATCATGTTCATGTCCTCTCTCTCTTATCAGGTTAAGTTTTACATCAAAGCTTGCTTTCTAGTCAAACAAGTAGTTTCTGGGTGGGTAAAGGTAAGCTATGCTTGTTTGTTGGAGGCTGTAAGGAAGGAAATGTGACAAAGAATCTCTCTGTGTCGTCTATTTTTATTTCTGATTAGTAGGTCATAAACTAGTAATGACTGAGTATATTGTATTAGATTAATCAGTACCCTATCCTCACTGTATAGAAAATAAGTCTAAATGTTATATCTCTCTCTCTCTCTCTCTCTGAACTACGTTCCAACCTCAAATCCAACCAAATGTCATGCAAGCAAAACAAAAGAGAGGAACAAAACCATGTGAAAAAGAGCAGTAGATTTCATTCGTTAATACTTGCACATATACACATTAAACATCATCTATATCGTAGTCAAATACTTGAATAATAACTAGTCAAAATGCAGAATTGCTAGATTTATGTCAACACTCGCAAACAACTAGTCAAAATGTCCATTTTACTGAGATTTTAAAAAAGGGTCAATCTTATGAACTTTGAAGCATTCACTTTCTTGAATTGAGTCCTGAAACTTAATAATAGGTTTCAAAGTTGAATACTGAAATATCAATATGAAAATACCCAATGAATTTTAGTAATGAAGTATACTTTGTTAAGCAATGGATACTAGAGCAGGTAATCCTTGAGAGCCGCAAGAAGGGGAAAACCTGGTGGTGCACACCAGAGTGCTCGACCCCAGAATCCCAACCACCACTGCAATTTAAAAAAAAAAAAAAAAAAAAAAAAAAAAAAAAAAAAAAAAAAAAAAAAATTTCTTTAGCCTTTCTCCCAAGCCCAGCCCGACTTCCCTTCCCTCCGAAAAAACCCCAAAATTTCTAATTCTCACCCCCAATTCCTCCTTAAACCCTAACCGCAACCACCACCTGCTGCCGCGTGATCCGTCAACGAATTGCTCTCAGCCTCGCTAGACTCACACAACGTCGACTGCTGCTTGCCAGTGAGGTACTAGCCTTTTTTTATCTCTCAAATTCTTTCCGTAAATTATAGTTATTTGAATCTGGGTAGTAAGCTAGAGGCCTCCTGCTAATTAAAACACCAAAATGCAAAGAAAACCAAGAAAAAGGAATCACGAAGTCATACACAAAATCATGCAACCATAGAATACAGAACCAAGTAAGGCATACAAAATATACCGAGTTTTTGTACTGTGTTGAACAACCATAGAACACCACAGGAAAACAAAAAAAAAACAAAAACAAAAACAAAAAAGAAGAGAGCAAAGTATCGTGTGATGAAAAACTCTGTTGCACCGATACGCTATCATTTTGGGGTATGCGCGTATCCGATACGGCCCCGATATGATATGGCAACGATACGCCATACCTATATTATTTTAATCTCTGTATCGTTGCCATACCTATATTCTAGTTGTTGGAGATTTGCAGTATCAGCGTATCCTATCGTATTGCTATACCCGTATCTGTATCGGTGCAACATAGGTGATGAACAACCAAAAGAAAAAGAAAAAGCTAATAAACATCAAGGATGAAGTTTTAGTGGTGGGTCAATTTGACAAATATTTGCTGGATTATTAGAAAACTCAATTTGTGCAGTTTTCTTACTTGGGTTGGGTTTTGGGTTTTGTTTCCATTGTATGTTTATTTCAGTGAGTTAAAGTCTACTACATTGGCTTGGTTTGCAACTACAATAGCAATACTATCATTTTGTAATGGGAGTCGTAAAAGATGGCAGCACCACCACCGGGTTTCTCCCTAGCAGTGAAGTTTTTGCCATCCACTATCCTGGTTATCCTTCATCCATGTCCCGTGCCATTGAGACACTTGGTGGGACCCAAGGAATTCGTAAGGTGTGTCAAGTTGCTATCTTAAATATCAATTGTGTCTAACCAAATCTCATTCTCACCATATTGAAGAGATATGTTCAATCAATGTTCTGCTCAGTCGTGGCTTGGTACTATCATTTGCAGGCTCATAGTTCACAGTCAAACAGGCTGGAACTTCATTTCCGGCACCAAGAACCATATTCACATCCTGCCTTTGGAGACCTTCGTCCTTGCAACAACTTGTTGCTTAAAATATCCAAAACTATGTCTAATGCTGGACAGACTCAACCCCAAAGTGAATTACTTGCCAGCAAACAAGATGAAGTGCAGATACCTGAAAATGACCAAGTACATTTTGATATTGTTGCTCGTGTCCCAGAGGCTTATCACTTTGATGGTTAGAGTGGCCCTGCTTGCACTGACACCTCTTACATCTCATGAATTTTCCTTACAATTTCAAAACTGATCTTCACCTGGTTTTTCTGTTCCTCTTTTAACATTTTAAAGGAATGGTTGACTATCAGCATGTTGTTCCTGTTCATGCTGATGTTGCACGGAAGAAAAAGAGAAATTGGATCGAAATTAAGGATCCACACTCTGGTAAAGTAACTATGTTTCACTGACTTTGTTTTTATAGCTTCGATATATTTAGAACTTTTTTTTCTCTTTGCTTTACCAAATTAGTTGATTTATTTTATATTATTTATCTATCTATTTGTAGATAAGGGTATATTCAGAATTTTTTTTTTCTCTTTACTTTACCAAATTAGTTGATTTATTTTACATTATTTATCCATCTATTTGTAGATAAGGGTGGTCTTATGGATATTGATCAGGAGGATGCGATGATTCTGCTACCCCAACTCTTTGCACCTAAGGATGTGCCCGATAATTTAGTGTAAGACGCTCTAGCGGCTTTTATATTGTTATACTGGATCTAATTATTTTATTTTTAAGCAATCCTGTTACTGGAATTTTCCTTCAGATATTAACTGTTGTTTTAGTTCTGTTTCTATCTTCATTACTACTCAGAGTTATATATATTTGGGCATCTTTGTCTAAACATATCTGGTGATATTCCCTTTAGTGGATTTCATCTTGATTGGATGGGAGCTATGTGTTGATTGTGTGTTGTTAAGCCTTTTAGGCCTTGATTAGATGGGGTTCACCCCATCTTCTTTGTATTCCACTTCCTTGTATAAAAAAAACCTTTGTTTTAAAGACTTGAAAGTTATTGGATGGTTTCAGGTGAATGATCCATTTTTGTTTCTCGTGCTAATATTAATCAGTATTATTATCTGTTAGGTTGAAACCATCAGTGACATTGAGTGCAAAAAAGAATCAAGAAGAACCTGTGCAACACCAATGGGAGGTGAATCTTATTATTGATTAAATTACATTGTAATTTTTCTGACGCAAGTAACTATATGTTGTTTTTAAATATGCATGCTAAAGCTATGATATTTGTACTTATCTGGCTTTTATTGATAGAAGATGTGTATTACAAAGTTGTTGAACCAATGGAAGCTGAAGGTCATGAAAACACAACCACATTGATATGTTAGCCTCAAAAGTTTGATAGGGAGATAGATGTTATAGATATTTTATTTTTGAGACTGAAGGTCATGAAAACACAACCACGTTGATATGTTAGCCTCAAAAGTTTGATAGGGAGATAGATGTTATAGATATTTTATTTTTGAGATGTCATTTTTGACTTTAGGGTTTTAACTATGGCATCAAAAGTGAAAGGTTCTAATTTCCCCCCTTATACTTATTGATTTTCATTTTTTGTGTCTTAGTTATCAGTGTTACTTTTATCAGTTCTTTCATTTTGATGATTGTTTCTTATTTGTGAAATGTATATCAATGCTTCAATGGATATAATTTTGAATTGAGAACTTATAAGTACCTTTTATCATGTTTCAGCTTATTCTTTGAGATGTTTAACTTGGTGCATGGTGTTCAAACTGACATTTGATATTTTTATTTGTCTAGATGGATATGGAGCCAGTTCTTGCAATTGACTTTGGAATCAGTGATATCCTTTGTTTATTTTAGTAATCTAGTTCTTACCCATTGCTGGGGGTTTTTCTAAGTTTTCCATGTTATTTTTTTCTTCATATTTTATTTCATTTAAAATTTGTGTTTGTGTTTTTTTTTTGGGGGGGGGGGGGGAGGGGAGGATCTAGGGAGAATAAATATTCAGTGCAGCTCCATTGTGATTATTCTAGCTGCTTGGATTGCAATGTCAATGTTTAAATGTATTCCGAGTACTAATTGGGCAGGAATGGCACTAATCTAGCATAGCATAAAAATAAATATGTACATTAATTGAGTATTTGGAACTCACTGCCTCATGTTAGCTTTGTGATATTCTTTTTAGACCTAATTATGGTTTAATTTGAGATTTGATTGTTTTACTTATGATAGGAAATAAGTGGGAATGAGACTAAATAAGGTCTCTAAAGTGAGTACTTAGATCAGAATCCAACAATCAAATTAATGAATATTATAAAGACTCGAATCTTAACAAAGTTGATGCGGACATCATTAGTTAGTTTCCTGATTTATTAGTTTCCTAGATTCTTTCGCTAGGATTTTAGTTTCCAGATTTTTAGTAGGAGTTGATTTAAGTTTCCTAGTTTATTTGCATTGGTTCCTTTGTGGATTAGGATTTCTTTTTAGTAAGGGATTTTTATCCTATTATCTCTAGGTTTTAGTTTGCTATAAATACTCCCTATGTAGTTCTTTAAAATTCAGATTTGAGACATTAAGACAAGTTTACTTTCCAGAGATTGGAGACTCCTTGGTGTGAAGCCAAGGCGTCTTTTACCACCTATCTTCTGTTTTCTATTTCGCTTCCGCCAAAATTACCCAAATACTCAATTCACCCATATCCTACCTCAAAAGTTTTTGCAAAGTTTTGTATTTGTAGTTCTTAACATTCTTACAGATTCCTAAGAGAACGAATTGGGAGGAATATATACCCCAAGGCTCAGATCAGTGGAAGTCACAGATGGCCGTGTCTCAGCTGTTTGATGAGCGGCCTGTATGGCCAAAGGATTCACTAACTGAACGTTTGGTTGATAAGGGCTTCAACTTTTCAGATCATCTACTCAGAAGGTTGTCTCCTTATAAGCCTTTACATTCTAGTCTCAGTCTTTGTTCTGTTGGTTGAAGTCAATCTGTTCTTGCAGGCTTCTTTCTAGAGTTGCATACTACTTTTCACGTGGACCATTTCTCAGGTTCTGGATAAAAAAAGGATATGATCCTCGCAAGGATCCTGATTCTCGAATGTGAGTATTTTAGAACAAGATCTTGCACATATATAGTATTTAGTATCTGTCCACTTTTGTTTCTCTTTTGCATATAATTTTCTGTTTTCCGTGTGTAGTCTAAAAATTTCTATTTTGTCACGGGAAATAATTTCTTGCCTTTCATTTCATGTCTTTTAATGACGATGAGTTAGTTTATTTGTGCAAGCTCACACAATCAGTATCAAGTGCACATTTTAAACTAACATGTTAATGGATGTTATATCTTCATGTTTGCTTACATTAATGTCTGTTTTAGCAGATTTCAGAAAATTGATTTTCGAGTCAGACCACCATTACAGAGTTACTGTGATGCTAATTCAGCCAATCAGTAAGTTTCTCTTCAAAGTCTTCCTTTTGGTTTTTTTTATTTTTGCTTCAGATTTGCAATCTGCTGTAACAATTAATAGAAAGAGAGAACAATCAACATACCGACACCCTGCAGGATGTAGTCAAAATGTGTTTTCTACGAGTGCTCATTTATTGGCCTTTTTCTTGCTCTTTTAGTTCATTAAGGACCTTCAATACTTTCCATTGAATTCAGCTCATTAAGCAACGCTTAATTCTGACAGAGTTGTCCAGAAACTGGTTGTTGGGAAAAATCAATCATCTTAGCTCTGTACTGTTCATAGTTTTTAGTTGGGAATAAAATTTTGGAAATTTCACCTGACTTATACACCATTTTCAATTGGTCACTAAATAAGATTTCAGAAAAAAAGAAAAAAAAGAAAAGAAGAGAGCTGACCACCAATCCACCCCCTCGATGAGATTTTTTTGCCGGAGTTAACATCAGGTAACAGATTAAGGATTTTGGAAGATTAGGATGACATCTTCCGTAAATTTTTCAAAGATATAACATCTGGTGTTTAAGTTCATGTCACACTGGTAAAATTTTCCTTTTTTAGTTTTGGGTATATATATTCAAGCTTATATATTTGATTTTCAAGCATTATTTGGAGGATACTTATCGTGGACTGTGCAATTAGATTTTTTTTTTTCCTTTTAATTATCGATCCTTATTCTAGCTTTGAACATCAAAACTTTCTAATTTCCAATTCTTAATGTAAATAATTTTTTTCTATAGAAATAATTGGTTTTTGTCCGTTTTCTTTTTGGGTGTCTTGCAGACTAAAGCATAGGTGGGAGGATATTTGTGCATTTCGAGTGTTTCCTTACAAGTGCCATACAACATTGCAACTATTTGAACTTGGTGATGATTACATTCAAGAACAGATAAGAAAACCTCCAGCCCAGACGACTTGCTCTGTGAGTTTCCCGAAATAAGCGGTGTTTACAATCCATTTGCGTGTTCCATTAAATCTACTGGAAGCTAAAAACAAGAGATCTATAATAATTAAGCCTTTTTTTTTTTTTTTTTTTTTTTTTTTTTTCTTTTCCTTCTTTTTTTTGTTCCATTCCATTTTCAAAGAACAGTTGGTGATAGAAGAGTTAAGTATGTACTACATGCTTGAGTGTCTTAGGTACAGAAATGAGGATGTAGAGAATGATAGCTTGTAAGAGCAGAATTTAATAGGAATATGTACGTTAATGAAGTTAGTAGTAGACTGTACTTTTAGCAGTACTAATCTTTGACAATTTCTATTTGTTTCAGTTTTTGCTAGTGTTGGTTTTGGTTGGTGACATTTAGCTTGTATGTTTGCAGTCTGAGACAGGATGGTTTTCATATAACATGCTTGAAAACTTGAAGGATTGTGTTAAAGTGAGGTTCCTATCTGTATTCCCAGAACCTGGTGCGGAGCCCTTGCTAAAAGCTGCTACTGAAAGCTTCAAAAAGTCCAAGAAGATGTGCAGTAATGACAAATTAATGCGTGATGAAGTGGGACACCCACAGGCCAAAGCAGGTTTAAAAATAAAACCACATTTGTCAACTCTCCAGTTCTTTTAATAGTTTTTTTTCTCTTTCTCTTAATTTATAATTAAAAGTGTGTTTTTTAGCTTTGTTTTCTAGTTTGTTTAACATCTCTAAGGAGTCTGATTTTTTCTGTCTGTATTTCATAAGGAGGATTGCTTATCCTTCTTTTTATCAATTCAATGTTTCTAATTATTAAAAAAAAAGTGTGTTTCATATGAACTTTAAAAGCACTTATCCACTTCAAATAAGACACTTCTAGTAAGGTTGAGCTACAATGACTTCTCCCAAAATACCCCTAAATGCATGGAATTGTACTTAACAGAAAGCCACCCTCAAATCTGTTCATCCATGCTACTTTTCTAGCATCCTGCACATTTTTCTTACTGTAGTTTTTGGGTCAGGACTACTAATTTATCTTCTCTCTTGTTACACCAAAGATCTTGCTTGTTCAAAAGACTTGTTCTCTGATCTGTTTTTTGATTTTTCGTGGTATGTTCCAAATGATTTTAATGGTCTGAAGTAGGATTTGATTACTTATTTGTGTACTCATATTTCATTGCTTTGATTGGCACAGCTATTTGCAACACTTATTTATTTATTTATTCACTGGAAACATTATAACATCTTTTTGAGATAATACAAACAGGATATGCTTTTTTTGTCTGATTATTGGAAATGAACTTGGAGGTATTTATTAACTACGTTTATCTACGACTTATAGGATATGAAGATGTTGAGGAACCCAACAATGTTGAGGAAGAGGAGAAAGATGAAATTGGGGTTAATAATGGTGAAGAGGCATTAGATACAGATGATGGACTTGATGTGGTACTTAATTAATTTCTCTTCAACCGGTTATCTATTGGATCACTGTTTTTCTCTATTTTTGGTTTCATGACATTTACTTTTACAGTAAATTATGAGGCCTGCCTCCTTTTGTTGACTTATATCATGTTGACTTGTTCGTAGGCTGAGGATGGTGAAATTTCTCTGCAGTCACATTCATGTATCCTTATACCATAACAATCCAGTGCATAATTTTTCTTTGTGCGTGATTTGAATCAAAAAGTGAATTTTTTTTGACTTCTTTACCCATCCTTTGCAGCAATGCAGTGAATCAGCAATGGCTGTTAGTTGAATGTAGAATAATTAAGCATTCATTTGATTTTTTGTTTTTGTTTTTGGCAATGATATTCCCTTATTTTACTAAAAGTAAAGCAAGATAAACTCAGTCTTGTGAAGAGAGAATTTTGTGACCAATTAATGTTTTCAATTGAAGGATTGTTCTAAGCTCTGCAAATTCTTGTGGATTTCCTATATGTTTCTTAGATCTTAACATGGAGAATATTTCAAGAACCCATTTACAGGAGCTTTTTGGTAGTTTTCCATCTCCTGAAGCAGGGGGTGATAGAATACAAGCTGCATATACCAGTGATGAAGAATACCAGATTTATGAGCAAGATAGTGATGACAACTTCTCTGAAGAAAATGATTGCTAACATGATCTCTAAGGTTCGTTCTCTCCTTTTCTCATTCTGAGGTTTCACGCATTCTTTAATTTTTTGCCATGGTGGAGATATCTTTCATGTGAATAATACATACTTGAAACTAGTCGGTATTGATATAAGTGCCCTCTCTCTCTAGAAGAATAAGTTTGCTACTACGGATTTCATGTCTTCCATCTTGAAACTGCAGGTTGTGCAATATGAATATCGTTTCAAATGTACAACAAGTTTTATGCTTTGCATTTCATGACAGAAGTTGCTCATGCAAACTTGTCAAGAGGCCTTGCCTGCTATAACATGAAAGCTACACTAACTACCAATTATTGGTGTTTGACCATCAATATAAAGCACAGCTTCAGATTCATTTTCTAGCCTGGACAAGACGATAAGTCGAACTGATTCGTGCATCTTCAAATGTGGTCCTCGACTCAATATGGTTTTGGATCTCAATATCTGCCAATGTACAACAATGATAATGGAGAATCTGTACTTGCTTGATGAGGTTCTGCCAGTCCTCGATTTCTTGTTCGATGATATCGGTGAAGGTGTTTCTTTTGGCATGGCAGTTGGATATGCAAAACCATTCAACTCTGTGCCTCCAATTGACCATTTAACGCAGAGCTGAAACCCTGGCGGGAAAAGCACTACTACTGCAACTGTTGGTCATTAGATTGTTTAAAATTTTCTTTTATACGCTTAAGATCATGTGGTAATGATCGCTTGTGCTTAGATTTGCTAGGACACATTTATCTGTAATACTGTTTTTCTGGTAACTTAATTATGTTTATTCTCTTTTTATACTTTGAAGTTTCTTTAAAATTTGCGCTATTTCTCTGAGTAGGAAAGTAAATGGAGATGCTAATGGGTTCCCACCACAGTGGTGGTGGATTCTCCTCCCCCTATGGCACCTAGGTTCAAAACGCCAAGTGGTTTCTTTCCTCCAATGAAACAAAAAAGGAGGTAAATTTAGATAACTATTTCTCACTTTTAAAACTGAAAACATGTTTGGTAACAAATTTTATTTTGAAAAAAAATATGGAGTGTTTTCAGTTTTCGTTTTCATATTTTTTGCCCTCCTTTGTTAGTCACCAATTTTTCATCACCACACATGCATTGCACTTCAGTTATCAAAACTTGGGACTCGCTGACTTGAATTTTGCTCGACTCATTCGTTCGACTTGGACCCACACATTTGTAAATGACAAATTTTTGTTTTAAAGGTGAAAGAGAACGTGGAAACAAGAGAAACTAAACATCAGTGTACCACACAACGCCTACAGTACACGAAAAAATACAAATAGACAAACTAACCAAGTCGTCTTCATCGTTCAACTTTGATGAATGAGGCTGTGTATAATGTTACTGTGCCCACCACCCTCAGCTTATCTTTTATAATAATTGTTTTATAATAATTGTACCCACCACCCTCAGCTTGTCTTTTATAATAATTGTACCAAGTATCGACCCACCGCGTGTTGACTATAAGTCAATGTGAAGGAATAGCAAGTTCACAATCCTTTGGGAGGAAAGCATCAGTCATTGAAAACCTCTTGTACTGTAATTTGTATTTTGTATACAACTCTCAACAGAACCATGGCTGATCCTGCCTTTCCTTTGGCAACCAAACTCATTGAAAAGCTCGGGTCCATTACTTCTGAGCAGATCTGCTTGGCATGGGGCGTTAAAGCTGATCTGAAAAAGCTTCAGCGCACGATGTCCATCATCAAAGATGTTCTCTTGGATGCCGAACAAAAGCAAGAACATAACCAGCAGATACGCAGTTGGCTAAGACAGCTTAAAGATGTATTTCTCGATGCTGAGGACTTGTTGGATGAGTTTGAGTGCGAAGCTTTGCGGAGGGAAGTGGTGGAAACATTTCATGGCACAATTGGAAAGGTACGCCGTTTCTTCTCTCGTTCTAATCCAATCGCATTCCGTTTCAGAGTAGGCAATGAAATCAAGGAGATTAGAGAGAGATTAGATGAGCTCAAGTCCAATAAGGCTATATTTGATTCTCTCACCAGTATTGATCATCATGGAGATGGAGGTGATCATCATGAAAGACCCTTCGTTCCTGCTTCAAGGGTTATTGGTAGAGAGTTTGAGAAGGAAGAAATTGTAAATCTGTTGATGCAACAAGGTGATGATGATCAAAGTGGGAATTCTAATAATAAAGTCTCTGTCATTCCGATCGTGGGGATTGGAGGTTTAGGGAAGACCACACTTGCCAAGTGGGTGTACGATGATAAAAGGGTCGTTGGGCATTTCGAATTGAGGATGTGGGCATCTGTTCCGGTGGACTTTGAACTTATTAGATTGATGAGACTGATTCTTGGTTCTGCATCAAATACAGGGATCAGTGATAAATTGACTCCGGATCAATTGCAAGGAAGGCTACGTGAAGCTTTAAAGGATAAGAAATTTATGCTTGTCTTGGATGATGTTTGGAATGATGATGCTTTGAAGTGGAGTCACTTGAGAGATCTATTGACAGAGGGAGCCATGTCAGGAAGTAAGATTTTAGTGACGACAAGAAGTACCGCAGTTGCTGAGATCATGGGTACCATTCAAGCAAACATTAATTTAGAATTTCTTTCTGACAAGGATTCCGTGTCATTGTTTGTAGAATGTGTTTTTAAAAAGGGACATGAGAAAGAATATCCTAACCTCTTTGAAATGGGAAAAGATATTGTCAGAAAGTGCAGAGGGGTTCCATTGGCAGTGAAAACTTTAGGGAGTCAACTATACTCAAAGACTGATGAACGAGAATGGAAACTGGTGAGAGATTCTGAGATATGGAAATTAGAACCAGAAGGTAGTGGTCACATTTTACCTGCTTTGAAATTGAGTTATACCCGATTGCCTCCTCATTTGAGACAATGTCTTGCTTATTGTTCCCATCTACGAAAGGATATGATTGGATTTAATAGTTGTCAATTGATCAGATATTGGATGGCACATGGAATCCTTGATCAGTCTCATGTTCATGGGAATATGGAGTTGGAAGACATCGGAGAGCTATATTTTAAGGATTTATGGGCGAGATCCTTCTTTCAAAACGTTGTTGATTATCATGTGTTATATGAATTTGATATGCATGATCTTATCCATGATCTTGTACAATCAGTTGCACAAGGTGAGTGTTTTATAGTGAAGTCTGCAAACACCAAAGACATATATGAAAATGTTAGACATCTGACATTTTTGGAAGCTGACCAAAATGTTTCAACAACCTTGCAAAAGTTGAACAAAGTGCGGACTGTAGCAGCAAACATAATAGACATTGATGAATCCTTCCTTCACACTAGCTTTTCAAGATTCAAGTATTTGCGAGTGGTTGAGTTACCTAGATGTTCATTACAAGTGTTGCCAAGTTCCATTGGTTCCCTGAAACATTTGAGATATCTGGACTTGAGTTATAATGAAGCAATAACGAAACTCCCTGATGCAATTTGCAAACTGCAGAGCTTGCAAACTCTAAATCTTATTGGATGTGTGAATCTTGAAGAGTTGCCTAGAGATATAAGCAAATTGATTAGCCTCACATCACTTTGGTTAATGACAAAACAAACGAGTTTTACAGAGAATGGGGTGGGATGCTTGAAATCACTTCGATTTCTTTATATTACCAAGTGTAGCAATTTAACCTCTTTGCCGTGTGAAACGAGCTATCTCGCTTCCTTACGGACTCTGTGGATAGAAAAATGCAAACAACTGAATTTGGGGAACGTAATCTATCAAGGAACTCCATTGAGGCTCCAAAAATTGTTTATTTTTGATGTACCACGGATGGTGGCATTGCCTGAATGGTTTCAAGGAGCGGCTAACACCCTTCAATTCGTGCTTATTGGCATGTGTGACAATTTGGAGGCATTACCTGAGTGGTTTGCAATTTTCACATCACTCACAAAGTTGATCATTGGTTCATGTCAGAAATTGTTGTCTCTGCCAGAGGGGATGCGTTCTCTTACCTCCTTAAGAGAACTTGTGATTGATGATTGTCCTGAATTGGAGAGGAGATGCCAGCGCAACATTGGAGAAGATTGGCCCAAGATTTCTCATGTGCCACATGTTTCCTTTTCCTACCATTGATTTCTCGATATATAATACACGCGACGAGGTGGATTCTCTCGTGTGTTTGTTCTATACTAATTCCTAGTTTCTTTCTTCAGCTGTCTCGGTTTTTTTTTCTTTCCCTTTGTTTGTTTGTTTGTTTTCTTGTGTCTTGTACTAGGTTGTGTTTTATTTAGTTTGGATTGTGTCATGCTTGATCTATTTTATTTTATTTTATTCAAATTGTGGAGTGGACAACCAAAAATAAAACAATCGTCTTTGTAAATATTAATAATAGTCGTCCTCCGCAACATATTACACATGCGTGGTGATGGTGTGTCATGCTAATTCCAGTATCGTGTTGTGTATGCAATGTGATATTTAATCCATAACATCGTCTCCAACTACCACGTACATGATGATAATCTTTATTTATTTATTTATTATTCTGAGGTGTCTCCTTATCACGAAAGTTTTGGAAATGACAATCAGGCTGGCACTGATTATTATTAGATTCATTTTTCTAGTTGGGAATAAAATTTTGGAAATGTCACCTGACTTATACATTATTTTCAATTGGTCATTAAATAAGATTTCAGAAAAAAGAAAAAGAAAAGAAAAGAAGAGATCCGACCACCAATCTGCCCCCACAATGAGATTTTTTTGCCGGAGTTAACGTCAGGTAACAGATTAAGGATTTTGGAAGATTAGGATGACATCTTCCGTAAATTTTCCAAAGATTTAACATCTGGTGTTTAAGTTCATGTCACACTTCTAAAATTTTCCTTTTTAAGTTTTGGGTACATATATTCAAACTGATGTATTTGATATTCAAGCATTATTTGGAGGATACTTATCGTGGACTCAGCAATTAGATTTTTTTTCCTTTTAATTATCGATCCTTATTCTAGCTTTCAACATCAAAACTTTCTAATTTCCAACTGTTAATGTAAATAATATTTTTTCTACAGAAATAATTGGTTTTTGTCTGTTTTCTTTTGGGGTGTCTTGCAGACTAAAGCATAGGTGGGAGGATATTTGTGCATTTCGAGTGTTTCCTTACAAGTGCCATACAACATTGCAGCTATTTGAACTTGGTGATGATTAGGTTCAAGAACAGATAAGAAAACCTCCAGCTCAGACAACTTGCTCTGTGAGTTTCTCGAAATAAGCTGTGTTTACAATCCGTTTGCGTATTCCATTAAATCTACTGGAAGCTAAAAAAATGATATGTTTGATAACTTAGTGTTCCTTTTTTGCCCCTTTTGGCTTCAAATTCCATATTTCAAAGATGGCTCATTACTGAATTGAGGAAGTTGAAGTAAGAACAGATGGTGAGCGTGGGAGCGATTTTCGTCCCACGGGAATATTCGTCTAAGATTCCGTCTTCCCCTTCATCGTGTCTTTCTCCTTGCAAAACAAATCGAAATAAGAGGACCACACCCGAGGGGTGTTGGCCAAGGGGCCTCCGATGCCTAAGTTAGTTCAATTGATTCGTAGAGAAACAATAGCTAAAAAGTGTACGGAGATGTATGTATGGTGTAATCGGATGGCTAGAGTCATGTGTGAGAGAGAGAGAATTATGGCGGCTAGGGTTTGTGAGAAGGAATTTTTGCAGAGTTTCAAATAGGATTTTAGACGTACCTCAACCCTTGTGCATAGCCATCTATTTATAGGAGCCTCGAAGGCTAGGGTTTCAGAAGAATAATTCCACAGATGGAAAGGAATTATTCTCCCTTGATTTGGCGAGATTGGTGTAATTAGGGATTTGATTATCAAATTGATTTATCGAGTAACTCCCAATTAGGTCAAATAATTCCCAAATTGATTGGCTTAATTATTTGACCCAAGATAATTTGCTTCCACAGTGAGAGAAGAGTTAAGTACGTACGACATGCTTGAGTGTCTTAAGTACTGAAATATGTATTCTCTTAATTAAATTTATTTATAAATAAAATAAAATGATAGTTTGCAAGAGTAGAGTTTAATAGGAATATGGACGTTAATGAAGTTAGTAGTAGAATGTACCAATCTTTGACAATTTCTATATTTGCAGTCTGAGACAGGATGGTTTTCATATAACATGCTTGAAAACTTGAAAGGTTGTGTTAAAGTGAGGTTCCTATCTGTATTCCCAGAACCTGGTGCGGAGCCCTTGCTTAAAACTGCTACTGAAAGCTTCAAAAAGTCCAAGAAGATGTGCAGTAATGACAAATTAATGCGTGATGAAGTGGTACACCCACAGGCCAAAGCAGGTATAAACATAAAACCACATTTGTCGAGTCCCCGTTTTTTTAATAGTTTTTTTCTCTTAATTAAAAGTGTGTTTTTTAGCTTTGTTTTCTAGTTTTGTTTAACATCATTCGACTCTAGGGAGTCTGATTTTTTCTGTCAATACAATGTTTCTAATTTTTTTAAATAAAAAAAAGTGTGTTTCATATAAACTTTCAAAGCACTTATCCACTTCAAATAAGACACTTCTAGAGTGTTTCTTTTCTAGTAAGGTTGAGCTACAATGACTTCTCCTAAAGTACCCCTAAATGCATGGAATTGTACTTAACAGAAAGGCACCCTCAGATCTGTTGATAATCCATGCTTCTTTTCTAGCATCCTGCACATTTTTCTTACTGTAGTTTTTTGGGTCAGGTCTCCCAATTTATCTTTTCTCTTGTTACACCAAAGATCTTGCTTGTTCAAAAGACTTGTTCTCCGATCTGTTTTTTATTTTTCGTGGTATGTTCCGAATGATTTTAATGGCCTGAAGTAGGATTTGTGTACTCAAATTTCATTGCTTTGATTGGCACTGCTATTTGAAACATTATAACATCTTTTTGCGATAATACAAACAGGACATGATTATTGGAAACGAACTTGGAGGTATTTATTAACTACGTTTATCTACAACTTATAATGGTGAAGAAGAGGCATTACATACAGATGATGCACTTGATGTGGTACATTGTTTTTCTCTATTTTTGGTTTCATGACATCTACTTTTACAGTAAATTATGAGGCCTGCCTCCTTTTGTTGACTTATATCATGTTTACTTGTTCGTAGGCTGAGGATGGTGAAATTTCTCTGCAGTCACATTCATGTATCCTTATACCATAACAATCCAGTGTATATTTTTTCTTTGTACGTGATTTGAATCAAAAAGTGAATTTGTTTTGGGACTTCTTTACCCATCCTTTGCGACAATGCAGTGAATCAGCAATGGATGTTAGTTAAATATAATTAAGCATTCTTGTGATTTTTTGTTTTTGTTTTTGGCAATGGTATTCCCTTATTTTACTAAAAGTAAAGCAAAATAAACTTAGTCTTGTGAAGAGAGAATTTTGTGACCAATTAATGCTTTCAATTGAAGGATTGTTCTAAGCTCTGCAAATTCTTGTGGATTTCCGATATGTTTCTTAGATCTTAACATGGATAATATCTCAAGAACCCATTTACAGGAGCTTTTTGGTAGTTTTCCATCTCCTGAAGCAGGGGGTGATAGAATACAAGCTGCATATACGAGTGATGAAGAATACCAGATTTATGAGCAAGATAGTGATGACAACTTCTCTGATGAAAATGATTGCTAACATGACATTGAAATCTCTTAAGGTTCGTTCTCTCCTTTTCTCATTCTGAGTTTTCACGCATTCTTTAATTTTTTGCCATTGTGGAGATATCTTTCATGTGAATAATACATACTTGAAACTAGTCGGTATTGATATAGTGCTCTCTCTCTAGACAGAATAAGTTTGCTACTACGGATTTCATGTCTTCCATCTTGAAACTGCAGGTTGTGCAATATGAATATCATTTCACATGGACAACAAGTTTTATGCTTTGCGTTTCATGACAGTAAGTTGCTCATGCAAACTTGTCAAGAGGCCTTGCCTGGTATAACATGAAAGCTACACTAACTACCAATTATTGGTATTTGACCATCAATATAAAGCACAGCTTCAGATTCATTTTCTAGCCTGGACAAGATGATAAGTCGAGCTGATTCGTGCATCTTCAAATGTGGTGATCTCAATATCTGCCAATGTACAACAATGATAATGAAGAATCTGTACTTGCTTGATGAGCTTCTGCTAGTCTTCGATTTCTTGTTCGACGATATCAGTGAAGGTGTTTCTTTTGGCATGGCAGTTGGATATGCAAAACCACTCAACTCTGTGCCTCCCATTGACCATTTAACGCAGCGCTGAAACCCTGGCGGGAAAAGCACTACTGCAACTAACTGTTGGTCATTAGATTGTTTAAGATTTTCTTTTTATACGCTTAAGATCATGTGGTAATGATCGCTTGTGCTTAGATTTGCTGGGACAAATTTATCTGTAATACTGTTTTTCTGGTAAGATAATTATGTTTATTCTCTTTTTATACTTTGAACTTACTTTAAAATTTGTGCTATTTCTCGAGTACGGAAAGTAAATTTAGATGCAAATGGGTTCCCACCACAGTGGTGGTGGATTCCCCTCCCCCTATGGCACCCAGTTTCGAAATGCAAAAGGGTTTCTTTCCTCTAATGTAACCCAAAAAAAAACAAAAAGGTAAATTTAGAATTAGAAAACTGTTTCTCATTCTTTTAAAACTGAAAACATGTTGGGTAACAAATTTTATTTTGAAAAAAAATTTGAAAGTGTTTTCAGTTTTCGTTTTCATATTTTTTGCCCTTCTTTGTCATTCACCAATTTTACATCACACACTTCAGGTATCAAAACTCGATATTTGGAACTCTCGACTTAAATTCTGCTTGACTTGGACCCACACATTTGTACATGACAAATTTTTTTTAGAGGAAGAAAGATAACGTAGAAACAACAGAAACTAAACATCAGTGTACCATACAACGCCTACAGTAAACGAAAAATAAAAACAGACAAACTAAGTCGTCTTCATCGTTCAACTTTGATGAATGAGGCTGTGTGTAAAGTTACTGTGCCCACCACTCTCAGCTTGTCTTTTATAATAATTGTATCCACTACCCGACCCATGTGAAGGCATAGCAAAGTTCAGAGTCACTTGGGAGGAAAGCACCAGTCGTTGAAAAGCTCTTGTATCTCTTCTCCACAAAAGAAAATGTTACAAGAAGAAAGATTTTCCCAGAGATGATATGTCCCTGTACGCTTTAGCCTTTCCACAAAAGAAAATGTGGTGTGTGACTTTTCTGGCCTTTCCATGTACGCTTTAGCCTTTATATCAAATAATATGTTTTTATTTATAAGATCATACAATATGATAGCTCAGCCTAGTCCTATACAGACATGATATGTCCCTTCTTGTCTTGGAGAGATGCCACACCCTTGACCCGTTACTGGCGGGTCCCATACACCACATCAAATTATTCATGTTGGCCCCTCCTTTGTTTTTGTTTATGGAGGAGGTTTGAATTTGGACAGGAGGAGGTTTGAATTTGATGGCCAGGAGGCTGAAAAAGTTTACAAATTCAATAATTTGCAGTGTTTCAAATTCCAGAGCTGCAAAAAGTGACGCTACAGATATATTATTAGGTTTGCTAATTTTGAAAGCATTCTTAATCATTTAAGCTACAAACTTCTTGCATAATTATTAAGCGTTAGTACATGATTGAGAGCATTAGAACCCTTACGAGAGGGAGGAAAATATGTATTAGGCGGGAGATTACCATATTAGTTAGAAAGTGTTTGACATTTAGTTTTCAAGAGGCGTTTAGAGAGATATTATCTGTCACATTAAAAAAATCATCGTGCACCTTTTTTTTCATGAGAAATCAATGCATGATAATTTTGTTGGTGTTTCAATAACATAATCCTAAAATTTCAAAATTTTCAAGTAATATATATTATTTGTACTAATTTGGTCATGTATCACAAACCACCTGTCTTGGATTAGATTCTGTGAGAGAGGAATGGTAACACTAGCACAGATAGCAAAGGAACAATTAAAAGACAAAATGGGCTTTGTAAATTATGAGAAATTAAGACATAAAATAATGGAGCATTTCTAGGTTAATTAAAAACACTTTTGTGTGTGTAAGATTTAGAGCACCAACTGCAGCAAGCTGCAAGACCTAGGAGAATCTGCCACTGTGCCACTTTGTTTGTAGCCCTTACATGTACACGCTGTCTCATCTTCTTTTGGACAGCTTTGTCACATTGACACGTTACTCGATTTATCATCCCATAAATAAAAAACCATCTGATTTCCCTCCCACTCCTCTCTCCCAACAAGTGCTTATTGCCCGGTTCCATATGGTAAGGGTATTCTAATTACTTAGATATATTGGATATGTATACAAAAATCCGAAGTTATTGAGAATTAAACAAGTTTAAGATATAATTATGTTATCATATTGTCAATTTGATATATTTATTAAATTACATAAAAAGGCATCAATGAATGTTATTCACGTTTTAGGTAAAATGATCACACATGCTCTTATGTTATCGAAATAATATTTGTTGTTTAGGTGTTTCACTTAAGTGACGCTACACATGCGATGGCATGTCGAGAGTATCAAGATGAAAGTTTGCATAATAGTTTCTACTCATTATCAACTGGCTTTGAATTGAATGCTTACATTTATACCATAAATCCTCCTATTATGTCCATTAGCACCATTTTATTAGTGTAGGGTCCCCTTGAATATCCCATGATTTCTGCTTGTTTAGATAATCTTGCAGGTTTCTAGAGACAAACTAAACTACATGAAAAAATTGAGTACTGACTACTGGTACTGTCAAAATTCCCATAACACTGAAAATGTCCATGTTAGGCTGTGCGCACATCATGTGAAACATACATAACCCACATGGAAGGAATCCTAGGTTTACTTGTGGCTTATGCTTGCAGCTATTTTTTACTTCAAATCAATAAGATATTTGGAGTGGTTGGTTGCTTTGATTTTGAATAGCTGTTTGCTCTTAGTTTCTATTTTATTTTCACGTTTTTCTTTCCTTATAAAAAAATAGTTTATGTTTTTCTATAAAATAAAATAAAACTTCATTTTCCATATGCTTTTCAAATGATAGAAAAAATTGTGTATACAATGCATAAATGAACATATGAAATATAAATAAAAATATGAAAAAATTAAAAATATAAAAATATTGTTCAAAGTTTGTGAACTACAAAATTAGCTCAAAAATTATTTGAAAGACAGCTATAAACAAAAAAGGGCATTATTGTCAATAAACTGCAAGCAAATGCTAAACAGACAGGAAGCAAGAGGAAAGGAGTTTGGTCATTATTTAAAGCTTTGGCATCTCTCACTTGTGTACTTTCGGTCTTCCACTCTCATATGAATATTGCTTTCCTTTTCTCTTCCTCTCACATTGCTTTTCGTACTGTATCAAGAAAAGAATGAAGGTGCTTGGAAGCTGTAGGATTTCATATGAAGACATATTTTTGTTTTAGTTCATTCAAATTCATAGATTCGGAGATCAGCAGAATCAACATCTATTCTCGTATTTCACTTGTACTGTATACACCCTCTCAACAGAACCATGGCTGAACTTGCATTTCCTTTGGCAGCCAAACTCATTGAAAAGCTCGGGTCCATTGCTTCTGAGCAGATCTCCTTGGCATGGGGCGTTAAAGCTGATCTGAAAAAGCTTCAGCGCACAATGTCCACCATCAAAAACGTCCTCTTGGATGCCGAACAGAAGCAAGCTCATAACCAGCAGATCCGCAGTTGGCTACGACAGCTTAAAGATGTATTTCTTGATGCCGAGGACTTGTTGGATGAGTTCGAGTGCGAAGCTTTGCGGAGGGAAGTGGTGGAAACATTTCATGGCACAATTGGAAAGGTACGCCGTTTCTTCTCTCGTTCTAATCCAATCGCATTCCGTTTCAGAGTAGGCAATGAAATCAAGGAGATTAGAGAGAGATTAGATGAGCTCAAGTCCAATAAGGCTATATTTGATTCTCTCACCAGTATTGATCATCATGGAGATGGAGGTGATCATCATGAAAGACCCTTCGTTCCTGCTTCAAAGGTTATTGGTAGAGAGTCTGAGAAGGAAGAAATTGTAAATCTGTTGATGCAACAAGGTGATGATGATCAAAGTGGGAATTCTAATAATAAAGTCTCTGTCATTCCGATAGTGGGGATTGGAGGTTTAGGGAAGACCACACTTGCCAAGTGGGTGTACGATGATAAAAGGGTCGTTGGGCATTTCGAATTGAGGATGTGGGCATCTGTTCCGGTGGACTTTGAACTTACTAGATTGACAAGACTGATTCTTGCCTCTGCATTAGATACAGAGATCAGTGATAAATTAACTCTGGATCAGTTGCAAGGAAGGCTATGTGAAGCTTTGAAGGATAAGAAATTTCTGCTTGTCTTGGATGATGTTTGGAAAGATGATGCTTTGAAGTGGAGTCAGTTGAGAGATCTATTGACAGAGGGAGCCAAGTCAGGAAGTAAGATTTTAGTGACCACAAGAAGTACCGCAGTTGCTGAGATCATGGGTACCATTCCAGAAAACATTAATTTAGAATTTCTTTCTTTCAAGGATTGTTTGTCTTTGTTTGTAGAATGTGCTTTTAAAGAGGGATGTGATAAAGACTATCCTAAGCTCTTTGAAAGGGGAATGGATATTGTCAGAAAGTGCGGAGGGGTTCCACTGGCGGTGAAAACTTTAGGGAGTCAACTATACTCAAAAACTGATGAGCGCGAATGGAAATTGGTGAGCGATTCTGAGATATGGGAATTAGAACAAGAAGATGCTGGTCACATTTTACCTGCTTTGAGATTGAGTTATACCCGATTGCCTCCTCATTTGCAACAATGTCTTGCTTACTGTTCCCATCTTCAAAAAGATAGGATTGAATGTAGTAGTTATGCATTGATCAGATATTGGATGGCACATGGAATCCTTGATCAGTCCCGTGTTCATGGGAATATGGAGTTGGAAGACATCGGAGAGCTGTATTTTAAAGATTTATGGGTGAGATCCTTCTTCAAAACGTTACTGATCATGGAATGTACTACGAATTTGATATGCATGATCTTATCCATGATCTTGTACAATCAGTTGCACAAGGTGAGTGTTTTACAGTGAAGTCTGCAAACACCAAAGACATATATGAAAATGTTAGACATTTGACATTTTTGGAAGTTGGCCAAAATGTTTCAACAACCTTGCAAAAGTTGAACAAAGTGCGGACTGTAGCAGCAAACGAAATAGAGATTGATGAATCCTTCCTTGACACTTGCTTTTCAAGATTCAAGTATTTGCGAGCGGTTGAGTTACCTACATGTTCATTTCAAGTGTTGCCAAGTTCCATTGGTTCCTTGAAACATTTGAGATTTCTGAACTTGAGTTCTAATGAAGCAATAACGAAACTCCCCAATGCAATTTGCAGACTGCAGAGCTTGCAAACTCTATATTTTGGTGGGTGTGAGAATCTTGAAGAGTTGCCCAAAGATATAAGCAAATTGATCAGCCTCACATCACTTGGTTTTACGACGAAACAAACAAGTTTTACAGAGAATGGGGTGGGATGCTTGAAATCACTTCAATTTCTTACTATTGCCAAGTGTAGTAATTTAACCTCTTTGCCGTGTGAAACGAGTTATCTTACTTCCTTACGGACTCTAGCGCTAGAGGAATGTGAACAACTGGATTTGGGGAACGTAAATTATCAAGGAACTCCACTGAGGCTTCAAAACTTGTTGATTATGAATTTACCACGGATGGTGACATTGCCTGAATGGTTTCAAGGAGCGGCTAACACCCTTCAATTCTTGGTTATTAAAGAGTGTGAGAATTTGGAGGCATTACCTGAGTGGTTGGCAAGTTTCACATCACTCACAAAGTTGATCGTTGGTGAATGTTATAAATTGTCGTCTCTGCCAGAGGGGATGCGTTCTCTTACCTCCTTAAGAGAACTTGTGATTGATGATTGTCCTGAATTAGAGAGGAGATGTCAACGCAACATTGGAGAAGATTGGTCCAAGATTTCTCATGTGCCACATGTTTCCTTTCACTTGTTCGATTGATTTCTCCATATAAAATATATGCAAACTAGATTCCTTTCATGTGTTTTTTCTATACTAATTCCTAGTTTCTTTCTTCAGCTGTCTCAGTATCTCTTTCTTTCCCTTTGTTTATTTGTTTCCTTGTGTCTGGGTACTTACTGGATTGTGTTTTATTTAGTTTGGATTGTTTCATGCTTAGATCAATTTGATTTGATTTTATTCAAGTTGGGGAGTGGACGACCAAAAATAAAAGAATCATCTTTGTAAATAATAGTTGTGTACATGCGTGGGGTGGTGTGCACAACGACTTTGTTTTCATTCATCCAGTTTTGGTGGTATATACGCAATGTGATGATTTCATTCATCCATAACATCTTAATATTATGATAATCTTTATTTGTTTATTTATTTATTATCATGATGTGTCTCCTCAGCTACATCAAAAGTTTTGGTGGCATTATGTGTTAGTACGAAATTCGTATTGGCATTTCCTAGACTTTAGTATAGGGTGAAAATTAGTTTGTGAGGAATTGTTATTGAACGCTTTGTCACTACTCTTTCAACCCCACACTTTCGAGGCATGTCCTGACCATATGAGAATCTTGACCTCAGGTAAATCATGACATAATCATGCATTCATTATAGGATTCCTAGTTTGGAGTTATTTTCACTCAAGTATCTTTATGTTAATCTTATTTTTAATAAGATTAGATTTTATCTCTTGAGATTACTTTCCTAGTTCAACTCTATTTTAATTGAAGTTAAAATATTATCTTTTCCTATTGTGACTTTGCTTGTTGCTTACCTCTTAGTTAATTTGGTTTAAAGAGAGGCGTTATTACTTTGAGTCCAAGGTGAATCAAATCTCCTATTGATGATAGGTTGTGGTGCAATAGGAAATTGAAGATTCGTGGCTTATTAGGTTTTCTCTCCCTTGAGAGAGAACAAGCCTTGTATAAAAGATCATGTGCCATTCTTTTATTTTACAGCTTTTGAGATATTTGTTTTGAGCATATAGAATTCTAAGAAAAGCTGCTGTGCGCATATTTGAGATAAATCATCAAGTGTTCAATGTTTACTTGGTGATTTATCAAACACTTTAATCATTCATATTGCATTCATATGCATGTCGGTGACTCATATGGTTGAGGGCACCAAGACCGTGGTGGCGGTTTTCTTCCGGTGAGCTTGAAGCAATCGTGGCCAGTATTGCGTTCAACATAAGGAGTGTCGAAGATCATCCCGTGACAGAAGTTGAGTTACGAAGAAGTCGGTAAACATTATCTAGAATGTGTCTAGGATAAGTGTGTGAGTACTTCTTGTAATCATCGTTCTATAGTGGATTTGTGTTGGACTGAGGAGTCCCGTGGATTTTCCCCAGAGGTGGGGTTTTACCACGTAAAATAATTCTCTGCGTGTTCTTTTATTTTATGCCCAGCACGTTACAGGATTGATAAGCCATATCAATCCTGCTACCGAAGTTTATTTTTATTTATTTGATTAGAATTTTAAATTGGCCTATTCACCCTCCTCTAGGCATTTTGAGTCATCCTGCAGGTATTTTCATTATGGCTTTACATGCGAAAACAGGAATACACTCAGTTTTGGTGGTATTAAATCCATTTCTTCTTAATAACCAACTTCTCCATTAAATTTTACTCTTTTGTTTGGTTTGGATTGTATCATTGGTGATCAATTTGTTCTTATTTAGCTTTTAGACCACCAAAATGAAAACAATCTTCTTTGATAGTATTTCTTTGGGCCTCCCATTCACCCTGTAACGCAGAGAACAACAGCATATTTCCGCTGGCACAACAATTTTTGTGATTCTACACTGTAAAGCAATATAAACTGTGTCACAACCAAAATTAAAAATTAAAAATAAGGGTCAATTTTACTGGTTTAAAAGCAAAATAAATCAAAACATTTCAAATTTTGGCATACTTGATGAGAAGGCCCTGATAAATAATAACTTTGTATAACATTATAATGTTATTTATGCTCCCATTTCTCCAAGAACATAATATAATTATTTTTTTTGCATTGTCTTAGATCTTGGGAATGTCGATTCTACATCTTAAACTAGTATAAACTCTCTCTTTCTCAAGAAAGTAATATAAAATTTTGTAATGGCCATACTTAAAAAAGAAGAAAAAAATAAGTAATTAATGAACCTTTTTTTTCGGTCCTATGCCTGTGGTGATCAAAATTGAAGTGAAATGTATCTGTTCCCCACACCACATGGTGTTTATAGCATTTATATGTTCCAAGTTAGTAAACATGCGCCTAAACCACACTGAAACAATTGAAATTAATTCATATCATAGTGAAATTAATTCATAGAATATGTGTTCACTTATTAGAAATGAGTATTGAAATAATTCCAGTTTTTAGAAGTTATCGAGATAAGGGACATGTTTCACCATGGTTTTCTTAGAAACCGATTTTTATGCCTCAAATTGCCAAGACATATGACCTTCATACTTTAAGTCATAGATGATACTGAGTTATTATCTAAGCATTGCAGTTATTGTGAGAGGTGAAAGAGAGATAAAAGAATGGTGATAGTTATTTCAAAGAAAGATTGGTGATAAAATTGTATTTTACCCTTATTATGTTTGTTTTTCTTTCATTTTATTAAGGATAAAATCGTAAAACATGGACATATGATTAGTTGACAAGATTCTTTTCTGATATAAGAAAAATAAAAATGGATTCTATTTTTATGGAATACAACACAACTACCCATCATCTTTTTTAATTCTTAAATAAATTTATATATATATATATATATATATATATATATATAAGCCTCTCACAAGCACGTGGGAAGAGACTAGTATATATTATGTATTTTAAAGCCTATATCTATATTATATATTATATAAAATACAAATTTATAAATAAACCCAATCCTAGACATGTATTTATAAAAAAACCTAAGCACTATTTAAACATAGAAACACACCCAAAATCAATCACAAAGTCAACTTTTTGGGTGTGTTTATAAATGGGTTTTGAGTGTGTATAATGATGGGTTTTGGGTGTGTTTATATGTTTAAATAGTGCTTGGGTTTTTTTATAATTTCAACCCCCATTTTGGGTGTTTTAGTGAAACTCCCTATATAAAAAGGATAAGCATGCGCATTTTTTTTTTTTTTTTTTTTTTTTTTTTTTTTTTTCTTCTTGTCTGCTGGTCCAACCAAAAGTTTGCTTCTTTTTTATTCCTATAGCTGAAGACGCGCATGTATGATGTCTCCCACTTCTTGTTTTTATTTATTCATTATGCCCTATTTTTTTTGAAAGAATTCTTTATGTCCTTTTTTTCCTTCGTTTTGCTGCTACTTCTTGTCCACTTTTGCTTCTGTATTTTTTTTCATCTCAAATTCCCTTTGGTATGTGTTGTTTGTGGTGGCAAGGGGCAGAAAATCAATTGGAGTTGCAGTTCTTGGTCTTGCTTGAAGAAAAAATGCTCAAAATTCAGGTTTTATTGTTCTTTGTTCTTTGTTAAATTATTGATTTTATATGTAGTTGCATTATTGTTATTGTTTTGGTCTTAGGTGTTGATTGTTGATTGTTGAGATTTTATTTTGAAGAACAAATTGCTGAAAGTCTTAAGAGGATTTTTGCATAAATAAATTTTTTTTTAAAGTGTTTCATTGGAAAATGTAGTTGAAGATTTACCAAATAAATCTGAACGAAGAATTCATTTTGAACAAAATGAAAATGACAAAAGTGTACATGAATGAAAACGAAAATAAAAAGTGACTAAAGTGCAGGACATGATATTGGATTGAAGATATTCTTGAATGCCCAAAATTTGGCATTTCGCGGAAGAAATGAAAGCGAAAATCAGAAAAACTGAACCTGTCCTAGGCAGTGAATATTATCAAAAATTTATAATTTTCGTGATGAATTTGTCTATAAAGGGGTACTCCAAATAAATCTGAACCTCAACTGCTTTCTGCTTTATTTGTTTATCTCAATAAAAACATATTATTGCAGACTTAAAGAACGTGAAAATAGGTTTTTTTGTTTTCTTTTCTTTTCATCAAGTTAAAAATGCATGGGACATTTTAGAAAAAGCAAAAGGAGAGAGAAAAACTTTAAAAGAAGCAAAAATGGACAAAAATGCCCTTATTTATTTTTAGATTTCCTAAGGAATACAATACATTTGCATGTCTTTGATTTGAAAGTTGAGCGGTTTTTTTGTCTTTTTTGAAAAGCTTTGGCTTTTTCCAAAAGTGAAATTTTTTTTATGTCTAAAACCTAAAAAACCTAAAATGCATTGATAATTAGCCGCAAAAGGACAATGAACAAGAGAAATTGTAAACAAACAAAAAATAAGAATAGACAAATCATTGTGTATATACTATACACTATGCCAAAGTCCCCTCCCTACGGCGGTATTACTTGAGAAAAATGCATTGATGATTCAGCCACAATGCATTGATGAGTTGTCTTTGTAATATCTGTAGACTACCCTTCAGTCGTCTTTCTAAAAACCCATCCTTGAGTAGTTTTTCCTCAAGTTATCTTTATAAAATTTGTATCAACCAGTGCATGACAAGAGCTTTTCACTACGAACAGTGTAAAACCGTAACTCTAAGAAAGAGCCCACCCAACTTCAATTGTCAAATTCGAGCCAACCCATGAATGCTGAAGGCGTCCTTGGGGTGATCTCGCAATTTCCCTCTAGGAGCATGCTCCCTTACCGATGCATTTTTACATCCCACAGCTTCAGCATATTGCTTGTTTACAGATGTGCGTGTCAAGTAATTTCTTGGTCGTCCAGAGGCTTGCAGATTCAAGGGTATAACTAACCAAGAAATTGTGCATTGAATGGTTCAATATGAGTTCTTTTCTATATCTCAAGACAAATGAGGACTTTATTATTTCTCTAATAAAAAGCTAAGGAAATAAGTGGACATAAAGGAAACAAACAATGCGTCAGATCTGAGGTCTAGTTAGAACTAGAACTACTACCACCTTCAGTTGCTTTTGAACCACTGCAATAGCCTTCGGGGGGTCTATGAGATCTGGTAGCAGTTAAATAGAGGATCAGAACCTTTACTATAGATATGAACAACACCTTCAATTGAGATGTTTCAATCAAACTCCACGTGTGTATGAGAAACCCCTATTCCCTTGTATTTTAAAAAACAAAAACAAAACAAAACAAAACATTTCTTATAATGGAAGTTAAGATCCCGCATCTTCTTTCTTCATAAATTATGAACATAAACTTCGAAACTCAAAATCCATTTTATTGTCTCGTCTTATGCCATATTGGATTTGAATCCCCTTTCTTTAAATTCCCTCCCGACTAGAATTTAGAATCTTTAGGTTTTTTTCCTCCTTGGCCTTAATTTGTTTTTAGATCAGGTCTAATATCCAGAGATGTGCTCAAATTTTGGGACCCTAAACAGAACCATTCATCTATACAAAAGGTTAAATGGTATTTTTTTTAAACCCTGCAATCTTATAATTTGTTTCTTGGTCAAGGGAAATCTATTCATTAATAGTGGGAAACATTACAAAATGAGCAAAAGCTCAATCCAAATGTAGCCCAACACCAGCAAATAAAGTAGGCGCATAAAACATTAGACAAAAAACCATAGATCTAGAACACAGGAGAAGCTACACCACATAGCAAGCCAACAACACCACTAGAGCAAAGCCACACCAATTTTTGAAAAACCCTAAAACTCAAATGACCAATTTCAAGCCCTAATATGAAATTATGGGAGTTTTAGACAAGCTTTTATGCTCAAGAATTTTGGGTTGACGAAATTGCCACATGATCATTTCATTAAACTTAAGTGAAGTTACTATTCAAATGAATCTTGTGGCTAATATGAAAATCCACATATATGGTCCATATATAACACTTTCACCATAAAACAACTAGTGGGAGGCAATAAGTTGGGTCAATGAGCTGGGGATTTTACATCTACAACTAGCATTAATTAAATTTATTTATTTTTAAATATTAAGGAATAAATGGATCGTAGAGATACAGACGGACCTTGGAATTTCCATTACATTGACCTTAATTTAAGTACCAAAACCAATTGAGAAAGAAAAAGAAAAAGAAAATATCAAACCGAATAATTTTCCATTAGATTGATCCTTACCATTCACTAATATGTTACTCAATTAACGTTTCTTTAATGATAAAGAATGACTTTGACCTTTGGGTTGTGGTTGCAACCCCACATCAACTGCGAATCGAAACCTCAACTGCTTTCTCCATTATAAAGAACGTGGAAATAAGTTTTTTATTTTATTTTAAAATTGTTAAAAATTGTTAAGAGACAAATCATTGTGCCCTTACGTGGAATAATTTTTCTTTGGCCCACCCACCCTCAAGTTGTCTTTATGATATTTGTGTTCACCCACCACCCTCAAGTTTATGATATTCGTACCTACTGAACGTGGTTGACTAAGTCAATGTGAATGCAAGTAAGTATAGGTTTCTATTTGAAGTTAAAAGTCAGTTCATTTCATTCATACCTTGGGAAACTAAGAGCCAAACATATATCTCCCAATTCCCTTGTATTGACCTCATCAAGAACAACATGACTGAACTTGCGTTTCCTCTGGCAACCAGACTCATTGAAAAGCTCGGGTCCATTGTTTCTGAAGAGCTTTCCTTGGCATTGGGCGTTCAAGCTGATCTGCACAAGCTTGGGCACACAATGTCCATCATCAAAGATGTTCTCTTGGATGCCGAACAGAAGCAAGCTCATAATCAACAGCTACGCAGTTGGCTACGACAGCTTAAACATGTGTTTCTTGATGCCGAGGATTTGTTGGATGAGTTCGAGTGCGAAGCTTTGCGGAGGGAAGTGGTGGAAACATTTCATCCCACAACTGGAAAGGTACGCCGTTTCTTCTCTTGTTCTAATCCAATCGCATTACGTTCGAGAGTAGCTCATCAAATCAAGGAGATTAAGGCGAGGTTAGATGAGCTCAAGTCCAACAAGGCTATATTTGATTCTCTCACAATTGGTCATCATGGAGATGGAGGTGATCATCATGAAAGACCCTTCGTTCCTGCTTCAAAGGTTATTGGTAGAGAGTCTGAGAAGGAAGAAACTATAAATCTGTTGATGCAACAAGGTGATGATGATCAAAGTGGGAATTCTAATAACAAAGTCTCTGTCATTCCGATAGTGGGGATTGGAGGTTTAGGGAAGACCACACATGCCAAGTGGGTGTACGATGATAAAAGGGTCGTTGGGCATTTCGAATTGAGGATGTGGGCATCTGTTCCGGTGGACTTTGAACTTACTAGATTGACAAGACTGATTCTTGGTTCTGCATTAGATACAGAGATCAGTGATAAATTGACTCCGGATCAGTTGCAAGGAAGGCTACGTGAAGCTTTAAAGGATAAGAAATTTCTGCTTGTCTTGGATGATGTTTGGAATGATGATGCTTTGAAGTGGAGTCAGTTGAGAGATCTATTGACAGAGGGAGCCATGTCAGGAAGTAAGATTTTAGTGACAACAAGAAGTACCGCAGTTGCTGAGATCATGGGTACCATTCGAGCAAACATTAATTTAGAATTTCTTTCTGACAAGGATTCCGTGTCATTGTTTGTAGAATGTGCTTTTAAAGAGGGACATGAGAAAGAATATCCTAACCTTTTTGAAATGGTAAAAGATATTGTCAGAAAGTGCAGAGGGGTTCCATTGGCAGTGAAAACTTTAGGGAGTCAACTATACTCAAAGACTGATGAACGGGAATGGAAATTGGTGAGAGATTCTGAGATATGGAAATTAGAGCAGGAAGGTAGTGGTCACATTTTACCTGCTTTGAAATTGAGTTATACCCGATTGCCTCCTCATTTGAGACAATGTCTTGCTTATTGTTCCCATCTACGAAAGGATATGATGGGATTTAATAGTTGTCAATTGATCAGATATTGGATGGCACATGGAATCATTGATCAGTCTCATGTTCATGGAAATATGGAGTTGGAAGACATCGGAGAGCTATATTTTAAGGATTTATGGGCGAGATCCTTCGTTCAAAATGTTATTGATTGTCATATTTCGTACAAATTTGATATGCATGATCTTATCCATGATCTTGTACAATCAGTTGCACAAGGTGAGTGTTTTACAGTGAAGTCTGCAAACACCAAAGACATCTCTGAAAATGTTAGACATTTGACATTTTTGGAAGCTGGCCAAAATGTTTCAACAACCTTGCAAAAGTTGAACAAAGTGCGGACTGTAGCAGCAAACGAAATAGAGATTGATGAATCCTTCCTTCACACTTGCTTTTCAAGATTCAAGTATTTGCGAGCGGTTGAGTTACCTACATGTTCATTTCAAGTATTGCCAAGTTCCATTGGTTCCCTGAAACATTTGAGATATCTAGACTTGAGTTCTAATGAAGAAATAATGAAACTCCCCAATGCAATTTGCAGACTGCAGAGCTTGCAAACTCTATATCTTGATGGATGTGTGAATCTTGAAGAGTTGCCCAGAGATATAAGCAAATTGATCAGCCTCACATCATTTTGGTTAACCACAAAACAAACAAGTATTACAGAGAATGGGGTGGGATGCTTGAAATCACTTCAAGTTCTTGGTATTATTGAGTGTAGTAATTTAACCTCTTTGCCGCGAGAAACAAGCTATCTTGCTTCCTTACAGGCTCTGTCGATATCAAAATGCGAACAACTGGATTTGGGGAATGTAAACTATCAAGGAATTCCACTGAAGCTCCAAAAATTGTTTATTGGACAACTACCACGGATGGTGGCAGTGCCTGAATGGCTTCAAGGAGTGGCTAACACCCTTCAAATCTTGGCTATTTGCAAGTGTGAGAATTTGGAGGCATTACCTGGGTGGTTGGCAAGTTTCACATCACTCAAAAAATTAATTGTTCATTCATGTAAAAAATTGTCGTCTTTGCCAGAGGGGATGCGTTCTCTTACCTCCCTAAGAGAACTTGTGATTGATGATTGTCCTGAATTGGAGAGGAGATGCCAGCGCAACATTGGAGAAGATTGGCCCAAGATTTCTCATGTGCCACATGTTTTCTTTTCCTACCATTGATTTCTCGATATATAATATATGCGAACAAGGTGGATCCTCTCGTGTGTTTGTCCTATACAAATTCCTAGTTTCTTTCTTCAGCTGTCTCAGTATTTTTCTCTTTCCCCTTGTTTGTTTTCTTGTATCTGGTACTGAGTTGTGTTTTATTTAGTTTGGATTGTGTCATGCTTGATCAATTTTATTTTATTTTATTCAAGTTGTGGAGTGGACAACCAAAAATAAAACAGTCATCTTTGTAAATATTAATAATAGTCGTCCTCCACAACACATTACGCATGCGTGGTGATGGTGTGGTGTTGTACTCTTGCTAATTCCAGTGTTGTATTGTGATATTTCATCCATAACATCATCTCCAACTACTACATGATGATAATCTTTATTTATTTATTTATTATTGTGAGGTGTATCCTCAGCTGCATCAAAAGTTTTGGTGGCATTATTATGGCTTTACATTCGAATATATAACTCAACATCACGAAAGTAGGAATTAATTAAAGGTAAATTACAATCAGCTTGCCTCTGATTATTAGATCCATTTTTTTTCACTGAATTCGTAAATAAATAAATAAATAAACTTCTTAATTTCAAATAAGAAAATCTGCAAACTTCTTACTTTCTTACAACCAGCACTACGGTAGAGGAATGATGCAAGCCACGGATGTTGTGAGCCAAATCCTCATACTAAAATTTTATTTTTCATTTTTTCATTTTCATTTTTTTTACCATTCTTTCTCATTCACCCTTTTTACATCACCACATATACATTGCACTCAAGTCCCAAAATTCGTATACTTGGATCTAGCCGGTTGAATCTTACGTTTCCCCGTTGAGAAAGATGAAATTGGGGTTGATAATGGTGAAGAAGCATTAGATACATATGATGGGCTTGATGTGGTACTTCATTAATTTCTCTCCAACCGGTTATCTATTGGATCACTTTTTTTTCTCTATTTTTGGTTTCATGACATTTACTTTTACAGTAAATTATGAGGCCTGCCTCCTTTTGTTGACTTATATCATGTTTACTTGTTCGTAGGCTGAGGATGGTGAAATTTCTCTGCAGTCACATTCATGTATCCTTATTGTAGAAACTGATTTTCCCTTATTCATTCATATGATCATTATAATATATATATATATAACAATATACAGTTACAACAAGCCATTATTATAAATATAAATATGGAGTTATTATGGCCTAATAACAATGTAATTGACAACTAACCATTTCCTATCATTAGTAGGATAAACTATTGTAACTGAAATACTATTGTAACTCCCTAATACTCCCCCGCAAATCGAGCGCGCACAACATAGCAAGATTTGAAATGAAGAAACTACATGGTGATGGAAATGTCAGTAGCAGTGGTATGTAGTAGTCCAGTAAGGGAAACAAAAAAGAAGAACTCCATAGGTGCAACAACGGCTTGAGAGAAACGAAGTAACATAAAAATAAAAATAACACCTATTGAAAGGCAGCAAGTGAAGGAGTGCATGGGCTCATGGAAGGAAGGGATAAAATGGCAGGCTGACATACAAGTCAAATGTACCTAGGAAACGACTCTAGACACCTGAAAACATAACTCTACCAAGGAATCACCTATAGGTAGGATAAAGAGCATGCGATAAGCGGGAAAATAAAGGGATGGGGAAGTGAAACCCATCATCAAGTGGGAAAGGCCAGAAAGTCGTGCACAAAGAGAGAGAAACACAATTTTAAAAGTAAAGGGATGGGGAAGGAAAAAAAAATAGAAGATACACTTGGCATTGGACATAGATAAAAAGGAGCGGGAAAAAACCATGTGAGAGTCTCACGGTGAGATTGACAAATTAAAAGGAGCGTGAGAAAGACAGGCTCTTGAGACAAGTACATAAATAAATTACGTTTTTTAAAATAAAATAAATATAAGAAAAGGAGAGAAAAACCCAGCACGTGGAAAGCAATATAGAGCTTAAGAGAGAGAGCTAAGCACAGGGATATCAGTTGTGTGCAGAGAAGATTACAAAGATAAAAGTGAAAAAGGTTGAAGAGGGAAGAGAGAGAGAAACAGGAAGGTAAAGAGTCTCTCAGATAAACATAAGAAGATGGCTCAAAACAAAGAAAGTGGACAAAGATTTCAAGAGAAAGAGAGAAACCAACAATAGGGAGGTGTGGTCTCTGAGGGAAAATAAAGATATGGCCATCATGCTAAGAGACGGACATGGATAAGGAGTGGGAGTAGGTATCTGAGGAGTGGAAGAGGCACTAGGCTATGGAGGAGATGGGAAAAAAAAAGCATATTCATCTTTGAGAAGAGGAGAGGAAAAAGGACTATACAGAAACAAGTGCCAACAACTCTCAATGTTGGCAACTGGAGAATCGCATTGTTGGTAGCTGGAGAATCGCTAATCAGCGTTAGCCATTAACTCTGATACCATGAAGGAAGTTGAGGTTCCACCCAAAATCAATTGGCAATAGGGGTAGTAGCCCAACTCCTTATAAACCTAGGCTTGGTCTCTTAACTTTTCAATGTGGGACAAACACTCTCAACACGCCCCCGCATGTGTGACGAACTTTCAAGCCTAACACATGGACAACACATATTGGGTGACGTGGGAGCATGTGTGGCCGTTGAGCCCAACAAGTGAAGCCTTGCTCTGATATCATGAAGGAAGTTGAGGTTCCACCTCAAAACCAATTAGCAATGGGAGGAGTAGCCCAACTCCTTATAAACCTAGACTTGGTCGCTTAACTTTTCAATGTGGGACAAACACTCTCAATACTTATACCATAACAATCCAGTATATATTTTTTCTTTGTGCGTGATTTGAATCAAAAAGTGAATTTTTTTGAGGACTTCTTTACCCATCCTTTGCGGCAATGCAGTGAATCAGCAATGGCTGTTAGTTGAATGTAGAATAATTAAGCATTCATGTGATTTTTTGTTTTTGTTTTTGGCAATGATATTCCCTTATTTCACTAAAAGTAAAGCAAAATAAACTTAGTCATGTGAAGAGAGAATTTTGTGACCAATTAATGCTTTCTATTGAAGAATTGTTCTAAGCTCTGCGAATTCTTGTGGATTTCCTATATGTTTCTTAGATCTTAATATGGTGAATATCTCAAGAACCCTTTTACAGGAGCTTTTTGGTAGTTTTCCATCTCCTGAAGCAGGGGGTGATAGAATACAAGATGCAGATACGAGTGATGAAGAATACCAGATTTATGAGCAAGATAGTTATGACAAATTCTCTGGTGAAAATGATTGCTAACATCTCTATGGTTCGTTCTAACTTCTGTCCTTCTCTCTCTCTCTCTCTCTCTCTCTCTCTCTCTCTCTCTTCCATGTTGAAACTGCAGGTTGTGCAATATGGACATCATTTCGCATGTACAAACAAGTTTTATGCTTTACTTTTCATGGCAGTGAAGTGCTCATGGAAACTTGTCAAGAGGCCTCGCCTGCTATAACATGAAAGCTACACTAATTACCAATCATGGGAGTTTGACCATCAATATAGGCCACAGCTTTAGGAGGTTCATCTTCTAGCCGGGACAATATACACCAATGAGTTACAACTTGACAACAATGACTATGGCATGATTCCAATAGATACAACGAAGGAGAATATGTACTTGCTTGATGAGCCCACGCCAGACTTCAGTTTCTTGCTCGACAATATCGGGGAAGGTGTTCCTTTTGAATATGCAAAACTCCACGCAGCCTCTCTTGTTTGATGGATTTTTCCACTTGCGTTAAAGTTGGCTTTGTCTGAGCGCGAGGAGGAGACACGTGCTTACCCCATTACCCAAGGGATTAAAATAATTTCATGGACAAAAATAATGTCGAAATCTGTGTTTGCTTTTTCTTTTTAAATACAAAGTAAAATATAAAAAAAGCTCATTTAGTTGAATTTTCAATATAAATTGGTAAAGCCAATGTGACTCGTGAGGCAGGAGTCATGTGACTCATGTGAGGCTAACGGATAACACTGGCTAAAACCTAGGATGCTAATAGAAACAAAGGAGGTGAAGAGGAAGAAACAAAGAAAAATGCGAATAAAAACCTCACTGCTTTCTCCTTTATAAAATTGTTTATCTCAATAAAAAAATTTATTGTTTATCTCAATAAGTTTTTTCTTTTCTTTTCTTTTAAAATGGTTAAAAATGCATTGATAATTAGCCGCAAAAGGACAATTGTAAATAAGAATAGAGAAATCATTGTGCCCTTACGTGGAATAATTTGTCTTTGGCGCACCCACCCTCAGGTTGTCTTTGCGAGCTGTCTTTATAATATTCGTACCTACTGAACGTGTGACAGTGCATTCTTAAAAAGACAAAATATCGGAGACTCAAACTTGGGACAGTGCATTCATCTTCATCCTCCGAATTCTCTTGTATTGTAATTTGTATACACCCTCTCAACAAAACCATGGCTGAAGTTGCATTTCCTTTGGCAGCCAAACTCATTGAAAAGCTCGGGTCCATTGCTTCTGAGCAGATCTCCTCGGCATGGGGCGTTAAAGCTGATCTGAAAAAGCTTCAGCGCACAATGTCCACCATCAAAGATGTCCTCTTGGATGCCGAACAGAAGCAAGCTCATAACCAACAGATCCGCAGTTGGCTACGACAGCTTAAAGATGTATTTCTTGATGCCGAGGACTTGTTGGATGAGTTCGAGTGCGAAGCTTTGCGAAGGGAAGTGGTGGAAACATTTCATGGCACAATTGGAAAGGTACGCCGTTTCTTCTCTCGTTCTAATCCAATCGCATTCCGTTTCAGAGTAGGCAATGAAATCAAGGAGATTAGAGAGAGATTAGATGAGCTCAAGTCCAATAAGGCTATATTTGATTCTCTCGCCATTCTTCCTCATGGAGATGGAGGTGATCATCATGAAAGACCCTTCGTTCCTGCTTCAAAGGTTATTGGTAGAGAGTCTGAGAAGGAAGAAATTGTAAATCTGTTGATGCAACAAGGTGATGATGATCAAAGTGGGAATTCTAATAATAAAATCTCTGTCATTCCGATAGTGGGGATTGGAGGTTTAGGGAAGACCACACTTGCCAAGTGGGTGTACGATGATAAAAGGGTCGTTGGGCATTTCGAATTGAGGATGTGGGCACCTGTTCCGGTGGACTTTGAACTTACTAGATTGACAAGACTGATTCTTGGCTCTGCATTAAATACAGAGATCAATGATAAATTGACGCTGGATCAGTTGCAAGGAAGGCTATGTGAAGCTTTGAAGGATAAGAAATTTCTGCTTGTCTTGGATGATGTTTGGAAAGATGATGCTTTAAAGTGGAGTCAGTTGAGAGATCTATTGACAGAGGGAGCCAAGTCAGGAAGTAAGATTTTAGTGACCACAAGAAGTACCACAGTTGCTGAGATCATGGGTACCATTCCAGCAAACATTAATTTAAAATTTCTTTCTTTCAAGGATTGTTTGTCTTTGTTTGTAGAATGTGCTTTTAAAGAGGGAAGTGATAAAGACTATCCTAAGCTCTTTGAAATGGGAGAAGCTATTGTCAGAAAGTGCGGAGGGGTTCCATTGGCGGTGAAAACTTTAGGGAGTCAACTATACTCAAAGACTGATGAACGGGAATGGAAATTGGTGAGAGATTCTGAGATATGGGAATTGAAACAAGAAGATGGTGGTCACATTTTACCTGCTTTGAGATTGAGTTATACCCGATTGCCTCCTCATTTGAGACAATGTCTTGCTTACTGTTCCTATCTCCAAAAGGATAGGATTGAATATGGTAGTAATGCATTGATCCAATATTGGATAGCACATGGAATCCTTCATCAGTATCGTGTTCATGGGAATATGGAGTTGGAAGATATTGGAGAGCTATATTTTAAGGAATTATGGGCGAGATCCTTCTTTCAAAACGTTATTAATTGGACTATGTTCTACAAGTTTGATATGCATGATCTTATCCACGATCTTGTACAATCAGTTGCACAAGGTGAGTGTTTCACAGTGAAGTCTGCAAACACCAAAGACATATCTGAAAATGTTAGACATTTGACAGTTTTGGAAGCAGGCCAAAATGTTTCAACAACCTTGCAAAAGTTGAACAAAGTGCGGACTATAACAGCAGAGGAAACAAAGATTGATGAATCCTTCATGTGCACTTGCTTTTCAAGATTCAAGTATTTGCGAGTGGTTGGGTTACCTACATGTTCATTACAAGTGTTGCCAAGTTCCATTGGTTCCCTGAAACATTTGAGATATCTAGACTTGACTAGTAATAAAGCAATAACGAAACTCCCTAATGCAATTTGCAGACTGCAGAGCTTGCAAACTCTATATCTTGCTGATTGTGAGAATCTTGAAGAGTTGCCCAGAGATATAAGCAAATTGATCAGCCTCATAACACTTGAATTAACCACAAAACAAACAAGTTTTCCAAAGAATGGGGTGGGATGCTTGAAATCACTTCGATGTCTTGCTATTTCTGGGTGTAGTAATTTAACCTCTTTGCCGCATGAAACAAGCTATCTTGCTTCCTTACAGAGTCTAACGCTATACAAATGTGAACAACTAGATTTGTGGAACGTAAATTATCAAGGAACTCCACTGAGGCTTCAAAAATTGTGTATTGTAAATTTACCGCGGATGGTGGCATTGCCTGAATGGTTTCAAGGAGCGGCTAACACCCTTCAATTCTTGGCTATTTACGGGTGTGAGAATTTGGAGGCATTACCTGAGTGGTTGGCAAGTTTCACATTAGTCACAAAGTTGGTCATTGATTCATGTTATAAATTGGCGTCTCTGCCAGAAGGGATGCGTTCTCTTACCTCCTTAAGAGAACTTGTGATTGAAGATTGTCCTGAATTGGAGTTGAGATGCCAGCGCAACATCGGAGAAGATTGGCCCAAGATTTCTCATGTGCCACATGTTTCCTTTCACTTGTTCGATTGATTTCTCCATATAAAATATATGCAAACTAGATTCCTTTCATGTGTTTTTTCTATACTAATTCCTAGTTTCTTTCTTCAGTTGTCTCAGTATTTCTTTCTTTCCCTTTGTTTATTTGTTTCCTTGTGTCTGGGTACTTACTGGATTGTGTTTTATTTAGTTTGGATTGTTTCATGCTTAGATCAATTTGATTTGATTTTATTCAAGTTGTGGAGTGGACGACCAAAAATAAAAGAATCATCTTTGTAAATAATAGTTGTGGACATGCGTTTTGTGGTGTGCACAGACTTTGTTTACTTTCTTTGTATCGCTTGGTAATTCCAGTATTGTATATATGCAATGTGATGATTTCATTCATCCATAACATCTTAATATTATGACAATCTTTATTTGTTTATTTATTTATTATTATGATGTGTCTCCTCAGCTACATCAAAAGTTTTGGTGGCATTATGGCTTTACATCGGTTGTCACTGGTTTTGGTGGCATATGGGACCTCTTGACTTGGAACTAGCTGGTCGAATCTTGTATTCCCTCCTGACCTAGTCCGAGCCTCGGTACATCTAACTAGTAGTCTATCCATGAATTTTTGTGTTGGTGGCAAAAGGTGGAAGCACAAAGCATTTAGTTTGAAGAGAAAGATAATAAATTTCTAGAACCCGCAAAGAATTATATAGACATATGAAATGAAACTAAATTTATATAATTACAGATATCTGCCAATAGCTTCGTTCCTTTTAGATCCGTCACTTATTTTTGTCAATAGATTGCCCTTTTCCTATTGACCCATAGCCCAAAACCTTTATAACAAAATTCCAAGTAGCCCTATCCTCAGAATTGTTCAAGCCCTATGTTTTGGGTCATACTAAAGCGTACCAGACGGTATGGGCTGTCCAAATATGTATAAATGTTGTTAACTGTTCTTTTTTTTCTTTTCTTTTTTTGTTGTTGTTGAGAGAATCATGTTAAACTATTTTTAAATTTGACTAGGAGAAGTAAACCTCGATTAAGCTAGTTCGCTATTGCAATGAACTCGTTTCTTTGCACTCAAATTTGAATCTCTCTTCTCATAGAGTAAATTAATACATATATATATATATATATTAATATAAGCAATAATCTAAATTACAAGAGAAGAGGAATTTCACACATACATATTGTCAAGGCATCATGGAGATCAAACCTGAGACCACTAGTCTACAAGTTAAGGTTATTTTCTACCTAACCAGACCTGTTGGTGAGTAGATTAACTTTTGAAACTATCGTTTGTATTATAAAAAATAAAATAAAAGAGATTTCTGGATGGGAATTAGGCTTTATGAATATGAGTGACAAAGTAGGACTGGAAAATACATATGAGAGAGAGAGAGATACTCATCACTTTTGTCGTGTAGCATAAGGTTAAAGCCTGACTTTTCTGACCTTGGGCCTAGTTATTTATTTTTTCCAATAGGCCCAGACTTGAAAGGGATGGCTTCGTTGGGGATGGATGAGTGTGAATGGGCCTAACTCTATCCTCCAAATAGTACGACTACCTTTGGTCCATTTACCAAAATTGGGTACAAACATTGGCCCCTAGTTTTGATGGGCTTGGGTCAAGTCTATCAAAATTAGACCCTTTAGCTTCTTGGCTATGTCTTATCATGACGGTACGAATTTTTTGAAAAGTACACGCCATCATAGCGGTGGCAATACAACAACTGTCTCCACTTTTCACGTTTGGCAATTAATTCGGCTTGCCGAAAAGATAACTTCCCTATTTCTGGTTCTTTGAACTTCGTCTCTGAACATACCCCCTTGCTTCTTTCCTCTTCTTCCTATTCCACAATCGTTACTTCTTCTTTCTTGAGAAAATTGCCATGGTTCCAAGACGTTCGAAGGGTTCCAAGGTCTCTACTGCCAATCCTCGTTGGATGTCTGGTGAAGAAGCCGCGAAGCACGCCAGCGATTTTCAGGCTGCTCTTGTGCACGTGCAATCAGTTAGTTCGGCGAAGCTATGTTGTTAAAATGTTAACTCGCAATTGTACGGGCCAATTAGTAGTATAGCAAGACAAGTACGAGGTCGTACCCACGAGGACTGAGAAGTTAAAATTAGTTATGTACTTAGATTACCAAATTCAAGAAAGTAGGAGGTTAAGTCTAAAATAGAATTTAAAGCAAGAGTGATTGTAATTGTTGAACAAAAAGAGGCAAAACGAAATTTCAAACAAAAGTAAAGTGAGCAAATGTAACAAAGAGTACTTTTGTAGGCTGGAAAACAGATTGGGAGACTAGGGCATTCGATTCACCATAACAATTCAATTTTGGGTTATAAGGAGTCAAGTGACAAGTCTAATTCGGATTCAAAGATTGATTCTAGCTAAAGTATGATTAGGCCATGGTGTCTGGTCCTAACCTTGTGTTTCTAATTCCCTAACTTGATCATTTGTTGTCTAACCTAAACTAAGCATTAGGAACCCATTAAGCATAGAAGAACAATTTAAACAACCAAGCATGTATCTAATCCCTGTTGTCGAATGTCCATACATACTTTTCTCATTCATAGTTCAATTCAAATCAAAGCATGGTGTCTACTCTTGATTCAAACCAAGGTAGCTAATATACAAGTTCTAATGGTGATCAATCATCCAAACAAGCATATTAACTGATAAGCATAAAGAATAGGAACATAAATCATGAATCAAACTTGAAACTCAAAACTTCAACTTATAAACCCAGAATATTCATGGTAGGTTACATCAAAGCCCTAGTTATGAATTTAGCTACTCATAATGGAAATGAAACTTAAACAGAAATGAGAAAACATAATGAATGCAATAAGAGTGGAAAAACCCATTTCTGAAGTTACTTGTGGTGTCCAAGGCTTCTCCACGTCTAATGCTGCTCCAAGAGTTTCCTCACATCTAGAGTATGGCAACTAAAGAGGTGATTTGGGATGAGTTTGGGTGAGTGGTGATGGCAGAGAAAGAGGAAATTCGTAGGGAAATAGAAGGAAGGCTTGTTAGAGCTGTTTTGGTGATTTGGGGCTGAATGGAGTGTTTGGGGAAGGATGGGAGTGTTAGAGGATGGCAGAAGTGAATTTTAGGCTGAATGGAGTGACTCCTTTTGAATGAGTATGCCTCACTCTATTTATAGAGTGCAATTTCGTACTCCCCTTTGGCTGGTGAAGTACACCCATTCCTAGCTGTTCCCAATTGCCTGAGCTGCCCATGCTGCTTTAGTGTGTAGCCCATGCCTCTAGGAATGTTAGCTGACCATCCTTCTGAGGTTCCATGCTGTCCTGTTAGCACTTGGCTCAACAGCTGGCAGTTGCATTCCTGAGCATAGTATGCATTTTGATGGGCTCACGAATTGGGCTCAACTTAATCAATTGATGCATTTGAGTAGTCCACCTCAAAGTTCAGACTCTCATCTTTCCAACCATATATTATTTGGGCCAATCCAAGTTGGGAGAAAGACATTAAGGCCGAAATGAGTTGCTAACCCAGTCTGCTCGTTTTTGCACCATTTTGCATCTTTTCTTATCCAAAGGCACCATTGCTTCCTAAGGCCCAATGAACTGAATGATAAACAAAAAAGGGATTAAAAGCACACGTTTGACTCAATAACATAACCAAATCATAAGCTATAAGGGTACAAAATAATATGCAATTGTGAACTGATCAAGCTATATTCCCCTTTCCCGCTGACCTTGAGAGGTCCCTACAAGAGTCCGTTCCTAGGCCCGCATTATTACCAGTTCAAGCCCGAAAAGTTGCTGTCTTTGGACGCTTGCTTAGTCAGAGCGCCTTTCTCTTATGGTTTAGAAAACATCAATTGGGGGTCATGGGATACGAAGTTGGAACGGCTAGGCTCGGATCCCTCCATTCCTCTTCCGGAGGATTTTCTTTCTTGGGCCGATTGGGTGTATGCGATGCTGCCCTTATTTAAGGAGAAATGGATGTTGAATGGCATTTACCAGGCCATCATGTTGTCGAAACATCAGATTACTCTAAACCCTTCACTGATAGGCGCCGCTTTGTGCTTTTGGGATAGCACCTCAAACTCGTTTGCCTTTGGCCCTGGGCCCATGACTCCCACTATTCTGGACATGGCGGCCCTGTTCGGCTTTAGACCCCACGACCGTAGTATTGATGCTTTAGCCGATTTTGAAATGAAGAATCGGAAAGTCAGGGTACCAATGAGGGCTAGTGCGTCCGAAATAATGCATCTGAAGACGTATTCGGGCTTAGTTATGACCTATCAAGGTATGGATGATCCAGATCAGGAGCACATGATTGTTCTGCTCTTTTGGTTGAACAAATTCATTTTTCCTCATGCTGATGAAGGCGTGAGAACTGAGTTTATGCATTTGGCTGAGGCTCTTCATAACGAATCGGACTTGGCGACCGGGCCTTTTATGTTGGCGTTGCTATATCATCGGATTACTGTTGATCCGTTCAACTTGAATGTATGCGGCCCTATCTGGATGCTTCAGATATGGCTGGAGTGGTACTTTCCGGAGCTGGGGAGTGCAGGCTCGGAATCTTTGGAAGATGACGTTCAAGAAGGTGACGCTTTTGCCATTGTACTGGCTACTAGGCCGAGATGGTTTATCAGTACAAAAGAGTGTTTTATTTTCTTCAGAGAATGCAGGCAGCGTCCTAAGGCAATCTGGCTTCGTTCCCTGTTGGGTTCCATGTTTTGGTTTGTAAAGAGAGGTCTCCATGAAGCTCCTCGGCATTGGAGACATCTTCTCGATTTTCGATCTTAGCTGCATGCTGACATGAGCATTTCCTGCTTGGCCAGCAGAGATCTTTTCTTTGGAGGGGCTTGTTCTAATAGAACCTGCACTTATGGGGCGAAAGCTTACAACCCTCAATATGTGAGTCGTCAGTTTGGGCTTGTTCAGGCCATTCCTAAATTACTGTATAGCTCAGTTAATAGAGGGAGCTCATGGCGGAACCTGTCGATGACTCCTCAAAAAATTGGGTCAGTGAGGTCTTCGGGGCGGAGCCGAGGTGAGAAAATGAGAGTACCTCCTTACGATCCTTCCCTACTTTGCACCTCTGCATTCCACGAGTTCTGGCATGACAGGCTATCTTCCTGGCTACCTGAGTCTGCGAAACTTTTCTATGCCTCAACGTTCCAGGACTGCCCTTTTGCCAGATTGATGACTGAACAAAAGGAATACCATATGCGGCACAACCTGGTGCGCTACCAAGGCGAAGCCATAATAGGTAAAAATGTACTTTCTTTAATGCTTGCTTTTCATCCTAGTTTAGTTACACCATTTTCTAACAATTTGGATTGTTTTTGTTATTCTGACAGAAACTGTTACTGATGATCCATGTGGCCCTGATTTGAATGGTAAGTTCTTGTTGATTTTGATTTCCTTTCCGGTTTTGAGCGGAACTAATTGTATCAACGCCTCTTTTGTAGTTCGAGATGTTGTTCCCGGTGATGCTGATAACTCAATGTTGCCCCCTAGCTCTCTCGGTCCTCCTTCTGTCCTTGGCTCGAGATCGCTAGGCAAAGGAAAGGCTCCCTTGGAGGATCCTAGTGAAGATGATGAAGATAATGATGATGGGGAAGAGGAGATACCGCTTGAAAGGAAACGCAGAGCCCTGAATTGTGATTCAATCCCTGTAGATGGTATGTTTTCTTTTCTGGCCCTTAGTATTTTCTGGTTGAATTTTTCCCTTGCCCTTTTTAAAGGTCATTTGCATTTCTCTTTTTAAAGTTGAAAGTAAGAGGGCGAGGGTAGAATCATCTGCTTATATTGATGAAATGCTTCTGGTGGGCCCAGAAGAAGTGCCTCAGGTTTGACCTAATTCCAAATCCTTGTCTTTTAAGCACGCTTTTTGTCCTTTCTAACTTTCATAACTTTCATCCTGGTGGGCTAAGGAAAAAGTCTATAGTCCTTTTATTTCCGGTGTGCCCAAAATGGTGACATTGAAAGTGAGGACTATCAAACTTGAGGACGGAGTCGACCTCCCTCCTAATGAACCGCATTCTGGACCAGGTTGTCCAGATTCTATTGCTGCTGCGAAGGCACTTTCGAGGTTGGATCCTCTTTTCCGAGACTTCGCCATGCCACGGTCTCACGGGTCTAGGTCCGAACCTTCTTTTCCGAGACCTCATAGGCCTAGATCTGAACGTTTTCATCCAATCTTACTAGTGTTGTGGGCAAACGCATTATCATGGAGCTGAATCAGCCTGACGTGGTACTTGCTATTGCGGTGGATGCTCTCAGGTTTCTCTGGAATGTAATTCGAGCTCCTGAGTTTGATCCCGTGACAGACCCTGACACCCTATCTGGGATGATGCCTCAGATCCATCAAATTGCTCTGGTAAAGCCTCATCTTGCTCCTGCATGCAAGCATATGGAGCAGTGGTTGAACAGGACTCTGAAGCATATTTGCATTATCAAAGAAATTCTTTCCGCTGCCAGGGACTCAGAAGAGATTTTGGAAGAGCACTGGGATCGCAAGGAAGGGTTCGTGGATTTGGCTGAAGCTACCGAGAAGGTCTTAGATCAGCTTGATGTTCTAGAGAAAGAGGAAGAAGGATTAAGGGCTAATATCTTTGTTGATCTTCGGTTGAAGGCAGAGATGGAAGCTAAGCTGAAGGACATTCGGGCCCAGATCGCTGCTAGTGGTTCTACTGCTCAAGAGATAACTTCTCGGGCCTTTCGAGCTCGGCTGGCTCGAAAAAAGATGGTTTTTGCCCAACGTGCCCTAGATATTGATATGGAGGAGCTGGCAGATCTGATTGCCACTATTTTAGAATTTCTTGGTTGAATTTGTTGTTGTGTGTTTTATTCTCCTCGGGCCTGGATTTATCTTTTGTAAAACTATCCAACTTTCTTCTTTTCTGGAACAGTGCCTTTGCAGGTTGTAATTAATTAGCCTTTTTCAATTTATCTTTAATTAACAACGGCTATTTATTCCTAATGAGTAGAAATAAATATACCAATAACCGTTAATCAATTAGTTTTAAGGAATAAAGACATAAATGCCTTAATACCCTTAAAAGTTTGGGACTCGAGCTAGTCCTGACCAAGGGTCTTTTCACGCCGTATGGTACATACTCAAGTGAAATTTTGTGGGGTGTCGTGCCCTTCCTGGTTCATTTCCAATTTTGGCCATGTGGCAGAACCAGGTGGCGTGCCGTCTGATGGGGGTTGTGAAGGGTCACGTCGGGCTTTAAATATGTGATTTGACTTCTCCATTTCTCTTCCATACTTCTGTCTTCCCTTGATAGTGTCAAACCCTGCACTTTCAAGCGGGAGAACTTTTCCGAACCCTAAACCTCAACCCTCCTCTTCCATTTCTCTAGATATGGCCCCCAAAAAAGGTTCCGGCTACCATTCTCGACTCTTCTTCTTCTGAGGAAACTGCTGCCCTTCCTAATTTTCTTTCTGGCGCAGGCGTAATGTCTTTTGTCGTCGTTTTTCGACAACTGGGTCTATAGGTTCGCTGCTGGCCGAGTGGACTTCCTTCTTTGCAAGGATCTTGTCAGCTTTGTGAACGATTACTGTTTGTTGGGTCCTAGGAATGTGGACCGAAAATCTGACCAACTTTGGAATTATGAAACTCATCCCATTCGGGCTCCTATTCCCGTTTGCCATGCTGAAGGTATCGATTGGTCGAACTGGAATAAGATGCTTCCTCGGTTTTTTTTTTAAAATTGACGTGTCTAGTATCGACCTTCGCTAGGTTGATTGGGTGGCGAAAATGGAGCCGCTTTATAAAGATTGCTGGTACGATAATGGCATCTACCATGCCATAACGTGCTCTACTCTTCAACTTCAGGCCGATTCGCCTCTTCTAGGCTCTTCTTTGGCTTTTTGGAACAGTGCTTCCAACACTTTTGATTTCGGAGTTGGTCCCATGTCGATTTCTATTCTTAACCTTGCAATGATTTTCGGATTTCGTCTTTCGGGCCTGATTGGTTTTACCCAGGCCTTTGGTGCTTTTATGGGTGCATTTATGAATCGAGCGGTGGATTACCCTCATGGTGAACACATAATGTTCCTGATGTACTGGCTGAATCGATTCATCTTTCCTAGCGCTTCCAACTGCATTACAATGGAATGGCTTCATCTGGCCAAGAGCTTGGTGTCTTATCGGGATATTGCTACTGGTCCCTTGATTTTGGGTTCCATTTATAGGGCTTTGAGAGAAGCAACCATTGTTCCCATCAACCTCAATGTGAAGGGACCCTTGTGTATGGTGCAAATTTGGTTGCAGTGGACTTTCCCGGAATTAAGAGATTGAGACCTGCGTACCACCTCCGATTCGGTCCCCTTGAGAGATCTAATTCTGAACTCGGTGTTTGGTAAAACGACTGAGGAATGTTTTACTTTCTTCATGGGCCGAAAGAGCAAGAGTGTGACTCAGTGAATGATGAACTCGAAGCGAAGCTGCTCCTTGTTTAGGGATAGGCTCATTTATCAAGGTCCCAGGGATGCAAATGCCCCCTTGCTTATGAGAATATGGACATTTTTTTCGTGCTTGCAATCCCAAGACTTGCCTTGTTGTGGCAGGATGGATTCCAGAAATTACCAATATGGTGTGGAGGCCTATAACCCTCAGTTTTTTAGTAGACAGCTTGGGTGCCCCCAGGTTATTCCTAAGCTGAACTATTCATTGATCAACAAGGGTTCATCCTATCATTTTCCAAAACTGAGTTGAGAAGATCTTCTAAGGGTTCGAGCCAAGTATGAAGAATCTGCCAGGGTGTTGGAGCTGAAGCCCTACCAGCCCGTTTGCTGCGGTACTCTGCCCTTCCAGGCTTGGTGGGATAATTATCTTGGTAGATTTGGGACCATAGATGCCACACATAAGAGATCTTTCAAAAGCTGCCCTTTTCGCCAAAATCTTAGCGAAGACGGAAGGCATGCTCTACTCGAACAGATCGCAACTGACAAAAAACTTCCTTTAACCAGTAAGGATAAAGAACTTTGTCAATTTTAAAGCGTTTCTTTCCTTCCCTAAACATTCGAGTTTTTATGCAGTTTCTGCCAATTACCAAACACTTTGCTCTTCTGCCCAATTGACTGCCCTTGCTAAAGAAATTAGTTCTGGCTCGAGTTTATCTGTTCTGGGGGTTCCCATCTTAGCTCAGCGGAAGCGGAGCTCAAGAAGGGTAAGCGTTCCTCTCGGTCCTGCGCCCAAGACTGCTAACCTTTCCAGAACGCACGAGTCTCGGACTGCTCCGTTCGCTTTTCCCTATTCAGGTAATTAGAGTGTTAGAATGAAGTGGTTAACCGACACCGTTCGCTAAACGGGCCAGGATTCTCACCACAGAGGCTCCTGAATTGGCTTCAACTGCCCCCTAGTAATTATCAGGCTCTTCCTTTCCTTGCATTTTCTCAGTTTTCCCTTCCGAGCCCTACTCCAATTCCTGTTGTGGGAGTCCATGATGCAGAAATTGTTTGTCGTAGATGAGATGGATCCTCTACCCGCTTCACCTTTGAGGGAAGAACGTCCTTTTGCTTTTTTTTTTTTTTTTTTTTTTTTTTTTTTTTTTTTTTTCTTTTGTATGTAAGTCGGATGCCAGGGGAATTCTATCTTGTGCCAGCAGAGACTGAATGCCCCCTGGGTATTGGGGAGGGGAGGTTCGAGGAGACAACCTGTGATGAGGGCCTTCTCGAAGAGGTTATGATTGAAGATCCTGCTGAAGTGGTTATCGAGGTACTAGCCCCTACTGTAGAGTCAATGGATTTCGAAAGGGAATCGTCAGTTCCTGATCCGAAGGTAAATTTCATATAATTCTACCTGGTCCTCGAGGAAAGAAATTACAGAAACTAATTGGGCATATTTGTGGCAGGAGACTGAGATGCCTAAAACTGGAAGTATGACGCCTGAGCTGACGGTGGATCCTATGAATCGTACTGAAGCTAGTCATAATTCGGGTTCTTCACGTGCTGAAAAGTCTGAGGTGCCAACTATGTCCAAGGAGAGGACGAAATTGATCTTGGCAAAATGGGTGACTCTTTCGATGGATGAGAGGGTGGGACGCCCTAGATGTTCTTAGCCCTTCCTACCCAGATTTCGCATCCTCTTTCAAGATTTCCAAGCTGGACCTGTTGGCTTTGGCTAACAAATTCCAGCACAGTGATGCTGCTCAATTTCCCGATGACGACGCGCAATTGGAGGCAGAACTGGCCCAATCCAGAGAAGAAACGAAAGCGCAACATGAAGAATTGGAGAAATGCGAGCTATTGTGGAAACAGGCAGATTGGAGACTGAGGACCTCAGAAGCTTATTTGCAGCAGGTGTTGTTGCAGAAAGAGGAACTCCAGGATGAGGTTGATCAAATGCTAACGGCCCTGACTACAGCCAAAGAGGACATTGATAAGGCTAATATGGATGTCGGACTGGAGATATGGCAGGAAAAGCTGAGGATGATCCGTCTTGATAAGATTCGTGTGGACACACGACATTTTTGTTGAAAAGATCAAGACCTTGTTGGATCTGCTCGTGTAGTTGTCGAAATACTTCGACCCATATTATTATTTTTGATGTAAGAACCTTGTGTAATGGTTCTATCAAATTGCTACTATTCTACTGACTCTGGTATTAGGCATTTTGATACAAAACTTTTTTCGGAATTGTATATCTTATTCGAAACGTGCATGCTATGGGTTACTTAGGTCTAGACCTGTCAATTCCCATAAGGATGGTATGAACGTTTTTAGTCATTGACCATTTATTGGATGTTGATGTACCGTTCCATCTCTATCACAAAGCAAATACGCCCTTTTTTCCCAAAATTTTCCTGACTGTGAAAGGACCTTCCCAAGTCAGGCTCCATTTTCCGAATTCTGGCACATGGGCTCCTAATGGTAGGACCGCTCGCTAGACTAATTCTCCTTCTTCAAAAGTTTTTCCTCGGACTCTTCTATTATAGGCACGTGCCACTGCTTGTTTACCAACCACCAGATGGTTTAGAGCTTTAGCCTGAATTGGACCGAGTTGCTCTAATTCCTTCGTCATAGCCTTAGCATATTCTTCTTCGCTTAATGCAGACTGTCTCTCGATTCGAAGTGATTGCACGTTGATCTCTACTGGTAATACGGCGTCATGCCCGTAAGTGAGAGCGTACGGGGTAGTGCCTATAGCATTCTTTTTAGACGTCCGATCTGCCCATAGCGCATTGGATAACCTTTCGTGCCAATCCTTTGGGTTGTTATTTGCCATTTTCTTGATAATATTGCTGAAGACTTTGTTGGTAGATTCTGCTTGACCATTGGCGCATGGAAAGAAGAACACTCGAGGGGTCTCCTTCTTTGGGGAGTCTAGGCCTTTGTACTCTAGACCCGAATCAGTGGTTTGCGGAGCGCTTGGTTTGTCATCATAATCATCATGTATTCCAATCAGAGCAGCGACGTGTTCTTTGATCAGGATATCACCTTCCATGCTGCATGGTTGTCCTTCTTTTGACCTATTAAAGGCGGGGAGGACGTACACCATATTTACTGGCATAGTACCTTGTGCTGTGGTCTTTTCTCTGCACTTGATGGCCTGATTCATTGAGGGTTCAACCTCAACCTCTGTCTTCATGGGCTTCTGTAGAGTTTCTGATTTCTCAATTGCCAAGATTGGTTTTCCAACTGTCGATTCTCCAACTTCTTCTATCGTTCCGAACATTATGGCTGGCATGTGATCAGGCTGGCTTTCCACAAGCGCTTGGCTGTCTTCGTCTTTGGCTCGTAGTCCTAAGGCTGATTTGAATTCTTCATGATTGAGCTCATAGTCCAACCAATCGTGATTGTCATCTTCGGACATGTTATCCGCCTCCTCTTCTTCTATGGCTGAGCTAGCTCGCTGCACCTTTTTTGGGATTGTGATCTGTATAATCGGTCTGTTTGATCCTTCTCCGGATTCTGGGTTGGTGCTTTTGTTAAATTTTTCGGTGGAGTCGCTCTGGTCAGTTGCCATTGCTAGTCGCCTTAGAATGCTTTTGCCTGCTCCCAGTCTTGGCATTTTCGCACAGGATGGTCGTGATTCATGACCTGGCTTTAGGAACAAGTCAGGCTTCGACCCTTCTATTGCTTTTTTATTTCCCAGGTATGGTCTTGATTCTGTTTGCTCTGTTCGGGTGGTGGATTCGGGTGCGCCTTTGAGTCTGAGCATACCTACAGTTGACCTTCCTTCGCGTTGAAACTCGTTCTTGGTGGCTTGATGGGCCCTTGGTGGGCTTGATTGCATTGATTGTTGTTCCATTTCCGTATTGTCTTTTGATCCGTCTGGCCTGGGTATTGGTTAATTCCTTCCCTGGTTTGCCGCCCTTCCCTACTAAATACCATCTCCCGTTCTATACCATAGCTGGTTTAGCCGGGCCGGGTGGCCTGACATTAGTCGAATTGGAAGTAGTAGAGGGTCTACAGCCAGCCTCTTCATGGGGACTTAATGGAAAAGCCCTGGGTTTGGGCTGTTTCAGTCTTGTCCTCCATTTATCTATTTCTTCTAATTTTCTTGATTCAGATTCTTGCCGTATGGGGGTTTCATCCGTAGCTTTCCTGTCTATCCTTCGGAAGGCTTGTTTGGGCCCTTTCTTGGGCTGAAAGGTCCATATGACTGACTGGATATTCTGCTAGGACGTCTGTCGGTTTCCCCTCTCGTGTGGATTAATTGTTCGTCAATCTTTGATCCTGTGGCTGGTATCTCTAGTTCACATTCGCATTTGCATCTGCTACATAATACGATCTCAACTGTGATGGTGGCTTTCAACTTTTCTAGCGCGGCTGTAGTAATTTTTTGATTGCCTTCTTCGCCCACATCCACCACGATTTTCCTTTTATTACGTCTGTCAGGCTAGTTGACGCCGATCATGTGTGCTAGGAAAGGCTCATTGTCTACCTTCATGGTAGTCGGCTTGTCCATAAGGATCTTGCCCTCGACGATGAGATCTTGTATGACATCCCTGAACTGAACACAGTTGTTAATAGCATGCGGGAAAGAATTATGCCACTTACAGAACATTTTGTTCTTCAGCTATTCCGGCTTAGGAAACACGTGCTTCTCGTCGAGTTTGATTGCCTTTCCTCGTAGCAATTCGTCAAAGATGTTTTCAGCTTTTGACAAATCGAAAGAGTACGATTTATGCTTCTGTTTGTATGGAATGAATCCTCCAATTGGGGCAGCAATGCTTCGCTGCTCCTTTCCTGGCTTTACTATTGCTTTGCAGGTGATTGGAGTTTTCATCTGAACGATCTCAGCCAATGCCACTACGGGACCAGCCTCTTCTTCGATTTCTTCGTCCAATGCACTCATTACTTCCAACTGATGGATTGGATTCTTGTAGTATGTAGGCTTGGAGTTGTTCTTCCTTTGGATTTCTTCCTTGAGTATTCATACTTGCCAGCTCGCTGGGCCACATCCTGCAAATCCATGAATTCAACGTCATCAAACTTCTTCCGAAGGGATAGTCTGAGTGCATTCTGTACCATTTTTATAAAATGTTTTTCATCCATAGGAATTTTTCATTTCATTTTGATCTTTTTAAATCGGGCGATGAAATCTGGCACTGTTTCGTGATCCCCTTGCTTCATATCAGTGAGGTCATTGATGGTAATCTCCGTTTCGGGCCTATAATATTGGTCCATGAAAGCTCCTTCCATCTCTGCCCATCCGAGGATGGAATTCGGGCTGAGATTGGAATACCAAGTGAAAGCCTGACCTGATAAAGAGCTACCAAATAACCTCAACTTCAAGAGTAGTTGGGTTTCTATGGACACGCACTGGGCTGAGAATCGCCCTATATGCTCTAATGCCTATGCATATAAGTCTTCCCCATTGAACAGGCTAAAATTTGGAACTTTGAAGCCTCTTGGGAAGGGTAAATCATCAATGTAAGCAGGGTAAGGCTTCTGATAAGTAGGTCAGGGTGGTCTCCGAATACCGGCCGGACCATTATAGACGAGCTGCCTTAGTGCTTCCATTTCATTACGAATGTCCATGTCTGGAAGATTTCTGGGTGCAGGCTCAGCACCGGTTGGAGGAGCCTGCCCTGCATCTTCTTCGTCATCGGATTCTGGAATTTGCTCGGGCATCCGTGCGTTGTTTTGTCTTCCCCGTCTGTTGCCTCCGTTATTACCATTCTTGTTGGCGATAGGTACATTCAACCCTGCTGGTTCTCGCCATCTATCAGCATGCATATTCCTTCGGACCGGCTCTAGTGGTAGAGCTGGTTCGCCAATTTTTGGGGCCTGGTATTTGGATGGTGTTCCAAACGGAGCGAAATGTTGACTAGCAATGTCTTTGGGGGGTGAAATCACCTTTGGCACATGCGGTGCCATTGTAGTGATATTAGACCCTGTGGGTTGGTCTATCTGATAAGATGACTTGGGAGAATCTTTGATCACCATTTCTGAAGGCGACGTCTGGGCATGTCCACTTGTCTGCCCTGAAGAGTATCCTTCTATTAACAAGGGTGTCTGGATATTTGATAGTCTCCCGTCTTCCTTTTGGGCCACTTTATCGTTTTGTTCCGCCTGCATGGCCAGTTCGAAGAGGTGACCTAGATATGCCCTTGTCTTATTCCTTTGTAGGGTTGTGTTCAGATGACCTCTCTCAACGGTCTGAAGTACGCTTTGAGATAAGAGATCCATGGAATTGGTCATTGCCTGGAAACCTTCTCTCATGAATTTTTCGAGTCTTTCGAAAGGTACTTCCGTTGATGATTCCATTGACTCGGACTCTGCTATTTCTTTATTCTTCTCGTAACTGGCTTGAGTCAAATCAGCCATGTATACTTTCTTTCTGGTCTTTCTCACCATGCACAGAGAGAAGTCCCATCGGGTGTGCCAAAATTATGTTGGTCCTTTTACTGTCCGCAGGGGTCGGTTCAGCTCTGAGGGACGAGGGCGAAGTTTTAATGGATCAACACCAATGCCCCGTTCGGATGGTGTCTCTTGGCTTATGAGTGTGATCTTTTCAATTTAATTGAAAGTTGAATCAATTATCAGAGCCTGAGGTCTTGTCGAACAGCTCCTTAGGCTACTGATTCTTGTTGTAGCACAGGCGTGCCATTATTGGGTAGACAACCAGCCCAATAGATCTGGTATAGGTATGTGTGATTGATGTTTATGAAGTTTGCGCCTTCTCTCTGAACTTCTTATCAGGCCATTATGCTCCAGGGGGGGTACTGGCCTAGATAGGTTCTTTTCTTTGCCTCGGTTAGGAGGACTTCAATATTCTTCTCTCCATGATTATCACCCTAGTAGGTGCGAGCAACACATGAGCAAGTAATAGAGGAAGACCGAGTTTACGATCAATAAAGACCCTGCATGGGCTTTATTAACCTGTTTCAATATTTCTCCCATTTTCGGACTCAACTGGTGGTTATTCGGGCTTACGAATAGTAATCGGGCCCAACTAGACTTCCTATCCCTTCTTTTATTGTACCATTCAGGCCCCTGTTCTTTTCGGGCCCGAATATCAATATTCCTAGCTTTTCAAAGTTCAGGGAGGCAGGGATCCAATTTTAGATGTTTAAAATGGTTTGAAGCCCGTTTTATCAGACTATCAGATAATTAATTACCGAGTTTCAGCAATTTGTAAGTTATTAGCAACCTCAAATTAAACAACAGAAAATTCATCGGTTAATCCATTAATTTATCCTTAAATGCGAACAACCAAATAACAAAACAAGAAAAGCTGAAGATTTCTCAATCCAGTCATGAAATTACATGAATTGAAACAATTTACATTTTAAAAGAAAATCATACCATGGTGATGGCAGAGCTACTAGAGATAATCACAAAGTTTGTGGACTAGATATCTTACAAACAAAGTAGTCAGGTTGCGATTTTGAGAGAGTTTTTTTTTCAAGACTTTTCGTCTGGTTTTGGAGAGAGAGTCCCCTTTTCTTGAAGTAGACCTTCGTTATTTATAGGGGAGGATGAACTTGTAATGACAGCAACTTTGGCAGGACCTCTAGCTTGTAACTCGGGATCAGCCTCTAGTTTGTTGTTCTAAACCAGTTTATAGAAGGAATGATGGAGGGTCCTTGGCAAGGACCGTTAGTTCTCTTCGTGGGTTTCTCTTGATTTGACTTTCTCGAACTTGAAAACCTGGCTGGCGATTTCGATCTTCTGGTTTTGGGGGCTTAAGTACATCGTGCTTTCTTGCTGGGTGAACAAAAAGTCAGTTTGCCATTTAATGCGATAATCCCCTTCGGCCTCCCACGTGGGTTTAGGAGTCATACTCATCACTTTTGTCGTGTAGCATAAGGTTAAAGCCTGACTTTTCTGACCTTGGGCCTATTTATTTATTTTTTCAAATAGGCCCAGACTTGAGAGGGGTGGCTTCGTTGGGGATGGATGAGTGCGAATGGGCCTGGCCCTATCCTCCAAATAGTACGACTACCTTTGGTCCATTTACCAAAATTGGGTACAAACATTGCCCCCTAGTTTTGATGGGCTTAGGTCAAGTCTATCAAAATTAGACCCTTTAGCTTCTTGGCTATGTCTTATCATGACGGTACGAATTTTTTGAAAAGTACGCGCCATCATAGCGGTGGCAATACATCAACTGTCTCCACTTTTCACGTCTGGCAATTAATTCGGCATGCCGAAAAGATAACTTCCATATTTCTAGTTCTTTGAACTTCGTCTCTGAACATACCCCCTTGCTTCTTTCCTCTTCTTCCTATTCCACAATCGTTACTTCTTCTTTCTTGAGAAAACTACCATGGTTCCAAGACGTTCGAAGGGTTCCAAGGTCTCTACTGCCAATCCTCGTTGGATGTCTGGTGAAGAAGCCGCGAAGCACGCCAGTGATTTTCAGGCTGCTCTTGTGCAGGTGCAGTCAGTTAGTTCGGCGAAGCTATATTCCCCTTTCCCGCTGACCTTGAGAGGTCCCTACAAGAGTCCTGGGCCCTATCCTCCAAATAGTACGACTACCTTTGGTCCATTTACCAAAATTGGGTACAAACACTTTCTTTGTTGTCATACTCATATGGATGACAATCCCTAAAGTGGTTTCCCCACACCATCACTCATGCACATGCCATTGGTAGAGTAGAAGGTGGGTGGGTGGAGTCATGTCGAAAGTAAAAAAAGGGTGATTCATTAGAGCCATTACAACGAGGAGCCCAAGCCTGTCTTTGGGGGGGGCTAGTTCCAGCGAGGAGCCCAAGCTCGGGCTAGGAGTGGGACCCACAAAGACGGGTTGGCCCGAAGGCCAGTTTCGCCCGAGCTCAAGCTCGAGGGCTGATGACATCAGGCGCGACGTTATTGTGCGGTAAAAAAAAATTTAAACCCGCGTGCGCTGATGCCAACCCTGCGCAAGCTCCAACGGGTAGAAGACAGGTGTCCAGGCCTGGGCGCTCCGATCTGCTTCTCCTCCTTCAATCCAATGGCTTGCATTTTTTTGGCAATAAAATTATGAAAAAAAATCGATTTTTTTTAAAAAAATACAAAAAAATTCTGAATTTTTTTTCTATAAATACCTATCAATACCCTTCACTTTCAACACCAATCCTCATACATTTTCTTCTACTTCCACTATTATTCACTCTTTACTCAACATTTTCCTCTCTTACAAAACAAAATGATTCATCTTTTCTTTTTCCCTTTCTCTATTGTTGTAAAATTTGCCAACATGACTACTATTTATTCATAATTTTTTGCACCTTAAATTAATAATGGCAGCTATACATAGGGATTATGCAAAATATTTAGGGTTGTACAAGATCCAAACTAATTCATCAAAACTGATCAATCCAATTCAATCTAATTTTATTTTATTAGTTTCGATAATATTGGCGGATTGAATTGAATCCAAGAAATGAAAAATCGATTAGATCGATTTGGTTAGCATATCTAGAGTTTGAAATCCAATTCAAATGAACTGATCTAACCTTAAAAAAATATATATATATATATATAAAATAAAAAATAAAAGAAGAAGAAGAAGAAGCAAATATTTACCTTTCCTAGTGTTTGAAACTAAACCACCTTTCACGTTTCACTTACACCAATGCACCAACACAATGTTGTTGATATTTTTTCCAAAAAAAATATATTAATATAGCATAAAAATTCTAGATTTCTAACTTATTGTGTTGACTAAAACATTTTTATTTATTTATAAAGGAATTGATGTAACTTCAACTCTAAAATTTATTTGTGTCTATAACATGGTATTATCTCAAATTTATTTATGTCTATTTAGTACATACTTAATGATATTTTATATTGGATTGAATTCTATAAGATTATCTTTGTGATTATCATATTTTCATACAAAACCGATCATCCAATCCAATCCAATTCAATGTACATTGGATTGAATTGGATCATGATCCGAACACATTGGATTGTATTGTAAAATCTCAAATTCAATAAAATATTGGATTGATAAGAATTCATTAGTTTCGAACCAATGTACACCCCTAAAAATTTTGACTATGGAATTTCCTTTGGTTTTTTATATATAATGAATTTGAAGGCAAGAGTCGAAATTCAAATAATCAATAGTCATCATCTTCATCACTTCTTTTTTTTTTTTTTTTTTTTTTTTTTTTTTTTTTATGTTTTTTCATATAAATATTGGAAGAGCGGATTCGAATACAAAACATTAAGTGACATGGCTACTCTTAATTACTAGAGCTACAAGCCCTTTTTATCTCGTTAATACTTTATACAGGTAGATGTATTAATATGGTAAAAGTAGTACGGCTCAATGGGAATTTTGACTGAGAAAGGAAATTATTGTGGCTCAACCACACAATGACGTGTGTCTCTCTTTTACTGGACACATTTATTTTTACCAAAAACAAAAAAACAATTGGTCAGTGAAAAATTTGATTGAGGAAGAAAATTATTTAAAAAAACAATTGAGAAAAAATCAAAGTGAAAAGAAGGAACTTTTTTCGTTTTGGTAAAAAAGAAGGGGTTCAGAAAAAGTGAAAAAAAAAAAAAAAAAAAAAAAACCTTTTGAGCCATAATAAAAAGGAAAAAAGAGTTTCTCTTTATTAGTAAGAAGAAGAAGCATTGTCTCACATATTGTTCTCAATATTGGCAAAATTTGTCTACAAAATTAGCTCATAAAATTATTTGAAAGACAACTGTAAACAAAAAATTATTGTCAATAAATTGCAACCAAATGCTAAACAGACAGAAGAAAGAGGATATTTGGAACAGCAGCCAATAGGCGCTGCCCCAGCTGAAAAACAAAACAATGGAAAAAGAGAAGGAAGAAACCGATACCTTCTCTCTTCCTCGGCCTTTCTCCTAAACAATCAATCTCCAAGCTTCTCTCTCCCATGCAGGCACGGATCTACATAGCGGGCTGTCTAGGCTAGAGCCCATACTAATATTTTTTATTATTATTTGTAATGCTATGTAGTATAGAGGAAAAAAAATTAATGGAGATAGCCCATCCCAAAGTTGAAAGCAGAGCCCACGCATCAAGCCTTAGTCAAACTTTGTGACTGAGAGAAACAGACAGACAGAGCAAAGCTTCCTTCCTCGAGAGAAGCAAATTGACGGGTGCAACTATGCGAGTGAGTTGCAGCAAGAGAGTGCATCACAGATTCACAGCAAGTATGAAGCCAAAACCTTCTCTCTTTTGTTTGTTGAGGTAATTTTCTTAATCCATAACTAAAGATTTTGTTAAATCGGTTGAGAGTTACAGGCACCTTCTATAGTGCACCAAGTGCACCCATGCACCATTTGTCCTGTATGATGCTCTCAGATTTTTTTAAAAATTGGTTACCGGTTATACAAGTTATCAAGTTTCCACTTTTTGAAATGCAATTGCATAAGGTCATGCAATTATGTCCTTTCTGTTTGGCAATTGGCATATAATTGGATAGTGATTTACAGGAGTTTGGACATGAGAGTACCATAACATTGTAAGAGGATCCTAAAACTTATAAGTTACAAGATTTGGGTAGCGGTTTACAAGTTTTTGAACCATGATTACAACATTAGGGTTCCTAATCCATAATGTTGTAAATACTCATTTACAAGGATATGGATCCGCATTACAAGGAATTGGTAACTCTGGACCATGAGGATGTAAATTGGGTCCTTGTTCTAGTAAAATGAGGGTTTACAAGACTAATGGCCGATTTTACAATTTTGGGATACGAGGATACTATAACCTTGTAAGGAGGATCTAAAAACATGTAAGTTACACGATTTGGGTAGTGATTTACAAGTTTTTGTACCACGATTATAACGTTAGGGTTCTCATAATCCTTAACGTTGTAAATCCTTATTTTACAAAGATATGGATCCACATTACAAGAAATTGGTAAATGTGGACCATGAGGATGTAAATTAGGTCCGTATTCTAGTAAAATGAGGGTTTACAAGATTAAGGGCCGATTTTACAATTTTGGGATACAAAGATACCATGACGTTGTAAAGATGATCCATAAACATGTAGGTTACACAATTTGGGTAGTGATTTACAAGTTTTTGCACCATGATTACAACATTAGGGTTCTCATAATCCTTAATGTTGTAAATCCTTATTTTACAAGGATATGGATCCAAATTATAAAGAATAGGTAAGTTTGGACCATGAGGATGTAAATTGGTCCTTATTCTAGTAAAATAAGAGTTTACAAGATTAAGGGCCGATCTTACAATTTTGGGATACGAGGGTACCAAAACATTGTAAAATGGATCCATAAACATGTAAGTTACACGATTTAGGTAGTGATTTACAGGTTTTTGTACCACGATTACAACGTTAGGGTTCTCATAATCCTTAACGTTGTAAATCCTTATTTTACAAGGATATGGATCCAAATTACAAAGAATAGGTAAGTCCGGACTATGAGGATGTAAATTGGGGTCCTTATTCTAGTAAAATGAGGGTTTACAAGATTAAGGGCTGATTTTACAATTTTGGGATACGAGGGTATCAAATCATTGTAAAAAGAATCCCTAAACTCATAACTTACAAGTTTTTTGTAACAATTTACAAGGTTTTGCTCCTGGATAACAACGTTAGGGTTCACCAAATCCATAATGTTGTAAATCATATATTTACAAGAATATGGATCCATATTACAAAGGATTGGTAATAGTGGACATTAGGGATGTAAATTGGGTCCTTATTCTAGTAAACAATGGTTAAGGATGGATTTTACAATCTTATGGAACATAAATGTCCAAAATAGAGTAATACGAGACCTTATATTGTAAATATTTGTGTTTACAAGTATAAGGGCCTAATTTACTTTAATAATGTCCCTAGTTACCTTAATATTGTACTAGATGTCTTTATCCTTGTTAATTACAATATTACAATATTAAGGATGGGTTTTACAATCGTATGGAACACATATGTCCAATATAGAGTAATATGAGACCTTAATATTATAAACATTTGTATTTACAAGTATAAGGACCCAATTTACTTTCCTAATGTCCCAAGTTACCTTAATATTGTACTAGATGTCTTTATCTTTGTAAATTACGATATTACAAGATTAAGGATGGATTTTATAATCTTATGGAACACAGCTGTTCAACATAGAGTAATACAAGACATTAATATTGTAAACATCCATGTTTACAAGTATAAGGACCCAATTTACTTTCCTAATGTCCTAAGTTACCTTAATATTGTACTACATGTCTTTATCTTTGTAAATTATGATATTACAAGATTAATGATGTGTTTTACAATCTTATGGAGTATAACTGTCCAATATAGAGTAATATGAGACCTTAATATTGTAAACATCCGTGTTTACAAGAATAAGGACCCAATTTACCTTCCGAATGTTCCACTTTACCTTTATATTGTTCTAAATGTCCTTATGTTTGTAAGTTACGATATTACACGAATAAGGATTGATTTTACAATATAATGGAACACAAATGTCCAACAGAGTAATACGAGTCCTTACTATTGTAAACCCTTTTGTTTACAATGTAAGGACCTAATTTACTTCTTTAATGTCCCACCTTAACTTGATAAATTTTTTTAAAAATTTAAATATTTTTTAAATACATGTTTACAACATATTTACACATGACAAAAATCGCATTTACAACATACAATATTGAGTTTTTTGGCCCCAAAAAAAAAATTTCACTTTCGGGTTACAAAACTATTTGGAATGGGAAGTGAAACCATGTGGAAAACCAAGCCAAAAGTGAAGAACATAGACACACTTGATAACTGCACATTTACAATTTACAACGAATTGTTTGTCAATTGCATTATTTGTTTGCAATTTCCAACAAACTGTTTGTCAATTGCATTATTCGTTTGCAA